CAGACAGGTGGAGACCCGCGAGAACACCTGTAATTAACTTCTCAGACACGAGATTCCCAGACAGGTGAGACCCACCAGAACACCTGTAATTACCTTCTCAGACACGAGATTCCCAGACAGGTGTAGACCCACTAGAACACCAGACAGGTGTAGACCCACCAGAACACCTGTAATTACCTTCTCAGACACGAGATTCCCAGACAGGTGGAGACCCGCGAGAACACCTGTAATTAACTTCTCAGACACGAGATTCCCAGACAGGTGAGACCCACCAGAACACCTGTAATTACCTTCTCAGACACGAGATTCCCAGACAGGTGTAGACCCACTAGAACACCAGACAGGTGTAGACCCACCAGAACACCTGTAATTACCTTCTCAGACACGAGATTCCCAGACAGGTGTAGACCCACGAGAACACCTGTAATTACCTTCTCAGACACGAGATTCCCAGACAGGTGGAGACCCACCAGAACACCTGTAATTACCTTCTCAGACACGGGATTCCCAGACAGGTGGAGACCCGCGAGAACACCTGTAATTAACTTCTCAGACACGAGATTCCCAGACAGGTGTAGACCCACCAGAACACCTGTAATTACCTTCTCAGACACGAGATTCCCAGACAGGTGTAGACCCACCAGAACACCTGTAATTACCTTCTCAGACACGAGATTCCCAGACAGGTGGAGACCCACGAGAACACCTGTAATTACCTTCTCAGACACGAGATTCCCAGACAGGTGTAGACCCACCAGAACACCTGTAATTACCTTCTCAGACACGAGATTCCCAGACAGGTGGAGACCCGCGAGAACACCTGTAATTAACTTCTCAGACACGAGATTCCGAGACAGGTGTAGACACACCAGAACACCTGTAATTACCTTCTCAGACACGAGATTCCCAGACAGGTGTAGACCCACCAGAACACCTGTAATTACCTTCTCAGACACGAGATTCCCAGACAGGTGGAGACCCGCGAGAACACCTGTAATTAACTTCTCAGACACGAGATTCCCAGACAGGTGAGACCCACCAGAACACCTGTAATTACCTTCTCAGACACGAGATTCCCAGACAGGTGTAGACCCACTAGAACACCAGACAGGTGTAGACCCACCAGAACACCTGTAATTACCTTCTCAGACACGAGATTCCCAGACAGGTGGAGACCCGCGAGAACACCTGTAATTAACTTCTCAGACACGAGATTCCCAGACAGGTGAGACCCACCAGAACACCTGTAATTACCTTCTCAGACACGAGATTCCCAGACAGGTGTAGACCCACTAGAACACCAGACAGGTGTAGACCCACCAGAACACCTGTAATTACCTTCTCAGACACGAGATTCCCAGACAGGTGTAGACCCACGAGAACACCTGTAATTACCTTCTCAGACACGAGATTCCCAGACAGGTGGAGACCCACCAGAACACCTGTAATTACCTTCTCAGACACGGGATTCCCAGACAGGTGGAGACCCGCGAGAACACCTGTAATTAACTTCTCAGACACGAGATTCCCAGACAGGTGTAGACCCACCAGAACACCTGTAATTACCTTCTCAGACACGAGATTCCCAGACAGGTGTAGACCCACCAGAACACCTGTAATTACCTTCTCAGACACGAGATTCCCAGACAGGTGGAGACCCACCAGAACACCTGTAATTAACTTCTCAGACACGAGATTCCCAGACAGGTGAGACCCACCAGAACACCTGTAATTACCTTCTCAGACACGAGATTCCCAGACAGGTGTAGACCCACTAGAACACCAGACAGGTGTAGACCCACCAGAACACCTGTAATTACCTTCTCAGACACGAGATTCCCAGACAGGTGTAGACCCACGAGAACACCTGTAATTACCTTCTCAGACACGAGATTCCCAGACAGGTGTAGACCCACGAGAACACCTGTAATTACCTTCTCAGACACGAGATTCCCAGACAGGTGTAGACCCACGAGAACACCTGTAATTACCTTCTCAGACACGAGATTCCCAGACAGGTGTAGACCCACGAGAACACCTGTAATTACCTTCTCAGACACGAGATTCCCAGACAGGTGTAGACCCACGAGAACACCTGTAATTACCTTCTCAGACACGAGATTCCCAGACAGGTGTAGACCCACGAGAACACCTGTAATTACCTTCTCAGACACGAGATTCCCAGACAGGTGTAGACCCACGAGAACACCTGTAATTACCTTCTCAGACACGAGATTCCCAGACAGGTGGAGACCCACGAGAACACCTGTAATTACCTTCTCAGACACGAGATTCCCAGACAGGTGTAGACCCACGAGAACACCTGTAATTACCTTCTCAGACACGAGATTCCGAGACAGGTGGAGACCCGCGAGAACACCTGTAATTAACTTCTCAGACACGAGATTCCCAGACAGGTGTAGACCCACGAGAACACCTGTAATTACCTTCTCAGACACGAGATTCCCAGACAGGTGTAGACCCACGAGAACACCTGTAATTACCTTCTCAGACACGAGATTCCCAGACAGGTGGAGACCCACGAGAACACCTGTAATTACCTTCTCAGACACGAGATTCCCAGACAGGTGGAGACCCACGAGAACACCTGTAATTACCTTCTCAGACACGAGATTCCCAGACAGGTGTAGACCCACCAGAACACCTGTAATTACCTTCTCAGACACGAGATTCCCAGACAGGTGGAGACCCGCGAGAACACCTGTAATTAACTTCTCAGACACGAGATTCCCAGACAGGTGTAGACCCACCAGAACACCTGTAATTACCTTCTCAGACACGAGATTCCCTGACAGGTGGAGACCCACGAGAACACCTGTAATTACCTTCTCAGACACGAGATTCCCAGACAGGTGTAGACCCACCAGAACACCTGTAATTACCTTCTCAGACACGAGATTCCCAGACAGGTGGAGACCCGCGAGAACACCTGTAATTAACTTCTCAGACACGAGATTCCCAGACAGGTGAGACCCACCAGAACACCTGTAATTACCTTCTCAGACACGAGATTCCCAGACAGGTGTAGACCCACTAGAACACCAGACAGGTGTAGACCCACCAGAACACCTGTAATTACCTTCTCAGACACGAGATTCCCAGACAGGTGGAGACCCGCGAGAACACCTGTAATTAACTTCTCAGACACGAGATTCCCAGACAGGTGAGACCCACCAGAACACCTGTAATTACCTTCTCAGACACGAGATTCCCAGACAGGTGTAGACCCACTAGAACACCAGACAGGTGTAGACCCACCAGAACACCTGTAATTACCTTCTCAGACACGAGATTCCCAGACAGGTGTAGACCCACGAGAACACCTGTAATTACCTTCTCAGACACGAGATTCCCAGACAGGTGGAGACCCACCAGAACACCTGTAATTACCTTCTCAGACACGGGATTCCCAGACAGGTGGAGACCCGCGAGAACACCTGTAATTAACTTCTCAGACACGAGATTCCCAGACAGGTGTAGACCCACCAGAACACCTGTAATTACCTTCTCAGACACGAGATTCCCAGACAGGTGTAGACCCACCAGAACACCTGTAATTACCTTCTCAGACACGAGATTCCCAGACAGGTGTAGACCCACTAGAACACCAGACAGGTGTAGACCCACCAGAACACCTGTAATTACCTTCTCAGACACGAGATTCCCAGACAGGTGGAGACCCGCGAGAACACCTGTAATTAACTTCTCAGACACGAGATTCCCAGACAGGTGAGACCCACCAGAACACCTGTAATTACCTTCTCAGACACGAGATTCCCAGACAGGTGTAGACCCACTAGAACACCAGACAGGTGTAGACCCACGAGAACACCTGTAATTACCTTCTCAGACACGAGATTCCCAGACAGGTGGAGACCCACCAGAACACCTGTAATTACCTTCTCAGACACGAGATTCCCAGACAGGTGGAGACCCACGAGAACACCTGTAATTACCTCCTCAGACACGAGATTCCCAGACAGGTGTAGACCCACCAGAACACCTGTAATTACCTTCTCAGACACGAGATTCCCAGACAGGTGTAGACCCACCAGAACACCTGTAATTACCTTCTCAGACACGAGATTCCCAGACAGGTGGAGACCCACGAGAACACCTGTAATTACCTTCTCAGACACGAGATTCCCAGACAGGTGTAGACCCACCAGAACACCTGTAATTACCTTCTCAGACACGAGATTCCCAGACAGGTGTAGACCCACGAGAACACCTGTAATTACCTTCTCAGACACGAGATTCCCAGACAGGTGTAGACCCACGAGAACACCTGTAATTACCTTCTCAGAAACGAGATTCCCAGACAGGTGTAGACCCACCAGAACACCTGTAATTACCTTCTCAGACACGAGATTCCCAGACAGGTGAGACCCACCAGAACACCTGTAATTACCGTCTCAGACACGAGATTCCCAGACAGGTGTAGACCCACCAGAACACCTGTAATTACCTTCTCAGACACGAGATTCCCAGACAGGTGGAGACCCACGAGAACACCTGTAATTACCTTCTCAGACACGAGATTCCCAGACAGGTGTAGACCCACGAGAACACCTGTAATTACCTTCTCAGACACGAGATTCCCAGACAGGTGTAGACCCACGAGAACACCTGTAATTACCTTCTCAGACACGAGATTCCCAGACAGGTGTAGACCCACGAGAACACCTGTAATTACCTTCTCAGACACGAGATTCCCAGACAGGTGTAGACCCACCAGAACACCTGTAATTACCTTCTCAGACACGAGATTCCCAGACAGGTGAGACCCACCAGAACACCTGTAATTACCTTCTCAGACACGAGATTCCCAGACAGGTGTAGACCCACGAGAACACCTGTAATTACCTTCTCAGACACGAGATTCCCAGACAGGTGTAGACCCACCAGAACACCTGTAATTACCTTCTCAGACACGAGATTCCCAGACAGGTGAGACCCACCAGAACACCTGTAATTACCTTCTCAGACACGAGATTCCCAGACAGGTGTAGACCCACGAGAACACTCGTCACACCAAAGACACCGACCAGTCCGCTGATGATAGACCACTTGAGGACCTGGTTCATGCACTGTGTGGCAGGTTGGGCCGCCCCTAGCTGAAATGCAGTAGAGAGACTCTAGGTAATATGGTATAATCGTGAGGGGGGGGGGTCTTGTCATAGATCTGTTGTTTTCTATAGCTTGGGGTATTGATTGTTGCAAGCATTGTGGCATAGCGCGAGCACAGTGAGCATTCTGTGTTATTAGTTTTAAAATATTTTAGACGGAGATTTTTTTTCAGTTAAAAGTATAACCCACATGAGTATTATCGTGTGAGTTTTACATTGGTGTATTGATACATTCATGCAGTCACCATATATATTATTCATTGGCAAACTAGTTTTATGATCATAACTGTATTTGGGTAGGGGTTCGGTGTGGTAAAGCTCATGGTTGTAGATTAGCCCCGAGCTTGGAAAAAAAAGTTTGCTTAGAGGAATTCGATCAGTATTTTTGACATGGACGAAAAACCTGGTTTTCTTACAATTTCTTCTTCTGGGTAGCTAAAAATATTTTTCCAAGTGAAAAAAATAAATATTTAATAGGCATTATTAAGAATCAGTGTTATAAAATGTGCAGTTGCTGATAACTTGTAACCATTGTTTGAATTTAAGGCTACTTTTCCATTGGCATATACCAACCAAACATGTTATACTGACTTATATTTGTATGAGAAATTTTGATTGGCAATGCTTTAATTGAGGCCTCTTTTAATTTTCTTCTATAAGCCCCTCCCTATTCCATTAAATGTTTGTACTTAATTGTCAACTTGACCAAGTTATTGCTATTTCGTTTTTATTCTAACTACTATACTAGCAGTTGAAAATTTAAGCTACATTCACACATTCAAATGTTTATCAGCACATTACATTAATAAGCACTATTTTAAAATGTGCGAGTTATCTGGGTCGATTCTATTGGTCTGATTATGTCCCCTGTATCAGTGAGTATCTTTCTTAGTGAACTCCTCAGACATTAATTATAATTCGTGTAATAAACCTGATGTATTCGACAGCGTAACACAATGACACCGTTCGTTCTTAACAGTGATGAATTACCGCACCGTTTTATACAAAAAAAATGAACGGAGCATGACAACTTATATAGCCTACAAAACTAAAGATCGAAATTTAGCAATGTTATAACATTCATTGTTTTTTTTAACGTTAATTTTCGAGGTAGAACAAGAAATTAATCATTAGTTACAATGATGAATACCTGCTTCGTTAGTCTATTGACATAATAAATGAGCTTGGACGCTAATTAACTGAACTTGGATCTACCCATCAAAATTTACCTTATTATTACAACACTGACTATTGACAAAACGAGTCTTGTAGAGAGATGTTCAAGGTGAACAAAATATTAACAATAATTACAAATTGGTATATACTTTAATAAAAGTACTACTATCTTCAAATGTCTCGCACATATTTAGCTTCTTCACTGTCCTCCTATTTGTACTAATCAACGCGGTTATCCTATTAATCTATACCGAAAGTAAAAAATAAATGGTTGAAGCTGTCTTGTATCGGTAAACGGAAAAAAAGTCACAGGAAAAAAAAACACAGAAAAAAGTCACAGTTTTTGCTAGGAAAAAAAGTCACGGAAAAAAAAGTCACAATGGAAAAATTTTATCGGAAAAAAAGTCACAGAAATAAAGTCACAGAAAAAATGTCACACAAATCTTTTTAGAAATCTTTTGATTTATTTGTTAAGAATTGTAAAATTTTGTATGTTATTTTTGTGGGTTGTATTTTTTGATAGCATAAATTATTTATAGACGTTAAAAGTATTATGGTTTATAAAAATTGTAAGTAAAAATACTCTAAAATAATTTACACAACAATCTTAACTTTTGTTACGTATTTAGTTACATACGCGGTAGAAAAGTTAACTATAAAAGAAATTTAGGCACATCATTGTGTTTTGCATAGGTTTTGCCGTAGGCTATTCTATGGTCGGCCTCTCCTCAGTCGGCATTGTCCGAACATATTTTGTGTTGTTGACGTTTTGTGTCAATGACAGCCTTTGAACCTTGTCGGCTCTCTGTTTTGATCCTAAGTTTTGTTATGTAATGAGCGTGATAAATGTGGGCAGTAAAGGTGGTTGAACTAAGCATAACTATTGTTGCGATGAGTTGAGGGCTGTAATTCAGATGACCTTACCATTTCACGGTAATTTAATTTTTTTTAAAAACACGATGAAAACCGTGGACATTCTATTAAATGCTATAAATATTATGTTTAACATAATTACAATCTACATAATTCATACTAAATATTTTTAGATGAATTATAAAAATTACTATACGTATACAACCTACACACATTACATTACATTTAATTAATCTTAAGTTAATTTGCACTCTCTGAATATTTAATACATAAAAGTGTTAACAAATCCCATGCAAATATATATTTGTGACTTTTTCTCCTGTGACTTTTTTTCCTGTGACTTTTTTTCCTGTGACTTTTTTTCCTGTGACTTTTTTTCTGTGTTTTTTTTTTCCTGTGTTTTTTTTTCCTGTGACTTTTTTTCCTACAATCCTTGTATCATCTTGGTCTCTATATGCCCCAATGTCGGGTCTCTCGGGTTCGAATTAACGTCGGAAAAAATAGAACAAAAACATAGGTTTCAACTGATTAAAATTGTTTTTTGTTTTTTTTTAATGAAGGAGTTTCTAACGCATAGTTTTTGCGAGCTAAAGTAGCTATTTCGGACATGACGGCTAATAGGTTTCAGTGAATAAATAGTGTGGTCAGTGCTATGTCCATCCGCGGTTAGTAATCGTCAACCAACACATCATACTTAAATCGAATCAACCAACACATCATATCTAAATTGGGCCAACCGAAACATTATATTTATATCGAGTCAACCAACAGTTCACACCTAGATCGACACGGCTTTTACTAAACTCCACAACTGTCTAGAAGTTCTAACTCAGCAAAGAAAATATATTACCTCGGCTGCCGTAAATCCCATGGTAAATGTTCAACCTAAATTTTCAACTTCAAGGATTTATTGGTCAACTGTAAGTTTCCAAAAGTGTGTCAACTATGTATACAGCCAAAGGTCCACTTCAAGTGTCCATATGAATGTCCACTTTGAATGTCCAACTGGAGACAACATTACACCTAACCACGCATCGCTTTATGCTGATATCCAAAGTCTATAACGTCTATCTATCTATACAAACTGCATTGTATTCAAATACCAAGGAAACTCAGGTAAGTGTACCGACAGCAACCGGGGGGAGGCAGGTGTAAGCCCCAGCCGTCAAGAAGGTTCCCCCCTCCCCCCCCCCCCCCCCCCCCCCCCACACTAGGGCTGTCATGTCGGGCCAGCCGAACAAAGCTTTATCCTGTCACCTCGTTCATCGCCGGTGTCGTCACTCGACGGTGTCGTAATGGTGACGTCATTCAACGTTGTTGTAATGGTGTCGTCATGGTGACTCAGACACGCAACACGTGACTATCAAATAATTAGGGTCCTTAATTACAACCATTTTTTTTCATGAAAAGAATGTGCTACATTCATGGACGTTTTAAATAGGTAGACTTGTTTACAATTAATCTTATAAAACTGTCTTTGAAAATTACCTTATATATATATCTTCGAGATCTGTGAGGCGTATCTTGTAGACCTATCGTTGAGACTTATCTTATGGACTTACATTTGAGACATATCCTCGAAACCTGAAGGTCTAGCTTGGTAACCTATCTTAGAGGTATTCTATCTTGGTAACCTATCTTAGAGGTATTCTATCTTGGTAACCTATCTTAGAGGTATTCTATCTTGGTAACCTATCTTAAAGGTATATCTTTGAGGCCTATCTTTGAGAAATATCTGAGACTTATCTATGAGACCTGGATACATATCTTGGAGACCTTCTTTGAGACCTATCTGCCACATCTATGAGACCTGGATACATATCTTGGGGACCTATCTTTGAGACATATCTCGGAGCTGCAAACTAAACTTGAATGCAGACATTTACATCTACGTAAAAATAAGATATAGACTATATGCAATTTATCTCGTGAGCCGTGTTTGGCACAGTAATTTGCGTTTGTTTGTCACGTTCAGAGTTTCTTCCAGTCTACCGCCCCCCCCCCCCCCCGGAAAATTTAGTCCGCCTCTACCCCCACCCACCCCCGACTCGAAAATTTCGAGTGCTCCGGAAAAAAAAGTCTGGAAGAAACACTGATCACGTTTTTTGTCACACAATCTTTAGTTATCCCCATGCCCGGATTATGATTTAAATTTTTCAGAGGGGTGGACCAGAGACGTAGCGACACTTCCCGGCGCCTGGGGGCAAACTTTCAATTTGGCGCGTCCCGGGAGCAAATTTGCACCCCCCACTCAAATTTTCGATTTGCAACCACCCCCCCCCCCCCCCAATCCCCTCAAACTTTCAATTTGCACCCACCCCCTCAAACTTTTCTTAATGCAAAAATGCAGCCAAAAAACCATTTTAATTTGTTTTTATAACCCATTTCGGCGCCCGGGGACATATGTACCCCCCCTGCCCCCCCCCCCCCCCCATCGCTACGCCTTTGGGGTGGGCGGCGGATTATGGTTAAAGTAGTAAAAAAAAACTACATTTTTTAATTCGTCTGGGGTGGAGGGCGTGTTCCGCCCCCTCACCCCCCCCCCCCCCACACACACACACCGAAAGATGCCCGAAAGAAACTGTCTGTAGCTTATTATAGTTGCTGAAATAAACTAAAATAATTGTAGACTACTTGGGTCGCTAAGGGAGGCAATCCAAAAAAATGTTAAAGGTTTACAAAGAAGTGAGGATTATGAATTGAAAGTGGATGTTAAAACAATAATTCAAACTTTGCAAAGGCAATAGAATGTAAATTTAATAATATTATTTTTAGTTTGTTATATTATATATAGATCTATTTGGTATGTCGAAATCCTAATCTCCGAGACTAGTATGATAGGTCGGAAGTTAGTCTAAGGATATTTTTAGAAGTCACCTTATTGGTCTCTCCGCTCACCAAAAGATGAATAAAACACATTAATCTACTAAAACTCGAGACGTTTATATTCTGACTGTCAAAACTATTCTGTCTTTAATTTACTTAGATATTTAGTCCGTATTATTTCCCCCCATTATGCTCAAAATCACTTTTTCCGAAATATTTTTCGGTTGATTTCGATTACATCAAAAATATATTTTTACTAGGCTAAATAATTTTACTTTTCGGTCGCTAAAAATTAATAACTTTCATTTCGGTCGAGAGAGTAACCAGATTGAATCAAAACAAGTGTTGTGACTGCTGTTTACGTTTGTTTTAGTTTGTAGACCAAGCACTTTGAGTTTAAATCATGGAGTATTTAAATTCCCAAGTAATATTTATTTAAATTTATTTAACTATTGTTTTATTATTAGTCATTACTAATAAATCGGCCTGTAAGTAACGATTTAGTTTGAGTAACCGATACTCCTCAGTCCTCGGCAAACATCTGCGCCACTTTGGGTCAGGCAAGAACTTAAGACTTCTGACTTCTTGGTCTTGAAGTGAAAGAACACTCAAACTTTACTTTAATAATTAATTTTAAACAAACATAATTCTATGATAATACATATTACATAATAATAGTATTGATAATTTGATAGAAACATTTTAGTAACTTTTTAAAACATAAATCTGAGTAAAACTGCAAAATAATTACTAATTAGTAATTAGCCTACTATTAATTACTAAAATATTAGGCCTACCTAGTACCTACCTACCAATATTATAAATACAAACATGACTTGCTAATGTCAACACTAACCTTATCCCAAATCATACCGTAGTCCTAATCCTAATTTCTGACCATAACACTAAACATGTCACATGAGATTACAATACTACAAACAAACACCCCTATTTTCAGAATACTCTGTAATGTCAGTACTCCCCTGGATTTTAGAAGTTAGCAAAGTTTTCAGCTATATTGTTATACAATAACATAAACAAAAATTGGGTAAATCTGTTAGTTATGCCTAAGTTAAATGTTTGTTTTTCACAGATAATATTGTAGAGGCTAGGACGTTGTTGTACAGTTAACTAGCAACAGCTCGCACTTATGTTTAAAGTCGCTGGATACCCATCAACTAGTAAGTTTCCCATTTCACCTGCTTTATTATGTTTTAATAAATTGTTTTAGTGTGTCTCAAGCTGCATACCAGTATCTTTTAAACAATTTGTTTTTTCAGCTGCTTCAAAATGAGCATGCTAACGGTGGAGGAGTGTGAGCTTCTCACAGACTCCAAGTACAGGTCTTACATCACCCAGGTGGAAAAGGCACTCCGAAGTTTTGAATACACAAGTGAATGGGCGGATCTCATTTCTGCATTAGGAAAACTAAATAAGGTAGTACAGTAATAAATCCTTGTCCATGCTAAACAAACCTACTTTAGTATTTAAAGAAACTATTGTTTATATTTATTATTTAATTATTTAACAGACTTTTTACTGACTTCTAACAACCAACTCTTCCAAAAAAAGGATTTTAGGTTGTTGATTGTAAATTAATAACAAACATTACTTATACCAACAATAATATCAATAATTTTAAAATGACTATAGAAATTTTGTAATCAACTACTTTAACAAAATAAAAGTTTTCAAACTACACTTTTGAAGCAAAAGAAATATTTCCTCACCCAAAAACAACAAAGGTTTGAATTCCCCTCCTGTTTTTATTCAAATTTGAAAAACATTTAGCTTTAATTATTATTAATTTAATGATTTGTCTATCTCATTAAAATTATAATATTACAATTCTTCAACCTAGGTACTGCTATCCCATCTGAAATATCCTGTGATCCCTAAAAAAGTCACCATCGGCAAACGATTAGCCCAGTGTTTACATCCAGCCCTGCCAAGTGGAGTCCACCTCAAAGCCTTAGAGACATATGATATCATCTTTAAATGTATTGGCACCCAGCGCTTGGCCCATGATTTATTTATCTACTGCGCTGGGCTGTTCCCGCTGCTAAGCCATGCTGCCATGAGTGTAAAGCCAATTTTGTTGACAATATATGAGAGACACTTTGTGGCTCTGGGCCGCCACATCAAGCCTGGATTAAATGGTCTGCTGCTTGGTCTGTTACCTGGGCTGGAGGAAGGAGCTGAATATTTTGAGAGGTTTGTTCATTTTGTCTACTTTTGATGGTATCAGATTATCATCTGGACTAATTTACCAGATCAACATTTGCAAGAAATAAATACTAAATTGTACATATTTTATTAGTTGTATAGTATATTTTGAATTGATTTTTATTGATTTGATTTACTACTTGATAACTGTAATATAAATTGTTTTTAAATAGTGTTATATTTTTTCAGTTTCTATTGTGTATTTTTATAGGTTAGGTTTACTAAAAAAAAGTGTTTGTTTCATAAGTAAAAGGCTTTGAGAATATGTTTAAAACAATTTATTATTTATGATTTAAGTGGTTGAAAAAATTAGCCTCTTGTTGATATTATAAAATATTACTCCGCTATTTGCGAAACAAAGTAAAAATGACTTTTATTTTTCTTCAAGAACTAATCTACTTTTGGAAGATTTTTGCAATGCTGTTGGTCCACCATTCTTCTACACTGGTATCTGGGAGTGTATGTTATCTTGTCCAAGTGTTCGGCTCTGTGGCTCCACCTACCTGCTCAATCATCTGAACAAAAGACAAAGTATGGAAGACCAGTTGCATATGGTTGGCCTGAATATTAATCTTATGGTATGATGATTTCCTTTTACTCATTTTCTGTAAAAAAAAATTGTTTACCTCATCTACTACATTATAATTGTATTACATTTGTAATAAAACTAGTAAAATGTAGTGGTCAGAAGAGAACAATTACATTTGACTGCTTTGATATCAATACACCATCCCTGTTTCACTACTAGTATAGCTAACACACATCTAATGGCCATATATATAAACAAATTACATTTATTGACACAGAAAAGCTGTCAAATTTAGTTATAGTAAAAGTTCATTTATTCAGAATTTGGATTGTTATATTGTTTTTTAATTATGTCAGGTCATTTCTATTGCTAACTTTGTTCTTTCAGGTTGATGGGATCTGCGGCTGTCTGCAGGATTCCAGCGTACTGGTCCAAAGGAGCATGCTGGACTTTCTTCTCTTGGCTTTTCCCATGCATAATGGCCAGATGACAAGAGCCGACTTGGCCAAAGTGGTTGAGTCTGCTGTGAATGTCGTATTACGAAGGGACATGTCATTAAACAGACGTCTCTATGCCTGGTTGCTAGGCACCAGCACAACAGCTACCACGGCTACAGTGACGTCAGATTCTCACTACAGACAGAGAGCAGATAGTTCCTCCACCATCAGTGAAATGGACAACACATATTTTCAAGTAAATAAACAGTGCTTGATTTTAAACCACAATTTTTTTTTTTTACATTATAAAACAAGGAGCTCCCTTTAAGTAACTTATGTGTCACCATAGATCTCTTTTGAATGCAAAAAGTGCATTTTTAATTAATTTTTTTCAAAACATTGAGTAAGCAGACTTTGCAAGTGAACTCCTTAAAAGTATCATTCATTCATACTCTGTAATGTAAAATAGATAACAGATTTTAGCTTATAAAAATATGTTTATTTTCCTGTAGTCACAGTTTAAAAATTCACAAATGTATCTTACATAATAAATAGGAATAACAATCATATCTTAAATGTTTATTTTTTAGACATATTCTAAAGACCTGTTGGTCACCGCGCTAAAAACCAAACTAATGGAAGAAGATCCCTTCTCCTCATCATCCTCTGATGGTCTTGCTTCAGTGCTGAAACCATTCCGCATCCTCATCAGCCTGCTTGACAAGCCAGAGATCGGACCAGTCATCATAGAGAATGTTTTACTCTCCGTCTTCCGGCGGCTCAAGCAGGACGGCACAGCTCACGTCTCCAGTGACGCTGGGAAAAGTTTGCTGGTGACGCCAGAGACGAAGCTGCCGCTGGAGACTTTAAAAACTGCCAACCTGCTGTTTGGGTCATTTGAGCCCTACTTCCTGTGGGACTTCATCGCTCGGATGTTTGCTGCTGCGTGTGAACAAAAGCAGAGTGGTGGGAAATCTGACAGCCAGGCAGAGGCTGTTTCTGTCATTGAGCTTTGTCAGCTGGTGGAGTTTGTGCTGGATGTTGTTTCACTGGTGAGTTCAACTTTTTCTTTTAATTCATTCACACCATCTTGTTTTTCATTCCCACATTTTTTTTTTTTTTTTTTTAATTTGTTCAAAGTCTAAAATGCTTGCCTGACTACATTCAGATTCATTCTCTCTATGTTTTTAATTCTTTGGTATTATGATAATTTAAATTCATCCCAAAGCATTTTTATTCAAACCCACTAGCATTCCCTTTGTATTTTTAATTCAGTATGACTATTTTCTCTTTTTTTTACTATAGTTAGCTATAGGTTTTACAGATTCCCACAAATGTTTTCATTTTTTCATTATCCCTACATTTTTTATTCATTCTCAATATTTTTTACTATTTTTCTGTTTTTAGCAAAATCAAATTTTTGATGTTATATTTTACCTCTTTAATTCATTTATCTAAGTTTATCATCTTTCATATTTTCATCTTACATATCTGAATAAATATGATAGTAAACGTTAACACCAGGTCTTGTGTTTATTTTTCCTGCTGCAGGACGTGTACCCAGAGACAACAACAGAACATCTCCCAGACCTGCTGAGACAGGTCATTGTCTCCATGACCTCAGCCTGCGACAGCCTGACGGAGGCTGAAGTGACAACAGCTCTCAAGCTCTGCTCAAAGCTGCTGTCACAAGTCCAGCCCTCCATGGCGGGGCACGGCCTGGAGCGCTCCCAGTCCCTGGACACAGGGGACACTGTCAGTATATTTAGTAACTCGGAGCTGTCCACCAGTCAGCATAGCACACACAGAGACCAGCAGGATGAGACTGTGGTAGGAAAACAAAGGGAAGTAACTCAGGACTTGAAGGACAACGGTCAGAAAGATAACACTTCCATGGAGGTGACGGCTAGTGATTTAACTACTACATCTGACCAGGTCTCAGATCTTAATGTGAACAATGATTGCAATTTTATAATAAAGTTGGTGGAACCTTCAGAATCTGATACAGATGTCTGTGATAAGGATAATAATGTGATAGAGGAAGGTTCTAACGTGACTCAGAACAACATAAATGGTTGTGTAGATAGTAATCCCACAGCTGGGTCTCTGGTGATCCACGTGGAAACTACAGAAGAATTTGAAGATGCTGTAGAGAATATTGAAGAACTTCACCAGACCAGGGACAGGGCTGACTGCAATGGGGAGAGCGATAAGCTAAAAGATGAGAGCCAGATGAACAGAAACAACTCCCATGACAATATACCTGCCTCACCTGAAAGCGGAGACCTCAAGTCTTTGTCCAGTAACTTTATCTTGACCTCCAACTATCGTGACAGCGGCTTCAGCGGTTCTTTGGTCACTGTTTCTGGACAGTCTGAGACGAGTGACTTGAACAAGTCACACATCAGTGAAAGCCAGTCAGGGGAGCTACATTCCAAGCTGGACAAGAGCCATGTACCCACTAATGTAAACAACAACAAGCTGTTGTCAGGACACCTGAACCTCATGCAGCTGTGTGTCCAAAGCTTCCAGCAGTTCTTCTACAGGTTCACACACCTGCGGATCTTGACGTCGGAGGATAGCTACAAGGCTTGCATGGACTACATGACCTGCCTGCAGGCCGGCGAGGCCAGGCCAAAGATCAACAAACTCTCCCTCGGGGACGAGACGGAGGAGGTGAAGAAAGCTTACAAACAAGCTTGTCGGCTGCTGGTGGACTTTGCCAGCTTCCCCATCTATTGCACAGATTATCAGTCTGTCATTGATGAGATGGGCAGTAAAGGTGAGTATTTAGTACTGTTAGTTATTGTTACATCCCTTGTATTATATTGTGATGTCCCTTGAATGTGTAGTCTCTGTGTAGTGTGTGTACCTCTAGCAGTTAATATGAACTTGAGACCTGGTGATCAGACATATGTTGTCAGAGACTATTCCCTACATGTTTAATTAATTTTTTAAAGTAAACTTGATGGCATCTACTGTTTTGTTTTATTTTAACTGTGTGTGTTATGTAACAGTGGGGAGTGTTGGAGGAATGTGATAACACGATTTGCATAAAGCAGCGTCAGAAAGTTTAATGCATAATAATGTATGTTATAACATCTATATTGCCAGAATTTTTTACTATTGATTATAAGAACTTGTACATGTCACTGTTGCTACATCTAGTTTTGCTTATTTCAATTTTTCAGATTTTTAAAGTTATTACGTTATAACTTAAAACATTTTTAAAAAATTTCTTGCTAATTCTTATAAAATCATTCCCCATTAAGTCATGTTGTTTTTCAATTAATTAAATTAAGGTATTTTAGGCCTAAATGCTTTTGTATAGTTTTTCATATATTTTAAACATGAGTGAATCTCTCTCTATCAAACTATAGATTTTAACTATAATTTAATTATAATTCTTTTACTTCCTAAACTTTTTCAGAAGAGAGCTCCACTCTTCCATCATGGCTCAAAGACCTGCTCATCTGCAGCTGCTTTGTAGACTGTTTTGAAGTACAAAGTGCCTCGATATCCACTCTGTTGGACCTGATCATCCTAACTCAGTCCGTGCAGACAGAGCGAGAAAATAAAACCAGGCACAGCGGCCGCCAGTCGTTCAGTGAGGGAAGAATTTCTGTTGTCATTCTTCCAGCCTTGCTCCCTTCTCATCTTGTTTATATCAACAACAACACTAAATTTTACCAGGTCAGTTGAAAAAATAACATGGTACTAAAAATTAGTAAATATTTCCATTATTACTACAAATATTGAACTTTTTTTTATCTAAGGTGTAATATAGATTGTTCCGTTAAATAACAAATAGCAGTATTATTTGTTACACATTCTTTTTTGTTTATGGCTTTTTGATAATTCTGTTGACTTACTGAATATGCATTACTTAATTGAGATAAACTAGCCATTTAGACATTGGTTCAGTGTTCTACATCAGCTGTTTCATTACTGTGTTAATGTACTAACATACTGCCATGCGTCAGGTTGTGGCTTCAGAACTATGGAGCTATCTGTGTGAGAGGTATCCCTGCCACCATCAGCGATCGGTTGAACTGTTTCACACACTCCATCAAGTCACACCCAACCCCAACGTTTGTGAAGATGTTATTGGTTGTGATCTAATCAATGAATCGGAGGTGACACTTTATTTAATATTTGTTTTTGTTTTTAGAAAAACAATAATTAGTTTAAAATTTAAGATATTAGCTTCTTCTAATTATTGTTCTGAGACTTTAATGTAATTGGTGTACTGTATGTGTTTATGTCATGATAAAAAATGGCTTGTATATTGATCTGCTGGTGTTAACTTTAATGAGAGAAAAATAAAAATGGTAGCTGCAGTGAGGCTAATTAATATTAGCAAGTACTGATAATGTTTGTAATTTCACAAACCATAGGAAATTACAAGTAAAATGGATACATGTACCCAAAGTTTTTGTCAGCAAATAACAGTGTAGTTAAAGACTAAGACCTGTTAAATTTTAAACTATGCACTCTTCCTTTTAAAACTATAACGAGATGGCAAATTACTTATTCATAATCTATTCAATCAAATATTATTCAAATTGGTTGCTTTCTTGAACTACCTGCTGTGTTGGAATAAAAAAATAAAAAATTTTGCATATAGGCTGTCAGGATTTCAGCATTCAAAAAATTCAGTGTGTTGTGGCATCTCACTCGTTCTATTAAAACAGAACCCAACCCATCACGCAGTCCGAGGACATTTGACAGGTAAGTTGTGTCCTCCTTATCTACCATAAGGCCTGCACCTTGCAGCATTTTAATTGTACAAATAAAATAGCTGTCTATTCACTAAGTAGACTTGTTAGAAAAGCTAAAATTATTTGAAAAACTGTTACAAAATGGCTCTTTACTCAAGTAAGGGGTCATACATTTATGACGTCCACACGTGGGGGGGGGGGGGGTAAAAAAAAACCTGACTTTTGTGGACGCATATGGACTTGTATAAGGAAAAAAAGTGGATTTTTGTGGACGGGGGGGGGGTCCAAAATCCCAAAAAAATTGTGGACGTCATAAATGGATGACCCCTAAATAGAATATTGTGGCATTGGACAGTCTGAAAAAATATCTTTGTTGTCCAACAGGTCAATGTTTGTGGTGCTGGACAGTCTGAAGGAAGAGTCGAGCATTACCAAAACACTAGCCATGACGTGGCTGACCCACGTGATACAGAGGGGAGACACCAGCAGAGTTCTCCAGCCACTGCTGTTGATGCTGCTACACCCTGACACTGCAAGGTTTGAGAACCCTTTTAATATCACTAGAGACATTCAGTGTCAGTATGTGATTGTACAGAAACATAAAATTTCAAATATTGTATTTCTCTCACTATGTGTGCTTCTATTTTCCTTATAACTAAAAGACTTATAATGAAATGATCATGTTATTTTTATTCTCTATATAAGAAACTTATATGAGAAAATTTCTTTCATTAGACAGAAAACTTTTTAATTAATATTTATTTTAATATTTAAAGTATATTTTTAGGATTTAAGCTTTCAGAATTAAGTGTTTTGTAGTAAACAACAATAAAATATTTTGAAATCTGGAGAGAGATTGACCATGTTTTGTTGACATGTGAAGCGAATGTGTGGCCATCAAATGACCATCTACCAAATAATGCTCAGTACTCTACTTTAGACCTGGAAGGTCACAGATTTTATTTTAGCCTCCTCCTCTCACCCTTAATTTACTATTTAATTTTTTTCCTCCTCGTGGTCAGAATCTCCATCCAGCATGTCAACACCAACAAGCCCAAGAAGGAATCCGTGTCTGAGGAGGAAGAGGAGGACATGGAGGCCAAGATTAGCGCCATCAGCTCCGAGGGGGGGAACGTCATCTACCACCTCCATCAGGGCAAGCACCCCAGACTCAGCAAGAAGCACTCGCAGAGGTCCTCAGAGGATCTCAAGTCCTACGCCATGTCCGTCATGAACAACAAAGGTGGTCACAGCACTGCCCCGGTGAGAACCCACTCGGTCACTGATCTTTCTTTTGAGAGGGTCAATCCAGAGAATGTCAAGCTGAGGATCAACCCATTTGGATCAGAGAGCTCGTTGGATAAGCTGATATTTGATGGATATGATTTCCCGCAATCCGCTTCCATGCCGAACCTGGAGGGCGTGAAGAGGTTAAACACTGACACCTGCATGAAGGAGGGAATTTTCTTTGACGGGGCAGATCTCAATGAAAATCATTTTTCCAATGAAGAAGGTACAGCAAAAAGTGAAGAGCCGCAAGATTTATATCTAGAAGAGGACACCATTGAGAATGAAGACGAAGAAGCAAACGAGATCTGCGAATACACTTCAGAAGAGGTTGCTGTGTGGATTATTGAAAACCTCATAACGTCAGCAATGACTCGTGCATCGGATGACTCGGCCCTCGACGCAGAAACCAATTACATCCTGAAAAAGACATCCGGGCTTGAGATGGAGCAGTCCTACATTTCTCCAAGTTTGGACGACCTCCGCAAGATCGACATCGATTCCACCTCCGGCAGCGAGAACGGTGATAGCCGTTTTTTTGGCACGAGCAGCACAAGTGACAAGATCCGCATGCAGCTGAGCTCAAGCGCCAACAACCTGGGCGGTGGCAGCACAGACAGCCTCTCTAACCAAGACTCTGATTCCTCGTCTCGACCGCGCATCATGGACCCCAGAGAACTGGATCCAAAGAGAGACATACATGAGCTACATATGCATATGTTGTTGTACGCCCAACAGTATGATTATCGCCGTACGCTGTATGCTCTTTCAACTATACGAGCCATGCTGCATAACTGCCCTCGTTTAGTGGTCACAGCCATGGCTACCACCAGCATCAGTTCTGTCAGACCACCACATCTGGCTAAGCTTCAGGCTCTTCTTGGTAACTGGAATTTTTTATACCTATTTTTAAATTCAAATTATTATGTGAAATACATTCATCCATTTTTAACATTCTATTTTTCTATAAAATTAGGTCGTCATCGTAAATCTGTGTTTGGCAAACAGTTTTTCGGAGATCTGCCGCCTGAGGTGATGTCCAGTTACCGCAGTAATATGTTTGTTGAGATTGTCATCTCGTTGAGTCTCTACTTTGTGCGGGGTTATTATTCCAACCTCATGATGAACAAACTCACGCATGAAGAGTTGTTGGGGAATAAAATGGTAAGGATTGAATTTTTAAAGCTTTATTTTTAAAGTTTATTTAGTTAGGTTTCTTTTGGCACCGTTATAAAATTCATATAAAATATGACAATGTCACCTGATCTGATTTGAACACTTACCCTGGCTGCATCATTCATTTATTAATTCTTTTATTTGCCTTTATTCTCCCTTGAGTAAAAAAAAGATTTCACATTGCCATATAATGTTAAAATATAAAATGAAATAATGAATATAAAAAAAATTGAGCAGTTATTAAGATCCTATAGTTTGTTGACTATTTTAACAATCAAGAGGCTACAATTTCAATGTCTACAATTATATCATTTTTCATTTGTTTATTGTACATTGTCCAACTTTGTTGTTTATTTATTGTTGTCTGATGTCTACCTTCATCATCCCCAGGTGCACATACTTGGTAGTGAGATCCTGACTCTGATGGTGTCATATCTCCTGTCCATCATTGTTTATTTTGTGTTGTCCAACTTGTTTGTTTACTAACAATGTCCACCTTGGTCATCCCCAGGTGCACATACTTGGCATTGAGATCCTGACTCTGATGGTCTCAGAGCTCCTGTCCACCATGTTAATTGTGTGATATCAAACTTTGTTGTTTGTTTTATTGTGATGTCCACCTTGGTCATCCCCAGGTGCACATACTTGGCATTGAGATCCTGACTCTGATGGTGTCAGAACTCCTGTCCACCATGTTAATTGTGTGATATCAAACTTTGTTGTTTGTTTTATTGTGATGTCCACCTTGGTCATCCCCAGGTGCACATACTTGGCATTGAGATCCTGACTCTGATGGTGTCAGAACTCCTGTCCATCATTGTTTATTTTCTGCTGTCCAACTTGTTTGTTTACTAACAATGTCCACCTTGGTCATCCCCAGGTGCACATACTTGGCATTGAGATCCTGACTCTGATGGTGTCATATCTCCTGTCCATCATTGTTTATTTTCTGTTGTCCAACTTGTCTGTTTACTAACAATGTCCACCTTGGTCATCCCCAGGTGCCTATACTTGGCATTGAGATCTTGACTCTGACTGAACTCCTGCCCACCATTGTTTATTGTATGTTGTCCAACTTTGTTGTTTGTTTTATTGTGATGTCCACCTTGGTCATCCCCAGGTGCACATACTTGGCATTGAGATCCTGACTCTGATGGTGTCAGAACTCCTGTCCATCATGAAGGAGAGTGGCAAGAACTTCGTCTCCTACATCTCAGACCTGCTGTTCCGCTGCAAGCTCCAGAAGTCCCTGCTGCACTGTCTGCTGGCCTCAGTCTACAACCAGGGGCGCAGCGCTCACGGGGTCAACAAGACGGACAGCCTGAAGCTGACGGAGATGATCATTGACTTCAATGAGAACAGCCTTGACCCTAGCGTCAACGACACCTTCCAGATGAAGCTTCTGCAGCTGATGCTTGTGACCATAATGCTAGAGGATCAGATCCGCCAGGCCCAGGGAACAGTGGATAGCAACACAGCCACAACTGAAAGAACTCACTTGACTGTAAGTTTCAAGCATTAGTGTGTTAAAATATGCCCTATTGAGACCTACTTGTATAAAAGAACACATCTGTAATTGCCACATATAACCCAACTAACGTCAGGTTCATAATATAGAGCTGACAGTTGAAATTGCCCCCGTCCTCTGGGTTTAACTTTTTAATTTGTAAATCTCAACTTCTATCATATTTTAAATGTTATTAATTTTTTTTAATGGTGCGTTTTAAACTTGTTACCAACTGCCAACAAGTAAAAAAGCTCATTCTTACCACTACTCTCTCCCTTACAAAGTAAAGCTTATTTAATATTTTTATTCTTCATCTAAGCTATTCACCAATTTATTTTCTAGAATGGTGTGGGGGAAAAACATAGATAAAAGGTGGGAACATTGTCATACTTAAGGACTACCTCCTACTCCCCCTTCCTAAATCATATAAATTGAACTGAAAAACCCATGGTTCATGTGTTGTCTTCACAGTACAAAATGTAACTTTTTGCCTTCAAACCTCTCCAGTCGTCACTCCTGAATGTCCACTACAACCCCAGCCTTCCCATCATCCAACAAGAAATGTTTCTCAGCGCCGTGTGGAGCGCCCTCAAGCAGCACCACCACTGCCACCTGCACCGCCACTGGATCGGGCTGGTGACGTCAGCGCTGCCTTACATGGGCAAGGCCATGGCCCGCACCGTCCTCTGTGTGGTTCTACAGCTGTGTCGCAACTTGGAAATTATAGCGCTGGATCTTGCTAAGAAAAAGTAAACCTCCTTTGAATAAGCTTTTAGAAATTTAATAATAGTAGATTATTTTTTTTATTTGTTGATAATTAAAATATGAGTACAATAGTAAATTATTATCATATACCTGGTTGGTTGTAGAAATTATTATATCAGCCTAGAGATGGTTATAGAACCTACTGTACTAGCCTAATGATGAGTTTATCCTTGCGCACTGATTTAGTCCTGACAAGATGTATGTCTTGGGATGGGTTGTGTGAGTGAACAAACTGGTACTTGGTGTGATATGTGGTCACACTGAGGCTGAAGGCTCTCATTTGTTATTTATATTTATTGTATAATATCTAACTTGCCATTATATTTGCACCAAAAAATACAATGAACTAAACAATGTGATCACAATATATTTTCACTTAAATTTGTTATTATTAACTCTGTATTCCCATCATATTTTCACTCAAATAAAGGTTTGACTTTCTATTACATTTTCACTAAAATTTATTAGGTCCTGTACTCCTGTCATATTTTCACACAAATTAAGGTTTTCATGGGTCTTACTATCTACTGCATTTTCAATCAAATCAATTGGGTCCTGTATTCCCATTATATTTTCTCTAAAATTAAGGTCTAACTTTCTATTGTTTTCACTAATATAAAACTCAAATCTTGTCTTAACCTACAGAGCCACCATGCATTGTGTGCCACCTGATCATGTGGTCAGCATGCTTGAAGGGCTGACCACCCTGTGCCACTACTGCCTTCTGGACAACACAAACCCAGTGTCCATTGGTCAGCCGGCACCCACAAGCATCAATATATCTACAGAAACAGCAAGCGCTGGCCAGATATTGACCAACCTAATCCATGTGTTTAACCCAGTGATGAGCGGGAAGGTAACTCTTGTCCATGGAATGTAGATGGGAGGGGATGTAACTCTTAAACTATGTATGCCCTTGTTTTAACTAATGATTAATAGAAAGGTAACTGTTAAACAATATTTGCTCTTATGTGAACTAAAGAGGAATATGTTGGGGGAGGTAACTCTTTAATGTGGAATTTATGAGTGAGAAGGTAAATATTCTATTGAATGTCCATATGACGTTGCACTTTAGAGATGACCTAACCAGGATTCTTACTGTTTCCCTAGGAACCAAGTCCAGCCAGGGACTCTGTGCCCATCTCCCCAGTGCTAGAGGCCAGGACAAGGCTGCTGGGCATCCTGCCACGCATCATGGCCTGTATGGCCACCCTGTGGAAAGCTGTGGCAGTCACGACAGAAGATGGCCTGTCGTACATCACAAGTCATCCGTCAGTTGGGGACTTCAAGGTCTGCTTGGTGTTTGAATCATTTCTTTAATAATTATTTTCACCTTTTGAATTTTTTACTAAATTTTCATTTATAATTTATTTATTTTTTTTTTTTTTTAGAAGTTTGTGTTGAATTAATTATTTTTATTAAATTTTTCCAACACAGTGGGGTTTCCTTGATTATCATAATTTAATTAAATTATTTTAGACAAGCATTAGAACCCCTGAACCAACACAACAACATAGAGAAGTTGAATTGTTCATGTTTCCTATTTCAGGCTGTACGCCAGCACATCCTGGAACTGCTGAGTCCAATCTCTCTCCCACATGGGACCAATCTTCTGGCAGCGTTTGCTGTGGCCTGGAATGACAGGAGGCAGACCTCAAAAAAGGTGAACTGAAACTTTATAATAAATTGAACCCTCACATTTTGAACAAAAGTTTCTAGAGACTTATCACACAGAAATATTTTTAAAAATGTAAATAATTCCTTTCTTCAACCGCCAGAGTCGTGTGAGCCCGAGTGCTTGTGAGGACCAGCTCCTGCTAGTGGAACTGGTCAGCGCCATCAAGGTCCTCCCCACTGACACCCTCATCCAGACTGTCAAGCAGGTCATCAAACAGCCTCCACACAGTGACCTCACAAAGGTCAGTTCATATTCTCTGCATTGTCCTCTCTAAATCCTATATGACCAAACTATACTCTTTATTTATTGAAATAACTTTTATATTTTTATTTATTGAAATAACTGTTATATTTTAAGTATATTTCTCCTTGGGCATATTGAGTATTTATTTAAGAATATCCATTATTTGCTCAATATATTTATATATTCTCATATTAATGTTTTATACTAGTTTATTCTTTATTTATTTTAGTATATTCTTGTGTACTTTAATATATTTAATATTTATTTTTGTAGGCCTTTACTCCTTAAAAGTATTTTTCAATTTGTTTCAGTCAATGATTTATGTATGTCTGTGTGTATGTATGTCTGTTACAGAAGAGTGTGCCACTAGAGGTCAACCTGCTACAGTTTTTCTTTGCCTATGTCCACAACATCACGACCATTGCCCAGCTGCTGGACTCGTGGCCGTCACTCCTCAGCCTTGTGCGGGAATGTCTACAGATGAACCTAAGTCCCCCAGCTCTCTTTCTCCTCCTACAGTGAGTTGCTTTCACGTTTTATGTACTGGTATTTTTCCAGCAGAACGGATTAGTTTTTTAAACTGCTCATTCTATATTGAAGCACCAGATTCGTTTTTAAACAAGGGGGTCATCCATAAAGTTGTAATGGTTTATTTGGAAAAATTCTTTACACCTCCCCATTGTGAAAAAAAGTGAGGATTTACCCCTGCACTTCAGCCTAAACCTTCGTAATCTAAGTCTTTTAGCTGGATTTTGTATGAACTTGTTTTTAAAGCCATGTAATCAATGTCTTCCGCAGGATCCTGCATGAATTTGTTTTGAAGACCCCGACCATGGAGGAGAAAAAGAACCAGAAAGACCTCCAGGACATCTGCCAGAAAGCCTTGGAGTCAATTAGTGCCATAGCTGGCTCCTCACTAGAACAAACCACCTGGCTGCGCAGGAACTTCGCTGTCAAACCAGGACCTCAGAACGAGGATGATGATGAGGGTGAAGTCCATGATGAAACCGGTAGGTTTTTTTATTCTCTCATTCCAGTTACTTAAGCTGTAGAATTGACATAGGTTGTCTTATAAATCTAATGCCTCATTCCAATTACTTAAGTCATAGAATTGACATAGGTTGACTTATAAATCTAATGTCTCATTCTGGGTACTTAAGTTGTAGAATTGACATAGGTTGTCTTCTAATGTCTCATTCCCGTTACTTAAGTTGTAGAATTGACATAGAGTTAACTTATAAAACTAACAAGAAAAGACATCTCATGTCTAAAAAAATAACTATTCAATTAATAAGAAAAACATATTTCACACTGCAATATTCCTTTCAATAAGTTTTTATTTTTTTACGTTATTTGTTATTTCAAGTCTTTTAGCCTTAGTTTTATAGTATTTTAATATATTTTGATGTTTTATTCTAAATTCATTGGGAGCACATGTTTTATTTGGTCAAAATATTGATATTTACAATTTCTATTTTTGATTTGCTTGTTTGTTTAGATTGTTGGCATGTTTCTTGTTTAACTGTGTTATTTATAAAATGTGTGATTGTGGTATAGTGACAGTTGAGTTATAATTGTGCTGCTGTGGTTGTGGTGTTATAATTGTGCTGTGGTTGTGGTGTTATAACTGTACTGCTGTGGTTGTGATGTTATAACTGTACTGCTGAGGTTATGGTGTTATAACTGTACTGCTGTGGTTGTGATGTTATAACTGTACTGCTGAGGTTATGGTGTTATAACTGTACTGCTGTGGTTGTGATGTTATAACTGTACTGCTGAGGTTATGGTGTTATAACTGTTGCTGTGGTTGTGATGTTATAATTGTGCTGTGGTTGTGGTGTTATAACTGTACTGCTGTGGTTGTGATTTTATAACTGTACTGCTGTGGTTGTGGTGTTATAACTGCCGCTGTGGTTGTGATGTTATAAATGCTGCTGTGGTTGTGGTGTTATAACTGTGATGCTGTGATTGTGGTGTCATAATTGTGCTGCTGTGGTTGTGGTGTTACAATTGAGCTGCTGTGGTTGTGGTGTTATAACTGTGATGCTGTGATTGTGGTGTCATAATTGTGCTGCTGTGGTTGTGGTGTTACAATTGAGCTGCTGTGGTTGTGGTGTTATAACTGTGCTGCTGTGGTTGTGATGTTATTATATTGCTGCAGTGGTTGTTATATAATTGTGCTGATGTGGTTGTAGTGTTACAGTTATTGGTGCTGTGGTTGTAAGCATGAGTGTTGTAGCACTGAGTCTATATGTAACATTGATATTCTTCTGTTGCTTTGAGCTGATTCTCACAAGCAGTCCAGCTCCGCAGATTGTGAAATGGATACTATAGACGCTGTGGATAACACTTTAGTAGCCCCAGGTCTGGTAACTTGACATTTCTAGAGCCAGGGCCGTCTTCTCTCCTGGTAGCTGTACTGCTAGCTGCTTTTGTTTTGTTTGTGGACTAGAGTCTGGTGTGGTGGGGTTCTTGAGAAAATAAACTGTAGCATTAAACTAGACTATACCAACATGTTTAGTACAAATAATGTTAAATATATCGTCATAGTGTAAAGTAACTTGTGTAAGAGACTAACACATACAAAAATCAGCTATTTAAAACTAAATATAAATTATTTGACATATTGTCACACTGTTAAATTGAGTTAGAGGCTAAGCAACAGATGAGAATGAATATCTTAAAATGGTTTGCCTGATAATACATAAAAATAAGTAGGGCAATCTTCCTTTGAAATCATTTTTAAATACCAAAGCTTGTTTTAGAGTTACCTGTGAAGTTTTTTAGGTAGCCTTTTTTTGTAGTGTATAAGTGTGGGAACATAAATACAAGACCATTCCCTTATTTTATACTGGATGTGTTCATGATTCTGATGGAAATAGTGCCCTATTGAGGTGCTCTGATAAGATTGGGTGACTGACTGTCTGAGTAAGCATGAGATAATACATAGAGAGCCCGTACAGTAAAAGAAATATTCTTCTGTATCTTTATGTGAGGTCCTGAATAAAACAAAGCCAGAGAAATCTATTATACTGTGATGCTTACTAACATGCCACTCTAAGGTACAAGACATATCAACTTAAAGAATATAACTAATGTTAATCATGGTAAAAGTTACCCACTGTGACCTTTAAGGGACATAACCACCTCCACTTATGGTAAGAGTTATCCACTGTGACCTTTAAGGGACATAACCACCTCTACTTATGGTAAGAGTTACCCATTGTGACCTTTAAGGGACATAACCACCTCCATTTATGGTAAGAGTTACCCACTGGTTTAGTTTATTCAGTGAAATGAAAACTATTCATTTATCATTTCCTATCTTTATTTTCAACCATATACTACATCCTTATATTTTGAAATGTTGTTATGTTTACCCTTATACTTCTATTATCCAATGGAGGCGAGCGAGTTGACGAGATTCCTTCCATAGTGTTGTTGACATGGAATAAAAACGTGCTTTTTAGATTTAGACCGTAAAAAAAATAAAAATTAAAAACTTAAGCCTAAAATTAATTTAGAAATTTTATATTTTTAGAATCAATGCTATAAAAGTTGCAAATCCAGAGAACTTGAAAATAATTTGTTGAGTTTAAGGCTACATTTCTATTTATTTTCATCAAGCCTAAGTTATAACCGGATGTTTCACTTTCGTAAGACAAATATTGATTGGCTGTACAGTAACTTAGTGATCGATAACTATTTGTTTACAAAACTTTGCAGATCAAGTTTTTAAATAACAATGCAAATTTAAAACCCCATGACCTAGTTTTCTATTTTTAGCTTACAATGTGTACAATAAAATTAATGGCGGCCTATCCAATAGCAGGATGCCATTGTTTACGTCGCCATTACACGTGAAAACCAAATTGTTTTTGCTTTTTTTTAATTTTTATTTAGTTACCGAAAATATTAAAAACATCAAATACGTCCAATCTTTAGTAAAGTCCGAAAATAACCAGAAAGACAGGATTTTATAACCATATTAATTGTAACTACGCCGTGCAAGATTTTAAAATTAATTTATGGACCTCTCAAATACCTTTGAGACTTTTCTCGCTGGTGTCCATTGAGTATTGTGCTAGTTGTATTATTTCATTTTGCTTTTTCTTTTAGTTGTGTATATGCCTTTTATCTTAAAAGCCGCTAGATATCTGTATTAGTATGATATTTTAATACAAGGACTAGTTTTATAATCAGGATGCTTTGGTTCACTATCAGAAATCTTTAATTTCCTCAAAAAAAAAATTTTTGCAAACTAAAAATTTCTTACCATTTTACTTAGTTGATCTAATGAATTGTATTGTTCAATAATGCTTTACTATGTTTAAGAAATCAACTGCCGGCACAAGCCTGTTGAAAAACTTTATGGACGTTAATTCTTATATTTTGCTATTGGTTTGAAAGAAATGTTTCCATTCCAGATACAAAGGTGGACGCCAGCACTGTCAAAACACAGGTCAGAAGAAGTCAAGTGTCTGACTCTAAGTACAGCGTCCAAGCTCTGAGTCTTCTAGCTGAGGTAAATGTTTATTATCTCATCTTAAGCTCTGAGTCTTCTAGCTGAGGTAAATGTTTATTATCTCATCTTAAGCTCTGAGTCTTCTAGCTGAGGTAAAATTTGGTCATTATCTCGTCTTAAGCTCTGAGTTCTAGCTGAGGTAAAAGTCTGGTCATTATCTCATCTTAAGCTCTGAGTCTTCTAGCTGAGGTAAAAGTCTGGTCATTATCTCATCTTAAGCTCTGAGTCTTCTAGCTGAGGTAAAAGTCTGGTCATTATCTCATCTTAAGCTCTGAGTCTTCTAGCTGAGGTAAAAGTTTGGTCATTATCTCATCTTAAGCTCTGAGTCTTCTAGCTGAGGTAAAAGTCTGGTCATTATCTTATCTTAAGCTCTGAGTCTTCTAGCTGAGGTAAACTTTGGTCATTATCTCACCTTAACCTCTGAGTCTTCTAGCTGAGATAAACTTTGGTCATTATCTCACCTTAAGCTCTGAGTCTTCTAGCTGAGGTAAAAGTCTGGTCATTATCTCATCTTAAGCTCTGAGTCTTCTAGCTGAGGTAAAAGTTTGGTCATTATCTCACCTTAAGCTCTGAGTCTTCTAGCTGAGGTAAACTTTGGTCATTATCTCACCTTAAGCTCTGAGTCTTCTAGCTGAGGTAAAAGTCTGGTCATTATCACATCTTAATCTCTGAGTCTTCTAGCTGAGGTAACATCAAGATTGTTACATAGCATTGTCTATTTCAGTATCTGTCCTGCAAGTGTTATATCAATTTTAAACATCTGTAATTGTAATGCTTTAGTTACAATAGTGTCTGGTCTACTTAAGCCAACACACTTATTCAGTTGACTTTTAAATTTCTGATGTTTAAATTTTTACAAGATAGACTAAAGCATGTAAACCAAAAAATTTTTTTTTAACTAGCCTGAAATACATTAGATTTTGTCCTTGTATTGTCCAGCTGACTGCTCCTGTCCTGGATGTGATTTACAGCAGTGAAGAGAAAGATAGAGTCGCACCATTCCTGACTACACTGCTTTACAATGTGTTTCCTTACCTGAGGCATCACAGGTAGGTCTCCTCTCACCTGTTACAAAAGTCACAGATACTTTTTTACTGAGTTATTTCAACTTGAACTGTCTAAATAGGGCAGTGATGAGTGATTGCCAATACCAAATCATGAACGTTTGTACATGGCCTTTATTTCAAAGTGCTGTTAGCTATATTTATAATTAAATACATGCCTTTATAATATATGGTTCCACAAGATTCTCTAGCCTACACTTTGCTTCATTCAAATAAAACACTTGTCTATAATAAAACACTAGTCCACCTATCTATAATAAAACAGCAGTCCACCTATCTATATATATAATTCTCTTCTTGGAGACGCTAGAAAACAAGCTGTAAGAGCGCTCCCTACCACCCCACCCCTACATGGTCTGGTGAGCTTTGGTTCACGCTAAATGATTACAATCATAGAGCCGGGTTTAGCGGCCTATGATATGCCGCAGGTTGGCTCGTCTATAATAAAACACCACTCCACCTGTCTATACTAAAACTGTATTCCACCTGTGTCTAATGTCCCCAGCTCCCACAACCTGCCCAGCTACAGGGCATGCAGCCAGATGTTGTCCAGTATTTCAGGCTACCAGTACACCTGTCTATACTAAAACTGTATTCCACCTGTGTCTAATGTCCCCCCCCCTTCCCAGCTCCCACAACCTGCCCAGCTACAGGGCCTGTAGCCAGATGTTATCCAGTATCTCAGGCTACCAGTACACCTGTCTATACTAAAACTGTATTCCACCTGTGTCTAATGTCCCCAGCTCCCACAACCTGCCCAGCTACAGGGCCTGTAGCCAGATGTTGTCCAGTATCTCAGGCTACCAGTACACCAGACGGGCCTGGAGGAAAGAAGCCTTTGAGCTGCTGATGGAAGCCTCCTTCTTCCAGATGGACATCCACAGCATTTCCCATTGGCGCTGCATCATTGATAACCTCATGACCCATGACAAGACAACTTTTAAGGATTTGATGGGTGAGTTTAACCTCATGACCCATGACAAGACAACTTTTAAGGATTTGATGGGTGAGTTTAACCTCATGACCCATGATAAGACAACTTTTAAGGATTTGATGGGTGAGTTTCCCCTTTTTACTACGTTTCCTTTTGACAAACATTGAAACTGTGGTGAGTCCACCTGGTGAAGACTTGAGAACCTCTGTATGGGTGTATATTATACCTTAGTTATTTTGAAAGGTCAAGTGTCCAGCTTTTATTATAAGCTTTTATTTAATTCAGAATATTTGTTTGTGAGTAGGTGACAAATCTTGTAATTCAATTTTAATCCACTTATTCTATCCATAAACATTCGTCTCCGGTGACAATACAAAAATTTCTAAGTTTTAATCTAATTAGACATTAAGTTAGTCATAAAACTTATTATTAAACAAGTTGTTTTACAAGTATTTGTTTCACATTTGTTGTTTGAATAGGCCGTGTGTCCATCACACAAACTGGATCCCTGAACCTGTTCAGCAGCAAAGAGCAGGAGTATGAGCAGAGGTCTCAGATGATGAAGAGACTGGCCTTTACCATTTTCTGTAGTGAAACAGACCAGTACCAGAGAGCCATGCCAGAAATTCAAGGTGGGTACGGTTTGTATGCTGGATTTGTATGCTCGGTGTGTAGGGTTTGTATTCTGGGTGTGTTGGGTTTGTATGCTGGGTGTGTAGGGTTTGTGTGTTGGGTTTGTATGCTAGATGTTGGGTTTTTATGTTAGGTGTTGGGTTTGTATGCTGGGTGTGTAGGGTTTGTATGCTGGGTGTGTAGGGTTTGTATGCTGGGTGTGTAGGGTTTGTGTGTTGGGTTTGTATGCTAGATGTTGGGTTTTTATGTTAGGTGTTGGGTTTGTATGCTGGGTGTGTAGGGTTTGTATGCTGGGTGTGTAGGGTTTGTATGCTGGGTGTGTAGGGTTTGTGTGTTGGGTTTGTATGCTAGATGTTGGGTTTTTATGTTAGGTGTTGGGTTTGTATGCTGGGTGTGTAGGGTTTGTATGCTGGGTGTGTAGGGTTTGTATGCTGGGTGTGTTGGGTTTGTATGCTAGATGTTGGGTTTTTATGTTAGGTGTTGGGTTTGTATGCTGGATGTGTAGGGTTTGTATGCTGGGTGTGTTGGGTTTGTATGCTAGATGTTGGGTTTTTATGTTAGGTGTTGGGTTTGTATGCTAGATGTGTAGGGTTTGTATGCTGGGTGTGTAGGGTTTGTATGCTAGGCGTGTAGGGTTTGTGTGTTGGGTGTGTAGGGTTTTTATGCTAGATGTTGGATTTGTATACTAGGTGTTGGGTTGTTAAGCTAAGTGTGTTGGGTTTGTGTGCTAGTTTTGCAGGTTTGTATGCTAGATGTGTAGTTGTTTTAGAATCCCTGAGACAATAGTGTAACAACATAGGCCTGTGATTATCTAGAGAGACTGGTTTGTATGCTAGATGTGTAGTTGTTTTAGAATCCCTGGGACAAAAGTGTAACAACATAGGCCTGTGATTATCTAGAGAGACTGGTTTGTATGCTAGATGTGTAGTTGTTTTAGAGTCCCTGAGACAATAATGTAACAACATAGGCCTGTGATTATAGGGTTTGTATGCTAGATGTGTAGTTGTTTTAGAATCCCTGAGACAATAGTGTAACAACATAGGCCTGTGATTATAGGGTTTGTATGCTAGATGTGTAGTTGTTTTAGAATCCCTGAGACAATAGTGTAACAACATAGGCCTGTGATTATCTAGAGAGACTGGTTTGTATGCTAGATGTGTAGTTGTTTTAGAATCCCTGAGACAATAGTGTAACAACATAGGCCTGTGATTATCTAGAGAGACTGGTTTGTATGCTAGATGTGTAGTAGTTTTAGAATCCCTGAGACAATAGTGTAACAACATAGGCCTGTGATTATCTAGAGAGACTGGTTTGTATGCTAGATGTGTAGTTGTTTTAGAATCCCTGAGATAATAGTGTAACAACATAGGCCTGTGATTATCTAGAGAGACTGGTTTGTATGCTAGATGTGTAGTTGTTTTAGAATCCCTGAGACAATAGTGTAACAACATAAACCCGTGATTATCTAGAGAGACTGGTTTGTATGCTAGATGTGTAGTTGTTTTAGAATCCCTGAGATAATAGTGTAACAACATAGTCCTGTGATTATCTAGAGAGACTGGTTTGTATGCTAGATGTGTAGTTGTTTTAGAATCCCTGGGACAATAGTGTAACAACATAAGCCTGTGATTATCTAGAGAGACTGGTTTGTATGCTAGATGTGTAGTTGTTTTAGAATCCCTGAGACAATAGTGTAACAACATAGGCCTGTGATTATCTAGAGAGACTGGTTTGTATGCTAGATGTGTAGTTGTTTTAGAATCCCTGAGACAATAGTGTAACAACATAGGCCTGTGATTATCTAGAGAGACTGGTTTGTATGCTAGTGGTGTAGTTGTTTTACAATAGTGTAACAACATAGGCCTGTGATTATCTAGAGAGACTGGTTTGAATGCTAGATGTGTAGGGTTTGTATGCTAGATGTGTAGTTGTTTTAGAATCCCTGAGACAATAGTGTAACAACATAAGCCTGTGATTATCTAGAGAGACTGGTTTGTATGCTAGATGTGTAGTTGTTTTAGAATCCCTGAGACAATAGTGTAACAACATAGGCCTGTGATTATCTAGAGAGACTGGTTTGTATGCTAGATGTGTAGTTGTTTTAGAATCCCTGAGACAATAGTGTAACAACATAGGCCTGTGATTATCTAGAGAGACTGGTTTGTATGCTAGATGTGTAGTTGTTTTAGAATCCCTGAGACAATAGTGTAACAACATAGGCCTGTGATTATCTAGAGAGACTGGTTTGTATGCTAGATGTGTAGTTGTTTTAGAATCCCTGAGACAATAGTGTAACAACATAGGCCTGTGATTATCTAGAGAGACTGGTTTGTATGCTAGATGTGTAGTTGTTTTAGAATCCCTGAGACAATAGTGTAACAACATAGGCCTGTGATTACCTAGAGAGACTGGTTTGTATGCTAGATGTGTAGTTGTTTTAGAATCCCTGAGACAATAGTGTAACAACATAGGCCTGTGATTATCTAGAGAGACTGGTTTGTATGCTAGATGTGTAGTTGTTTTAGAATCCCTGAGACAATAGTGTAACAACATAGGCCTGTGATTATCTAGAGAGACTGGTTTGTATGCTAGATGTGTAGTTGTTTTAGAATCCCTGAGACAATAGTGTAACAACATAGGCCTGTGATTATCTAGAGCAGTGGTTCCCAACCTTTTTCGAGTGGCGACCCCCTTTTATAAAAAGTAAGTGACCCGCGACCCCCATAGAATTAAAAAGCCGAAATTAGCATGGAAATCAATAAGCACTAAAATAAGATTTTCTAGTAGACTTTCAATATGAACTACTCTTGATATCATTTTAATAGCATGAGTAAAATTGCATACTATTCACTAAACCTTCGTGGTTAAGTTTTTAATTTTTTAAATTTTTTGTTAACGCCAACCTATGTTATTATAATTATCTTAATTTTGTTTTTAATCGAAGAACAGTGTTGAAAATATATTCTCGAAAAGTCAATCAATTTTACGTTTGGGTATGAATGGTGAATACTACACCAAAATTGTGTCTACAGTGTTTCATCTTACTCGGAATCATTCTGCAAATCAAAGAATTCATCTTGTAATTCATCGGGAATGCTGGCAACATCAAGGGAAGAAGAGAATGGGCAATGCGTAAATGCAGAGTCTTCTTTTTTCAGCTCAGAGAAATAGCGATGCAGTTCGTTTTCAAGAGATTCTAGATGCCCAGAAATCGCTTCTTTTAAAATTTTAATTATCTCACAATCAGATTCATCTACCACACCGCAGAATTTCTCAAATTTACAATATTTCCAAGATTTATTTTCTTTACCAATTTTGCAGCTTTGATAAAAATGCCCCGAGATTATCATGGAAAGTTATAATATTCGTTCATTTTCCCTGAAGCTTCAGGTTAAGCTTATCTTGATGTTCGAACACATCTGCTAGGTATGATACTCTCTCCAACCACTCTATGTCGTTTTAAGTATACCAAAAAGTCTTGTTTCCTTTGCACTTCCAAGAACAATTTGATTTCAGATTTCAGTTCAAAAACACAATTTACAACATTTCGTTTGACAGCCAGCCTACTGTAGTGTAGAAGAGCAGAACCTCGTGATCTATATTAATGTTTTTGCTCAGTTCTTTGAAGGCTCCAGATTTTATATAATTTACGACTTATACTAGCAATGGACTCTTGATGTCGATTGGTTAGGGCAGTGGTTAGGGAGCTAAATCTTTTCTGTTTTTTGAAAGCCCGATTTTGAGCTAAACATAGATGGCGCACCATCCGTACAAACCCCCACAGCCATTCTAACCCCTTTTAATTATCCAGTTTCAAAAAAGGTATTTATTTTCTCCATGCTATCTTCACAAAAGAGCAACTCTTCTTTGCTATCATCCGCATGAATATAGACACAGACCAGCAACTGCGAACACGAACTCACGTCTGTTGATTGATCAACTTGAAAAGCAAACAATGGTGAAAGCTTAATTTCGATAAAAATGTGTTATTTAACATTTACGTACATGCAGCGTTTGATGAGATTTTCTCCAACTGTTTTTTTTTTTGCTTGTCATTTTCTATCTCGACTTCATTTGATGCTTGCACTAATGCTGGTGAAAACTTCCTGTTCGATCAAGTCTCTGGCGTTTGCAACTAGCTTCTTACCGACGAAAGAACTCCATATATTTTTTGGTGTGTTCCGAAAGACTCGTCTCAAATGGCGTTTAAGTTTTGAAGATTTCATAGATTCATGACTGAGAACAACTTTGTACAGTGCGCTTTGTTTCTTCTCTATTACATTTCCAGTGATGTTAATGAAGCCGAATTAAAAAAATTCTTCTAAATATTTATGTTTTGTTTCAAATTACTAAGGTTTAGTATACCCATTGGCGACCCCCCAGAAAGACCTTCGCGACCCCCAAGGGGGTCGCGACCCCCAGGTTGGGAACCCGTGATCTAGAGAGACTGGTTTGTATGCTAGATGTGTAGTTGTTTTAGAATCCCTGAGACAATAGTGTAACAATATAGGCCTGTGATTATCTAGAGAGACTGGTTTGTATGCTAGATGTGTAGTTGTTTTAGAATCCCTGAGACAATAGTGTAACAACATAGGCCTGTGATTATCTAGAGAGACTGGCAGAATGTCTGCGCCTGCCTCAAGTGGCCAATGTTATGTCTTCTGTCTTCCTGTGCTTCCGTGTGCTCATTTTGAGGATGTCACCTCAACATTTAACATCTCTCTGGCCCACCATCATCACTGAAATGGTAACATTGATTTATTTTTATACCTTTTTATTTTATTCAATACTGCTTTGACTGTATGTAACTTTAATTGTATTTTAAAATATGAAATAGATCATGTTGTAGTCACAAGTTGAAATAGTCTGAAGCTGTTGTGTAAGCTACATTGAACTGCAGTATATAAGTTACATTTATGAGGGTTAAATTAAATTAAATTTGTTTTTGTTCTTCCTACATTTATAACTATTACCTTTTTTTCCTTCCATATTACTGAGGTATTTTATATATATAATACATGAGAAATGGTTTTATAAAAATGTTGATGTTTACAGGTCCAAGTTTTACTGCAAGTAGAGCAAGAGTTGTCAACAGAAACTGATGAATTCAAGTAAGAATTTTTTTTAAAGAAAACCTTTCCTTTTATCCAACCAGCCGCCATTAACGCAACCATTCAATTGTGTATTAAGTTTTGTATGATTTATTCCATGTCATTGCACATCACAGAGAAAAACTTACTGCACTAGAGGTCCACTTTGTGTACAATATTCTACAACTGGTGTCATCATTATAGATCATTACAATTGTATGAGATATAAAAAAAATTATATTAACAAATTAAAATGTATTCAAGAAACATTGATTGGGATGTGAACTCTATACCTTTTATCTGACTCTAATAAGTTAGTATTTAGCTTAAATTGTGTTCCATAAATTAATGCAAAGAGTACAAACAAATTTACCAAACCAGCTTTTAACACCTCAGTGTTTGCTAACAGTAGGGCTTCAAAAAATATGCATGTTTAGCCTTAAAATATGATAAGAAGTTTCCTTGAAGTAGCTAGGTAAAGTTTGTTTTCTAAATTAATATTTAACTGAAGTTATGGCATTTTTCTGATATGTTTATGTAGTAGACTACTAAAGTAACAATGGTTATAAATAATTTGCATTGTGATTCCATACCTACTCAAAGATTGTTGAGAACGTGGCCATAATGAGAGCTTTCTTGTTGGTTGATGTCTGTAATACATCTGCTTGTTATATTTTCTGCGCCATCAGATGCGGGGATACCAGGTCACTTTACACTTTCTTACTTTCTAGTTGGTAGAGAACTTAGTTAAAGGTAGAAAAATAAACCTTCCGTGGGAAAGTTGGAATAAACCTGATCAGTTGTGCGCAATAATTGCTTTTATATGATGGATTTGAAAGATTCTCGTGCAAGCAAGGAATTACTTAGGCCACTAACATTTACATATCCTCTAATAAGCTTACAACTTGTAAACTGTTATTAAACTTTATATATTGCTGTTTATTTAATCATGTATGTGGGTGTAGACTGCTCCTGTTTATTTGATCGCATAGGTGGGTTTAGATTGCTCCTGTTTATTTGATCACATAGGTGGGTTTAGATTGCTCCTATTTATTTGATCACATAGGTGGGTTTAGATTGCTCCTGTTTATTTGATCACATCTGTGGCTGTAGATTGCTGCTGTTGATTTGATTTCATGCACTAGTCACCAGCTACATGCCTCAGCAGCTGATTGTGTTCACAGTTTGCTCAGTGTGGCCACTCCCACCACCTCACCATCAGGGCAAAGATCAGTTTACCAAATATGATCCTGTAGGAAGTAACAGCTGCTTTATTTTTTTCTATAAATTACTTGACTAGCCTGCTGAGACCTGACATCTTGTCTCTGCTCAACTCACTTGTCATTACCCCAGATACTTCACTTTGTTACATTTTTATACAAACAGGCTGTGGGCTGTATCTAGTTTGATGGAAAGTATAGACTCCACCCATAATAGCAAACATGTACTAAATTTTCCAGGTTCTTTTAACGCTGTATTTCAGTGCTGCTAAAATATATTCTAATTTGAACAATTCACTTCTTTTCCCATATAATTAGTTAAAGTAACAGCCACACACAGTGAATTTAGTTATTGCCCCTAGTGTTGCTAGCAGTGAATTCCTTTAGCACACATAAACAGGTGATAGCTCAGTGGTTCTCATGTCATGCTTAGATGTGCTTTTTGTTCTTTCGGTATTTAGATCTAGATCACACGTTTTAATAACAGCACTCTGGAGAGGGATTGTTTTCAAAATATTCTCTTGTTTGCTTAGCGTTATGTTGTCATCAGCTTCTCCTGCCAATTAAAAACACCTCATTAGTAAAACTTGTTAAGTCTGCTATAAAATTAATATTCATTGACTGGGGGGGGGGGGGTAAAGATTTTTGTGATACCTATATCTCCCTTCACATCTGTTATTACATGCTTTGTTTTTCTGTGCTCTTTTAATGATTGAAAAAGGGAAAGTAATTTTAATAAAAACAAAACTGTTGCCGTCTTTAGAGGTTCTAATGAATCCTATTTTTCATGTCTAGTTCCTGGTGGAGGTGAAGGTCATGTTTATCTCTAATTAAAACCACGTTAATTAACTTTGTGCTTCCAGGTTCGAACTTTATGCTTCAATTTTTTTGAAAATTTCTTTAGAGAGAGAAAGAAAAATTTAATGTATAGTTAATATTTTATTTAAAGTTTTATTTAACTATTTGTTTCACTTTTTTTTCCAAATGACAATTTTACTGAGCTTTTAAAAAAGTTTGTCTGACATGCGAAGGATCCGCCTGGAGAAGTGGTGAGAAGACAGCAAGATCTGCTGTGCTGCTAACTCTGGTGCTTGGTCTTTTCTTGTAACTATCACTAACCTGTAGTAGAATGGTCAACTTATGACATGATACTTGATTAGATAGAATGGTCAACTTATGACATGATACTTGATTAGGTAGAATGGTCAACTTGTGACATGATACTTGATTAGATAAAATGGTCAACTTATGACATGATACTTGATTAGATAGAATGGTCAACTTATGACATGATACTTGATTAGATAGAATGGTCAACTTATGTCATGATACTTGATTAGATTAAATGTTCAACTTATGACATGATACTTGATTAGATAAAATGGTCAACTTATGATATGATACTTGATTAGATAAAATTGTCAACTTCTGATATGATGATACATGCTCAGAGAGCATGCTCAACTGATGACTTGAAGTACACCTCTTGGTCAACTTTTCAAATAACAGATTTCTTAACATGCATGTTTTAAAATAATAGGATGTGCATGTAACACATATATATGCCATAAGTTTTTGACCAATTTTTTTTTCTTATTACTTTTAGTTGGGACTAAAGTTTTCTTTTTTTTTTCTATCAATTGACACTTCAATCAGCACATGCCTCTTAATTTTTAAAAAATATTTTTGTATCTCTATAAGCAGAAGAGCTCTTTAAATTTGTGTTTTTAATTATCTCTGTAAAAACAGTGAATATCTGAGGACCCGCAACAGGTACATATGCCACTAGACATATTGATGTGCTATCTTTTATTTCTTTTGTTGTTGTGTAGGGAGGGAGAATGGTAAGGTTTTTGCTAGTTTCATGTTTAAAAATTCATTCAGGCCTTTTTGTTAAATTAAAATAGAATTTTAGCTAATTAAATAAAAAATTAATATTTTATAAGAATAATTATGTATATTATTTCACCGGATAAATATGAATTGCAAATAAATAAAGTATATAGATAATGTCATGTATTTGCTTTAATTAATGAAGTATTTACCACACTGTCTGCCGATATGAGATTTACGTATTTGCTTTAATTCAAATTATTATTTAAAATGGTACATTTGTATAAAGATCTCAACCATACATCTTTTAGAGTTATAGACCTTGTTAATTTATTTTTTTCTTGCTGTATTTCTCTCCCCTCTTTTTTTAATTTGATAAAATTCCAATGGGCTAGGTGAAAAGGGGGATAATTGGAGGGTACCGGATAATTTGTATACATTTATTCCTTTAAAAAAAAACTTCCTTCTTTGTTTTGTTTTTTTATTATTCTGAGTCTTTGCTTGACCTTCTGTTTTATTTTTTGGTCTTTAAATTTTAAACATTTTCATGGTAAAGTTTTTCTTTTTTTCTTAGCTCTTTAATCTTAATTAACTAGTGTTGATTTGATAGTTTTATTCCAATATGATTACATTTCTAAATATATTTAGTTCTTGAATTCTTGAATAGTTTTAATAGATTTTCATCAGTTCAGAGAAGTTACATGTTGTACAAAATGCATGGATGGTGAAATCATTTTTGTCCACTTTCTACACATTTTAAAATAGTTATAGATTCTAGTCCAAATTTAATCCCGTGCTGAATTTTTAATAACTGAATTTTGCTTTAAATTAATACTTAGAAAAATAACTATAACTATAAAATGATTCCTTCATAAAAATGTGGTCCAGTGATCCTTTCTGTTGTTTTGTTCCATCTACCCATCACATTTTAGTAGTTTTGTTTGTAGCAGTCCATTTTTGTTTGAATGGTCCTACTGTATTTGGCTCAAAGATGGATCTACTTTATCTGGCTGCTGACAGTCAGGATGGAGACTAAAGGATTTATAGGTGGCATATATAGAACTGTTGGTTTAAGTCATTACCTATGTCAGATGAAAACTGTTTCTTGCATTAAACTATCTGTAGAGAGTAAATGTCCATAATGCAATACATTTTAGGTTTCTGTTGTTTTTTTTTCTATTTATTAAAATTTAATGACTAATCAATCTAAACAGTATGGTCTGTGATCCTTAAAAAATGTAGCTTTTTAAAAACACTGAATTATGTAAAAACTCAAATTTAGCATAATTTTACTCACTGCTTTATATTTTTTTAAACAGTTTGTTGAACTTCTTATATTTCTCCCTGCATTATAATTATACAACACTGCCACAATTTTTTAGAAAGTTTCAATATACAGCACTGTGTAGATTAATAATTTCATATACATTTAAAAACTAAATCTAAAGACGTCAGCTTGTATTTTGACAGTAGAAAGTCCCATATCTGCTGGACAAAATTCATATGTAATTTTTTTTTTTCAATGTGAGTTAGATGTTTTTTTAAACTCAGTTACAATTTTTATTGTGCATGTTTTTTTTAACATTATTCTATAAACAAATAATTGTAGTAATTTTAACTTTTACAACATTTTTTTTTATCTTTTGTAGTAAATTTCAACTTTTAAAACATTTTTTTAAACCTTTTTTTTTTTTTACCTCCTTTTTAGTTTAATCATATTTTTTTAAATTTTAGGCATGGAAGAATTCTTGATATTGTCTGCTGTGATTTTTTTTAATTGTGCCATTTTAATGCTGCATTTGCTTCGTCATCCAAGAAATAGGCAGTATAAATATGAATAACAGCCTACGTTATATTATTTTATGAATGCTGCTAAGCTGTTGCATTTGTAAATGTACTGCTATAGAACACTAACTCTACTAAGCACAAACTCAGCACATGTTCTTTCATTGTTATTGATTTATTTAAAGTGTGAAAACAGCCTCCTGCTATTCACACAATTTATTTTTCTGCCTGACTATTTAACCACTGCAGCACTGGAGCATCTGAAGATTTTGCTCCAACATCTGTGTGCACAAGTTAACCCTTGAGGACACTGCAGCATTTGGTTTCACCAGAGCTTAGCTACTAACAACAAAAATCTTATGTGGATTTAACTAGATACTACAACCACTCTTGAAATAAACTAGTTTTAAAGATATATTTAAAATGGGGCATTGGTACTCACTTAGACGAGATAGTTCTTTTTCATTTTGGGAAGAGTTCAAGACAGTTTTTTATAAATACACACTAACTTTTAGTTATTGAAACTTGGGGGTTTTACTTTGTTTACCTGAACTTAATGTTTGTGTGATCTGGAAACATGTGTTTTTGTTTCTCCCTTGTCCCTCCAGGACACAGATCCAGAGAATAGCTGCCCTAGACTCCAGCTGGGCACACCTGGGCAACGGTCTCAACGCCCACAACCACCCGGCGTGGCTGCAGCTCTATCTGAGTGTGTGTAAGCTGTTGGACATGTGTGTTGTCCTGCCGGCTGACCAAGTGCCTCAGTTCCAGCTGTAAGTGATGGGTGGGGGGGGGGGGGAGACGTTAGATTGTTGTATGGGTGGTGGACGGGAGACATCAGATTGTTGTATGGGTGGGGGACGGGAGACGTCAGATTGTTGTATGGGTGGGGGACGGGAGACATCAGATTGTATGGGTGGGGGAGACATTAGATTGTTGTATGGGTGGGGGACGGGGGACGTCAGATTGTTGTATGGGTGGTGGACGGGAGACGTCAGATTGTTGTATGGGTGGTGGACGGGAGACGTCAGATTGTTGTATGGGTGGGGGACGGGAGACATCAGATTGTTGTATGGGTGGGGGACGGGAGACATCAGATTGTTGTATGGGTGGGGGACGGGAGACGTCAGATTGTTGTATGGGTGGGGGACGGGAGACATCAGATTGTTGTATGGGTGGGGGACGGGAGACATCAGATTGTTGTATGGGTGGGGGACGGGAGACATCAGATTGTTGTATGGGTGGGGGACGGGAGACGTCAGATTGTTGTATGGGTGGGGGACGGGAGACGTCAGATTGTTGTATGGGTTGGGGATGGGAGACGTCAGATTGTTGTATGGGTGGGGGAGACATTAGATTGTTGTATGGGTGGGGGACTGGAGACGTCAGATTGTTGTATGGGTGGGGGACGGGAGTCGTCAGATTGTTGTATGGGTGGTGGACGGGAGACGTCAGATTGTTGGATGGGTGGGGGACAGGAGACATCAGATTGTTGTATGGGTGGGGGACGGGAGACGTCAGATTGTTGGATGGGTGGGGGACGGGAGACATCAGATTGTTGGATGGGTGGGGGACGGGAGACATCAGATTGTTGTATGTGTGGGGGACGGGAGACATCAGATTGTTGTATGGGTGGGGGACGGGAGACGTCAGATTGTTGTATGGGTGGGGGACGGGAGACGTCAGATTGTTGTATGGGTGGGGGAGACATTAGATTGTTGTATGGGTGGGGGACGGGAGACGTCAGATTGTTGTATGGGTGGGGGACGGGAGACGTCAGATTGTTGTATGGGTGGGGGACGGGAGACGTCAGATTGTTGTATGGGTGGGGGACGGGAGACGTCAGATTGTTGTATGGGTGGGGGACGGGAGTCGTCAGATTGTTGTATGGGTGGTGGACGGGAGACGTCAGATTGTTGGATGGGTGGGGGACAGGAGACATCAGATTGTTGTATGGGTGGGGGACGGGAGACGTCAGATTGTTGGATGGGTGGGGGACGGGAGACATCAGATTGTTGGATGGGTGGGGGACGGGAGACATCAGATTGTTGTATGTGTGGGGGACGGGAGACATCAGATTGTTGTATGGGTGGGGGACGGGAGACGTCAGATTGTTGTATGGGTGGGGGACGGGAGACGTCAGATTGTTGTATGGGTGGGGGAGACATTAGATTGTTGTATGGGTGGGGGACGGGAGACGTCAGATTGTTGTATGGGTGGGGGACGGGAGACGTCAGATTGTTGTATGGGTGGGGGACGGGAGACGTCAGATTGTTGTATGGGTGGGGGAGACATTAGATTGTTGTATGGGTGGGGGACGGGAGACGTCAGATTGTTGTATGGGTGGGGGACGGGAGACGTCAGATTGTTGTATGGGTGGGGGACGGGAGACGTCAGATTGTTGTATGGGTGGGGGAGACATTAGATTGTTGTATGGGTGGGGGACGGGAGATGTCAGATTGTTGTATGGGTGGGGGACGGGGGACGTCAGATTGTTGTATGGGTGGGGGACGGGAGACGTCAGATTGTTGTATGGGTGGGGGACGGGAGACGTCAGATTGTTGTATGGGTGGGGGACGGGAGACGTCAGATTGTTGTATGGGTGGGGGACGGGAGACGTCAGATTGTTGTATGGGTGGGGGACGGGAGACGTCAGATTGTTGTATGGGTGGGGGAGACATTAGATTGTTGTATGGGTGGGGGACGGGAGACGTCAGATTGTTGTATGGGTGGGGGACGGGAGACATCAGATTGTTGTATGGGAGGGGTATGGGAGTAAACATCAGATTGCTTTATTGGTAGACAGGAAATATCAGATTGTTGTATGGGTAGACAGGAATATTGTTATGAGTCCTTAAACTTATAATGTTGTTACTGAGTCCTAAAGAACATTTTTTCCTTGTAGCTACCGCTGGGCATTTGTTGGGACAGCTGGGGAAGATGAGTACCAGACACTTGAAGAAAGTAAAGACTTCACCAGGCGGCCCAGCTCTCTCTTTACTCCACACATCATCAGACTGTCTCGGCTCCTCAACAACAAGGTCAGTCTCAGACTTGTATTGTTGGCTCCTTCAGTGTCAGACTTGTATTGTTGGCTCCTTAACTGGTTTAACTCCCCCCATGAATCAAGCTGTGGTTTAACTCCCCCATAAATCAAACTGTGGTTTAACTCCCCAATAAATCAAGCTGTGGTTTAACTCCCCAATAAATCAAGCTGTGGTTTAACTCCCCAATAAATCAAACTGGTTTAACTCCCCAATAAATCAAGCTGTGGTTTAACTCCCCAATAAATAAAACTGTGGTTTAACTCCCCAATAAATCAAGCTGTGGTTTAACTCCCCAATAAATCAAGCTGTGGTTTAACTCCCCCAATGAATCAAGCTGTGGTTTAACTCCCCAATGAATCAAGCTGTGGTTTAACCCCCAATGAATCAAGCTGTGGTTTAACTCCCCCAATAAATCAAGCTGTGGTTTAACTCCCCAATAAATCAAGCTGTGGTTTAACTCCCCCAATGAATCAAGCTGTGGTTTAACTCCCCAATGAATCAAGCTGTGGTTTAACCCCCAATGAATCAAGCTGTGGTTTAACTCCCCCAATAAATCAAGCTGTGGTTTAACTCCCCAATAAATCTGGTTTAACTCCCCCAATGAATCAAACTGTGGTTTAACTCCCCAATGAATCAAGCTGTGGTTTAACTCCCCCAATAAATCAAGCTGTGGTTTAACTCCCCAATAAATCTGGTTTAACTCCCCCAATGAATCAAACTGTGGTTTAACTCCCCAATGAATCAAGCTGTGGTTTAACTCCCCCAATGAATCAAGTTGTGGTTTAACTCCCCAATGAATCAAGCTGTGGTTTAACTCCCCCAATGAATCAAGTTGTGGTTTAACTCCCCGATGAATCAAGCTGTGGTTTAACCCCCAATGAATCAAGCTGTGGTTTAACTCCCCAATGAATCAAGCTGTTGTTTAACTCCCCAATGAATCAAGTTGTGGTTTAACTCCCCAATGAATCAAGTTGTGGTTTAACTCCCCCAATAAATCAAGCTGTGGTTTAACTCCCCAATAAATCAAGCTGTGGTTTAACTTCCCAATAAATCAAGCTGTGGTTTAACTCCCCCAATGAATCTGGTTTAACTCCGCAGGTTGAGAAAGAACCCAAGCTGATCAAGTCTGATCTGGGTCGGCCACTGTTGACCCTCCCCCAGCTGCGCTCCCTGACTGAGCTCCAGTCCTTCTTCTACACGTTGTGCCACAGCACTGAGATCCACCACAGCAGCCACAAGCCAGCACCCAGAGAGGTCAGAAGCACCACGGACAGGTTCCTGGGCCATGTCAAGAGCAAGGCGGAGGAGAATGCTATGCCCAATAGAGAGTACATTGAACACCTGTTAGAATACGACTTCTTGGAGCCTTTTGTCTAGATGTTTGTGTGGAAACAAAGCTAAAGAACTTAATCTTGTAGTTAGTTCTTTCATTGATGGATCCAGATAAGTTTTGATAAGAAAGCTAAAGAACTTGATGTTGTAGTTAGTTCTTTCATTGATGGATCCAGATAAGTTATGATAAGAAAGCTAAAGAACTTGATGTTTTAGTTAGTTCTTTCATTGATGGCTCCAGATAAGTTACCCCAGCTACACATAAGTAAAAGAATTAATGAATATTATTCTGTGTTTGTGACACGATGCAGATTTTCTCTTAAAGAATGGACTCAGTAAGTTTTCTCTGTACCACTGATGCCAAACATCTCATTGTCCAACTATACAGATAAATTGTGGGTCAGAGAGAATAGAGATGGGACAACATGTACATAATTTTTTTGTTTTTTTAAATTCTATTAAAGCTCAGTTTTTGCTATTAATAGATTGATTCCTTTTTCTTGACAAGTGGTTTCAGTTGTCTTTTAAAAGTTGTTTTAATTTTATTTTTTTTTTTTTACTATTGAACGATACCCTTGTGAACGGAATTAAGACAGATTTTTTTCATTTATTTTTTTTTAAATAATATAATTGAAAATTCTCCTTGAATGAGTGTGTTTTGTTTTCCTGCCGTGGGTTTTGTTCAGTGTGTTAGTGGTAACTTATTAGCAAGTTGTAGAAGGGAAAGGGTTAGGTGTTTATATTTTGAAAAACTGTGTACAATAAAACAAAGCTGTGATTTTTAATGCTTGACTTTGCTGTGAACAATTTTATTTTTAAATTTATTTTTTTTCCCCTAAATTTATTTATTTGTTGTTTGTAAAATTGAAATTCAATTCATTCCTTTTACACAACCACTTTGAGACAGGTTATACTTCACTATTAGACATGTAGAAAATGTACAAGTAATCAAGGTATTTACCCCCTTGCTGTTGTAATACCACGTTTACACTTGCGACATGTATACTATAAATTTCTAGAAAAAAAACTTAACAATAAGTGAGTAGGCTCCCCTATTATCTTAGGCCCTATAGCGAATTTTTTTTTTTTAGACATGTATAGTATACATGTCGCAAGTGTAAATGCGGTATAATAATCTGACCAAAGCAATAATTCCATTTTGGTGTAAGCCAGAAGATTTTACACCTGTAGTCCAAGTTCTACACATTTGTATGAAATATTCACTGAGGTTGTTTTTACACTCTCATTAAGCATTTCCCATCAAGAAAGTATTGAAACTGGTGCAATATTTTACCAATTTTGACATGTTGAGGGTCTTTATATTTCATTAGATTTTTAATAAAATTAAAGATGAAATATTTGAACCACATGCTTTATCTACTCCTTCTGGAGCATTTTTTTGGCAGAAAAATGTGCCCTAGTCAACACTAAATGTTATGCTAAATATCTCCTAGAATTGGTGACTTTGAACTAAATATTTCCTAGAATTGGTGACTTTGAACTAAATATTTCCTACAATTGGTGACTTTGAACTAAATATTTCCTACAATTGGTGACTGTGAACTAAACATTTCCTAATATCTGTGAATTTAATTTAAATCTGTTTGAAATAAGAAATAAAGAACTAATCACTGTGCATATCATAATTTATTTTTACTCTCTGCTGTGCTTCCAAATACTTGTAGCTTTGCTTATCATAGTGAAATATCTCTATAAAAACTAAATCCAATGATGGCTGTTTATTTATTGCTCAGACTAAAATGTACTTACCAGGTGTACTATGTAAGTATTCAAATCAATTTGTTTCAGTTAAACTAAAGTTTCATTTAGCAGTAAGTTCATCAATGGACTTTAAAATGCAGCAACACTTTGGGAAAAAATTCATCTTCCATTCAGCTGTTCTCTTAATGATACATTTGGTTTAACTATTGATCTATTTTTATTTACTTTTTTTTAAATTAGTTTTTTGCATAATTTGATTGATTTCTAACATCTTTGCATTTTGTTTGGGGTGAATAAAAAGTGTTGTTTTTTTTCCTTTATAGGATTTATGTTTAGCCTGATACCACCTTAAGCCTCTGTAACCCTAGACCAAAATGTGAATAGTTTTTAAAAAATTTCTAACTAAATTATTTTCATATAAAAAATGTACTAATTTTTTTCACCTGTAATAACAGACCAAATTAGAAATGTATCTGGTCATTCTGTTAGCTACTAAGCTTCACCATATACACTTTTTTAAAAAGTTGATTTAAATTCTTGTATAATTATGCTAACTATATATAAAAATGATGCCATGTTTAACTGCATTTGACATGTTTTTCAACTAAAGACATATATATATATAAATTTATTAAGGTTAAATAAACCCTATCTTATTTTACCTTTAATTTTTTTGTGCTGGGTTAAATAAAATCATGAGATCACTTATTGAAAATGTGTTTTTTCTATGCCTAAAAACGCCTTATGATTTTGTTTTTCTTTTTATAAATATAAGAATGAGACTTAAAAATTATCAGGCTGTGCTTTGGCCCTTGATCTGACTGCTAGCTACAAACTGTCAAGTCGGCTATAGCAATATGAGCAGCTTTCAATAAAAAACCTTGAGCATCCAACCTGATGCAGTAGCAATTATCTACTGTGACATTTCTGGACAACATGCCAAAAATTCATGCACTAATTAATTAAACAATTATTGGAGAACTCATCCAGTTTTCTCAATTCATGATTCACTTTATTGAAAAATAAAAAATTATACATGCCAACAAAGATACAGTTATAGTTAGTCAAGTCAATATTTATACTTCATGACTAGCAGTATAACTGCATTTGAACAGTAATGTAGTTTATAAAATATACATAATCTTGGTAATTGAACAAAATCAGAATCATTCTAATCAACAGAATAAGTTCTCATTCACTTAAGACAAATGAAAATCAACAGATTTGTTAATAGTCTAGCATTGTATAATCAATTTTAGTTTTATAAGAAAAAATATTAATTAAATATTACGTAATTATTACCACAGTAATTAAGTGCGGCTCAACAACATGAAGTCAAATTGAGAAGTGAGGTGGTACAAAATAATAACATAAGTATGAGATGTTAAAACCCTACTTCCAACAGAAAAATATGAGAGTGCCTTTGTGTAACAATCAGCAACTGAATGCTGTACAGAAAATAAACAGAGCATAAGCTAACTTTAAAAATGTATTGCTTGTATGTAAGTTATTAAGTAAACTGTGAGCTTCATTGAGAAAAATAGAAAATTATCCATTAATTGTGTAAGTTAACTTACAATTAGTGTAGATGTGAATTCAATACACTGTCATTGTTATATTGAACTTTTAACCAAAAAAATATTTGGATTAAATTGATACTTCAAATAGATATATTCAAAAATACTTTAAATGCAATAACTATTATTGCTAAGATGTGCATTAAAGACATATTTGACAACAAGCTTATTAAATGAAACAACACTAATATTTTGATTTCATTTTTTCACCAACAAAAAAAAAACAATATATTGATATCAGTCGATAGTCTTTACAAATATTTTCCAGAAAAACTTTTTGAAACACAGGAACTTGGGGTACAGGAGCAAAAAAAAATAACCTGCAATCTAATTGCCAACAGATTTTACACTTAATGTATCCATTAAACATTTTTTTTTTTAAATAGTTTTAGTGTGCTGAGTTAGAAAATAAGCTGTGGTTTAAGTGTGACAACATCATTAGGCTTCGCTGAGAAAAATGGTGTCCATTTAGCACTTTATGATTAACACTGTTATTCTCTAATTTAGGTACAAAAGAAATAATGGGTCCGTCATCCAGAACAAATATACCAATGAATAAATAAAAATGTATTATAAATTATTTTTTAAAACTAGTATCAATTTAAAGAAGCGGACAAGTAACAGTTCATAAATATACCAATACCAGAAGTTGAACAAGATAAATACTTGTAGTCATTTTGTTTTTATATTATAAAATGATTCACAAAAAACACATTCTAAATGACGTACAGTTTAACAAATAGCTCAAACATTTAATTATAATTCTTCATCTGAACTTCAAAGACATCTGTGGTTTAGAAAAGACGTCTTCTACCCTTTAAAAAAAACAGTGTGGGTCTTTGAACATCAGGCTATAGACAGCAGCAGCCCTTGCTACGAGGCTTTGCCCACTAACACATCACACTACATATCATTTCATCAGTTCAATTTTTATGTCAGACAAAGTGAAGGCTGAGACCAAACCGGTGAATCAATCAATGTCATGAGCAGGTTCATATCTTTTCACTTACTTCTAAGCTTTGCTGTAGTTTTGGTCAATCAAAATAGTGATTATTAACAGTTACATGTAAGCAAAGCTATAAGAAGCAAAGTGTTAAATTCTTGGACAAATGGAAATCTTAATGGGAATTAAAATTATATTAGTTATGAAAGTTGAGACTAATAAACTAGGAAAATCATTGAGAACTGCAACTATCTAACTCTTATGTATATTTATTGACAGATTCACTGTCAGCCTGCGTGAGGAGGGTCCCATCACCTCAAGACAAAACTACCACTTGAATACAACTTGAGTTGTCTCCACCACAATTTTATATACTCTACTAATATTCTTCGACACAAAAATTACTTTCAAAACTTTCTATATCATGCTAAAGCTAAAATTCATAGTGCTGCATAACATAGATGGTTACAGTTAAAGAGATAAGATATCCAACAAGAAGAGTGCAATATTATATTATAAAAAGGTAAACAACACAAAAACATCAACCCTGATATAATTCCTTCTATACCTCACGGCTACTTAATTTAAATCACATTAATAAAATAAAATATGCTAGCCATTGTTCTAATGATATGCTAAAAAAAATTTCTTGTTATAACTTTAGTTGAATCCTTTTACTAATTCAATAGTGCTTTTTTTCATGTGAATTCCATTTCACTGCATAAAACTTAATAACATATTTTAGCTTTTTGCTGTGATATTAATTTTAATAAAACATAATGTGTAAAAATACTTAAATAGAATGAAATAGGATATATCGGCTTCTGGACTAGTTTTTGTATTTTTTTTTTTACAAAACCTGAATTATAAAATAAAGAACATGATAAAACAAAAATGACATAGTAATGAATAGTTGAAGGAATCAAGCCTCAACTTACAGAGGAAACATAAACCTGCCATTGGAAGGTTAAATAAATAAAAAATTGGAACATTTTGGTGCAAGATGCCACCTTGAGTCAAGCTTTTAAAAATGTTTTAATGAGAAGATTCAAACCAAAATGTAAAAATTGAATTAAATGATTAAGGAAAAATGTCTCTTCACCAAACCAAAACCCAAAAGCAAAACACCTAAATTTTACAAGAAAGTTTGGATTTTATTTACACCTACTTTTTTAGTAAAAACCCTTAATGATAGAACAGACTTACTTATTCCTGTAAAAAACTCAATGTTTTAAATTTGTCTAAACTCACTAAGTGAACAGAAAGTGCCAGCAAGAAACAAGATAGTTGATACCATGTTTTCATACACGCAGGAAGACAATCTCAAAAATAATAACAAAATCTGTGCAAGAATCAAGAGCAAACACTGACCATAATGATGAGCAAACAACTCCAGTTATGACACAATTGATCCAACTGTCACTCTTGCATAAACTTGTATGTGGATCTCATTCTTTCACACATGTCTTACTACTCATCTGTTCTTACAATTTAATTTATATATACAATCAGTTCAGGCTAAAATCACAGATTGTTCAGATTTTTTTATAAAAATTATCCTGTAACAAAGCAGAAGCAATAATGACAATTATAAAAATGAACATCTTATAAAATGCCATGAATTTTTTACTTTGCATACATCGTTGTATTATTTTCACATAAATTCAATAAACTACAAAAACTACTACAACTTTCATGTAATAAATGCCATTAAAGTCATCTTTCTAAGTCCTACAGTATTATTCAGCATTGCCCTGTGTAAAGGCATACAATGTGATAATATTGAGGCTTTATTCCTGCATGATACAAGGTTAAATTCTGTAACTCTGATATTAGCTACAATTTTTTTTTTTGCTTTTGTAATCTAAAACTATAAGTACATTATGCATTTATTTATATTGCTGAAACTAAAAACTAGGTGATCTTTTTTCTAATACTTGTACGGAAATTTCAAGAGATTCAAACATATCTGCTATCAAGGTCTTAAAACATAAAATCCTATCATACAAGAAGTAAGACTCGCAAGATTTTATATAGATGCAGGATTTACTCCTTTTACAGGAAGGGGGTGAGCTTCAGTGTTAAATACCCATTTATCTAACGGTATTAATGAATCATCAGAAAATATGAGGTACAAGTATTTGAGAGTTTCAGCCAGGAAGAAGCTCTGCTGCACATCATCCTGCTGGGGGTTTATCTGATATACATCCTTGATTCCTGTATAACCTCCTTCCACACGACAATTCTTCTCCAGTGCCTGAAATACACAAAATAAAACTGTCATATGAACCACTCTTTGTTTGTAAACATGACATTAACATACCTTGTTTATTGAGGGTGTTCAGTTTTTACAAAGAAAATTGTTAAGTAGAGACACAAAAAGCCCTGAAGAATAATCAAGTTCCCTACTCTGGGCTATGAGACAGCAATATTGGATGGTAGGGTTTGTATATGAGACCAACAATTTCTGAAGGATATCTGAATCATGCTAAAGAAAGGAAAGTCAGTCGGCCATATCCCTTCATATGCCAAGGTCTCTACAATCTACTTCATCTGCCCCATAGATTGCCGGGTCTGAAAGGTTAACTTTACTTAAGCTGGGCCAAATAAATTCATCCCAAATGCCATTTACTTCAAATACATTGCTTAACCTTTACAGCCCAAGGCATGATTTTATATTTCCTGGTTCTCTGTCCCTGTATTGTCGCATACAATTATATTCTTTAATTCTGTTCCCACATTACTAATCCAGTAAATCTCCTCAAACAAAACCATCTGAGATTTGGATACAAGGCAAATCTCTGGCACTGAAGATTGATGATAAAAAAATATCCAGGGCTGAAGGAATATATTACAACAAATAAGTCACAACTGTGTTAAAAGTTAGTGAAAAAAATTATAATGAAAGTGTGCTGTTACCTGAACCATTTCCCAGGCCCAGTCTCTGTATTTTTTATCCTTTGTTAATCTCCACATGTAGAACCAGCCCTCAATAACTTCAGGCCGCAGAATGTAGTATTTCTCATTTTGTCTGATGGCTTTAGCCTCTGTGTCACCTTCAAACCTGAATGACTCTGGTCCTAAGCCAGTTGCTGCAAGTTTTAAAATTTAGACCATTAGAAATATCTTTATTGGCTAAGACAAATGTTTGGTGAGCAGCCATTCAAAAAATAACCAAATTTAATTTATTTCTATTCACGGATGTATTTGTCTATTTACAAAACTTTTTCAATTAAAATATCTGAGAATGTAAAAGTTTGTGAGTGTATTAAACCTGCTTCTATAGTTAAGTTATGTAGTATGGTAAATTCACAAACACTGGAGATTCTATGTGCTATTTCTGTTCATTCAAAGGTGGCAGCAAATTGTAATGGTTAATGTTTTGTCAAAGGAGGATAAGAGGTTTGGGTCTACATTTATTGATTTAGAAATCTGGAATCACAGTTGATACATAAGTGAATTAGATTAATTATTTATAGTTCAAACCCACTAAGTCAACCACTGTGTTTCCATCTGCATGCCAATTACACACATGTCCAATATCTGTAATAAGCCAGTAAAAAGCTGCTATCCTGATATTCAGCTAATCAATGTGTGACCTCACTCAGAAATAAACATGCAGACTTTCCAAAGTGACATACAAAAATTGAAGGAAAGATAAGCTCACCTGTGCGTGTGTAAGATTCATGACAGGTGTTGGCTAGGTCAGCCCCCATCTTGATATATTTTTCTTTATCAGCTGAACCTTCGGCTCCCATGGCAACCATTCCAGCTACACAAAAAAAAATTTTTTTTAATTTATTTGATTTAACTAAAACCAATTTTTTAATATTTTTTAGCTATTAGTATAAACCTGTGTAATATTTTACCTGAGAAACAAGCCAAATGGTCCATCTTGTGCTCTAATCTGCCAGATCTGTATTCAGCAAAATAAGTCAAACCAGACTTAGATGTCACTAGAAGCTTTTCATAGAAGTTCTGAGGAGAACAAGCATATTTTTAAAATCTTGAACAATTTACATATTATTTATAGAAGATATAACTTGCACAAATAAATGAAACACAGGAAAATGTCTCATGTCTTCTAAGGAGATGTGTGATTTACCTTCATTGCATCGTCATACATTTGTCTAGCTTCTGTGTCTTGTTTGTTTGATAGAAGCCACTCCTTGAGTAAATATTCATAGAAACTGTCCCCTAAAGCTCCCATACTAACATGTACTGAAAAATATTATTGTCATATTAGACAAAATGTATTGAAGCTTCAACATTGTGTACAACTGCAAACATATAACCTAATGTTTCAGTCATAGAAATTCACTAAACCAACTTCATTAGTTTTGAATTGGTGAAGCACATAGTTGAAATTACAGTAGTTAGAGAGGGTATATATTCATTAACAAGCAGTGTTCTTGCATCACAATTTAGCTATTATAGGTCAATTACTTCTAAGTAACAGTACTCCACAGTGATAAGAAATAAGTAACAACACAAAACGTGCTAAACATAAAGCTCTTGACATACTTTGTCCCCATTTTCCAGTTTTAGGATTGATATAATTTGGATAATATCCATCAGGTTTTTCCACACTTTTAAGAAAGTCTCGGATTTTCATCACCTGTCAAATAGATTTCTAACATAAAGTCATAGTCATTGTTGTATATAGTATAGACAACAATGTAATGATATTCTATCCAACTCGACTACAGCCATTGAGAAAATATGTCACAAAATGCAAACCTCAGCCTGAACAACAACCAATCCATGAAGACTGATTGTTGTGTGCTCACCTTTTCTCTGTAAATGTCTTCCTTAGTTACACTGGAAAGATAGTCAAACTCAAGATGAAGAGATCCTACTTCAGACAAAATAGAACAGCCACCTGAAGCCCAACCATAGTTCCGAGATGAGCCCCTAAAACAAAGAAATAAATTTTTAAATACAGAATGTGGGGTTTTTTTTAAAGTTAAGGTCAGACAATAAAATGAATTCTTCACCAGAGTGAGGGGAAAAATGTATTACAGAGAGTAATTTATATAAAAAAGGAAGACATACGTTTTTAAGTTAACTATGGCATAGGGCAGCCCCGTAGGAGTACCAAAAGCGGGAAGCAATTTGTCAGCAATGAACTTTGCTTTATTCTTGAACATCTAAAAGGAATGTTTTTTTCAATTAGTAATTCAGTGCTGACTACAAATTACTGCAGTTATAATTACTTTAATCTTTAAAAAAGAATTATACATAACAGACCAATAAATTGGTCAAATATTAAATTAGTTTAACAAACAAGTAGTTCAGCACTTTGGAAAGTTAGCAAAAATAATTAAATCTTTAAGACAATTTGTAATAAAGTAAAAGTGTAGCCTCACCTGATCTCCAGTGAGTGCATAGGCAGAGAGGAGTCCACCAACAAACCTTATGTTGGTCTCAAACACTGACAACTCGGCTGGCTGAAAAAGTAACAAAACACACACAAAAATAATTAGCTCTACAAGGGTATTGCGTATCAAAACATTTATAGCACTAGAAAGGGTAGGACTGCCTTATGTTTTATGAAAACACTCAATGCTCCAACACAAGTATCCAAGTTTAAGCCACAACTTTGTTTCAGATATGCTGCTTTTACAAATACACTAGTATATTGTTTGAAATGTTGACCAATTTGAATTGTCTACACTAATGACTGGCTAACACACTGCTTAGCAACATACTTCATACATTTATTTTGTACCTGGTCAAAGTTAAGATTCTGGGCTATCCAGTCTCTGGCCTTTTTGTATTCCTCATCCATTTCCATGATATATAACGTATCAACGGCATCTACAATTGTAGCCCCAAATGAAGCCGCACCAAAAATGCTTCCACTGTGAGCTGTTTTAGAGATTGGTCTGTGCTCATTAGCTCCCCAACCATACTTCTCATAGCCCTGCCAAGCGTGCTGCATCATCTGCAATGTCAAATTGTAAATGCATCACTAGTTTAATACATTAAACAAACAAAATTGAATAAAAAAATAGACAGTGCAGGTTTATTTTTTAAATAAAACTGCTTTGATTAATTTCCAACAGGTGTCATCAGGAATGTTGTATGAGAAACAATCAATAACTATAGCTTTGTTCATATCTCACTTATACAGATGAAATATACTTTGATTTGAAATAGACTAATATTAATTCAACCCTCTCACGATTAACAAAAATTTTGTATAGAAACTTAATTTAAGCTTCAGTCAAAAGCTAACATGTTATAATTTATTTTATAAGATAGATTTTATATTTCAAGCTCCAACCTCGAATAATAAATACACTAATTATTAAACGAATAATAGAAACAACAGTTATATTATTAATTAAATCTATTGCCAAAAGCTAATTAATAATGCATTGCAAGCGACAAAACACATCGGACAACCATCTTTATTTTAAAGCGAAATGAGGCTCGAGACTGCTGACCTTTGCCCTGACCCATGACCTAAGCTCAAAGTTGAAGAAATTGGATATAGCAAAAATTACTACTTCTGGTAAACGAAAATTAAACAAAATTTCACAGAAGGCAGAGAATTAGATCTTTTACTTACATGTGAAATTTCATTTATCTATCTGAAATAGTACTCAAGTTATAGGCTTTGAAAAATTCAAAGTAGAAAAAGTTCCACTTCCGGTTATCGGAAATCGCTCTAAAGTTGATACGGATCTACGATTTTGATATATTACTTATATATGAAATTTCATCATCCTAGCTGTAAATGTACTCAAGTTATCGTGTTTACAGACACACACACAGACATATGGACAAGATTGCAAAACCATGGTTTTTCAGACTCAGGGAGGTGTAAAACGAGATTTGCAAAAATCTCGATTTTTTTTTTGCACAATTACAAGACTTTCTCTATACTTCGTATATACGAGAAAGTAAAAAGGATTCAGTATTTTTTGGCCATCCCATTGAGAATCTATTTATACAATCGGGTCTTGGTAAAATGTGAGAGGCGAAACATGAAATGGGGAGGCGGTATAAAGCGAGACATACCTGCGGAATCAAGGTTAATAGCGAGACACAATTTGCCAGACGTTTTTATTTAAAATAATTTTTTTTTTAGATGTGCGACGAAGAAAAGATATAAACTAAACATGTCTATCACAAGTGTTGTATGCTTATTTGATTTATTTTTCTCTTTATCTAGAATCAGGGTCTAGATCTCGGTTTGTTTTTAAGATATTAAAAAATGCCTAAAGGTCATTGCTCCCATTTTCCATGGAGGGGTTACTGAGTTCAGATTAGTTTAGATAGCAGGAGGCCCAGACCATTCGCCATAGCATAAACATTGCTATCTGAATCGTCAAAGACGTCACTTTTTCCTTAAACCGACTAATATGAGAAACTTTCTTGGGGTCACTGTAACTTCATAAGGAGAATAAAGCATATGTTATAAAATTGAGCATATGTTATAAAATTGATAGTTACCACACTTAATTTTCCACAAACTAAGCATAAGAAAAATATAGGCCTACTTGGTGTCATAAGGGCTACTAATTTATTGACTTTATTAGGAACAATCTCTCCAAGAGGTTTATTGTACACAGATTAATTCAGGTCACTGTTTTACCAAAACAGAAAAAAAATATTGATAGCAGCTCTCGAATTTTAACTGTTGTTAAAAATTTTAATGAGTCCACCATTATTGAGTAATTGCGAGGCATCGCTCACAATCTGCCTTTTTAAAGTTATAATAAAGATAAAAGTTTTTTTCTAATGTTTGTTTTGTATTTTTATATTAATTTTGTTTCTCATCATTTTTGGTTTTTCCTTATATAAACCTCAATTGGGGGGGTTTTTGTCCAGGGGGTTTATATCGCGGGGGGTTTTGTCCAGGGGGTTTATGTCGCAGGGGGGTTTATGTCCAGGGGGTTTTTGACCGGACACCCCAATACATTGGAATTCAGGTGTGGTAAATTTTTTGCCGATAACAGCACAATTTACCCACTTGAGGCAAACTTATAAATTATTGGGTGGGGCTAAAATGCGAGACTAATTTTTATGTGACAGGCTGCTTTCGCATCTTCCTCACAATTAATCACCTCCGATTTTACCATAAATCCATAAATGACGTCACGCTTTTTACCTCCCCCACCCTCCCCTCCGTTACAAAAAGCCAGCCCACCCCCCCCCTAAACAGATGTCAAACCTCAGCCTACAACCCCCCCTCAAAATTGTAGTTGAATTTTTTTTTTAAACATCAATATTTTTCTAAAATCTTGTCTGAACTCTATCAAAATAGAGTATATTAAAAAATTCATATTACAATTTATTAAAACCGTTTTCTAAAACCTGAAATAACGTCTAATTTGTTTTCTAACATTGCTTTTTCATAATGCAAAAGTGTGACCTCGCCGCACCATCTGAACCCCCCCCCCTCCCCCTCATCACACACCGTCACAAAATTACAGACCCCCCTTCCCCCTACGAGTCTGACGTCATTTATGGACGACCCCATTGCAGATAAACTGAATTAGATTTAGATCTAGATCTAAATGGCTAGTCTATATAGTATATAAAAACTGGAAATGTCAAGTTTGAGCCAAACATCAAACAGGCTTAGCCGCTTAACTGTTTAACAAGAGACACTGGCCTACCTCTTTAACTTTATCTCGTTTTTCTTTTGCATCTGGATCAGTAGGTTCACCACCCCTAGCTCCAGGATGCCCTTCATGATCTTTATTAATTTTCTTTGCATCTTCCAGTTTTCTTTTCATTTCTTCTTCTTTTTGCTTCTTTTTTTCCAACTGAATTGTTTCTTTTAATTTTTCAGCTTCATCTTTGTTGATATTATTTTGACTTGACAATGCATTGTTCATTTTTTGTTGTTCCCATGCTTCATAGATTTTTGACTGCAGATTCTTTTTGTCATTACCGTTCTTCCCAAGTTCATAAGTCTCTTTTCCAATGGGCACCCCATCAGGACCTGTTCGAACTTCGGGAACAAAAATTACTTCAGCTTTATGAATTGTATTTCGCACATCATCCAAAGAGACCTTTTCTTGCATATTAGGTAAAAACATGAAAGCACACAGACAAACTATAGTGAATGTCATAAACACCAACAAAATTATATACTTTTCCCGCAATCGTAATGTTTTACGGCCTTGCGGGATTGGAACACCATTTACATAACGCTGATAAAGAGGCAGCGTCGTTGGTCCTTTGGCTGCCATGATGTCGCTATGTTATGATGATACGATTCTGCAGCGAATAAATAATGTGAAACGATAGGTCAGAAATAAAGGCATCTATTTTTATCCCGATTGATGTGGCAGTCACGTGACACTAATTTTCAAATCACGTGACAGTTTTTCTGTGCGATGGTCTTCCTTGTTTTTACTTTTAGACCACGATCTTCCATCGTTAGCCCAGGCCTAGAGTAGAGGTCAAGATCCAGTATTCTGTATCATTCCCCCCCCCCTTCTTTTCCTCAATCGACAAACATTCCTTCGGTCTGAGCATGCGCATGAAGGTAAACAGAGTTCAACATGGCCATTGAGTTGAGGGGCAAGCGACCTATCATCAGCTGACAGATGTATTACTAGAACTAGCTCTAGATTCTAGATGTAGATGGCAAAAGATGGTGTTTACTAGATCTAGTCTAGTCATATATTTAGACTAGCTCTAGTATTATAATTATAAATATTACTATTAATTAGTCATTAGATTATTGACTACAGAGATCTATTCTATTCTATTGCTGTTAATGTCTCTTCTTACACTTACTTACACTCTCTCTCTTACTATTATGATACTATTATCACTCTTACTCGAGTCAATATTCAATAACTTATTTATGCTTAGAAATGTTTAAATATAGGCTACTAAAAAATAAATGACACTAAATAAATTAGTTTAAATTACTAAATGTAGAGTTGGCTAAATACACATAGTAAATAATTAGTATTAATTAGAATATTTATTAGTAACTATTATTAGGCCTAGGCTTATTTAATAATATTTAATTCTTTTTTTAGGGCCTATAAAAAAGTAATGGACACAAGCGAGAAAAGTCTCAAAGGTATTTGAGAGGTGTATAAATTAATTTAAAATTCTTGCACGGCGTAGTTACAATTAATATGGTTATAAAATCCTGTCTGTCTGGTTTTTTTCGGACTTTACTAAAGATTGGACGTATTTGATGTTTTTAATATTTTCGGTAACTAAATAAAAATTAAAAAAAAAGCAAAAACAATTTGGTTTTCACGTGTAATGGCGACATAAACAATGGCATCCTGCTATTGGATAGGCCGACAAAAATTTTATTGTACACATTGTAAGCTAAAAATAGAAAACTAGGTCATGGGGTTTTTAATTTGCATTGTTATTTAAAAACTTGATCTGCAAAGTTTTGTAAACAAATAGTTATCGATCACTAAGTTACTGTACAGCCAATCAATATTTGTCTTACGAAAGTGAAACATCCGGTTATAACTTAGGCTTGATGAAAATAAATAGAAATGTAGCCTTAAACTCAACAAATTATTTTCTAGTTCTCTGGATTTGCAACTTTTATAGCATTTATTCTAAAAATATAAAATTTCTAAATTAATTTTAGGCTTAAGTTTTTATTTTTTATTTTTTTTTACGGTCTAAATCTAAAAAGCACGTTTTTATTCCATGACAACAACACTATGAAAGGAATCTCGTCAACTCGCTTGTCTCCATTGAATAGGCCTAGCCCTAGAAAAAGACTAGGTCCTAGATCTTCTAGATCTAAGTAATTTCAAATTTCTAGTAGATCTACTAGATCTAGATATCTAAGTCTAAATATCTAGATCTAATAATTTTTACAATCAATTTAAATAAATATTAAATACCCAGGCTACATTTTACTTTTACATGAATGTAATAAATAATAATGATTAGGCCCCCTAATTATACACAATTAGATTCAAAATTAAAAGAATAGGTCAATAGTAATATAGTGTGGTCAGTTCTAGCCCAGCCAACTTTATTAATATTAATCCTTAACTTCAGTGATGTACCCATTCAAGTTGATTAAAGCTGAAATGCATTCCTGCTCTCGAACACACTATCCATAGTATTTTTAGTAGTAGTATAGTAGCAGTTAAGGTCATGTTGAATATGACATATAGGGCCTACTCAAATTTAGTCATTCGTTGTCAATTAGATTTTAGATTGCAAATCTTTTAAAATAATTAAAATATTAGGCCTAAATACATTCCAAATAGCCCACTCACAAAGCAATAACATCCTTTTATGTCAACTCAGACTAACTCAATACAAAATCTGCATGTCTTTTAGCCTATATCCTGTAATTTTTAAATATTTATACCCTAGCCCTAACTGTGATACAGCCAGAATAAATGTTGATACATAACTGTTACTCACAATTGTATAAAAACCTTAAATATGAAATAGTGTAAATACCAAAGTACTTTGATACCTATAAGCCTAACTATAATCATAATTACCAACATGTATACAAGCTACCGCTAGCCTGAACTGGAATAATATTAGAAAAAAACTCGCATTTCAGTCTCTTTTTTTTTTTTAAATATTTCATTAAGGAAATATTTTGACTAAATTTCTCATATGGAAATGTAAAAATAAGGTTATTGTTAATTTTCAAGGCGCTCTAAGATGTATTTTTATTGACTAGTTATAGAATCATAGTTGTGTATCCAACCTGTTATTGGCCTGTTAAAAATGCACATAGGGCCTGTTTCTATACTTTTTTTTTTTGTTTTAAAAGACTTGACCTGACAGGGATAGTAAAATGCCTAAAAGTCACGATATTCAGTCATCTTGTTTAAATCGGGATCATCATATTATTGAGTCAAAAGGAGCTGAGCTGAATAGGTGAAAAAACATTTTAAACTTGGACTACAAAATTTGAACTACACCATTTTTAATTATTTGTTTATATCTATATATATTCATCATAATTTAGTACCTAAATAGTAATAAATACAAAGTAGGGTCTTAAAATTTTGAACTGCATCTTTTCTGCAAACAAGTGTAATTGTTGATTTTTTTTTTTCACCTGAAAATTTTTTGTGAATTACCGGTACATGGGAGTTTAGAAATTATTACGCTTTATATTTATGCTATAGCAACTGCCTCCAAACCATTTTTCAAGTTTGTTTAGAACTGAAAAATGAATTGAATCAGAAGTTATTATGCATACTAATCTGTTAAGTATTTGATTAAAATTACTTTAAATTTAATAAAATGTTTACATATTTTTTTAAATTTCTCTTCAGGGTCAGTGTTGGTCGAAGCAATTCTGCTCCGCAAGCACAAAATAGAGCTACCAAGATCAATTCCAAGCCAATGATTCATTCCCCGTTAGACGTTTCACCAAAATCGCCACAAACCAATGGAAGCAAAAACTTGCCCATCTTATCTGATGGTATCATTCATGTGAACCACAACCAGGCAGCCCAGGCAGCTGCTACTGTCTTATCATCCCACGAACTTTACACCAACAGCTCTTCACCTCACACATCTTCCACACCACTGTGTGACTCTCATCACTCACCTTCATCTACAAAACGCTACTACCAGGAATCTGAGTCAATGTTTAACCTTGAACCCCAGCCAGATGATGTGTGGCAAAGAAGAGACAAATTTGCTTCATCACTCGGTCACTCCGTAGAAACAGATTCCCCCACTAGGAGGAAAACCAACTTAGTCAATAATAACACCAAAGAAAGCCAAATAATAAACTCACAATACAATATGGCATCAGATGAAACTACACCTGAATTAATCAAAGTTACCATAGACTCAGAAATTGCTGTAAATGGAAACGCAGATGAAAAGTTAAGTCATTCACTAAGGTAAACTATGCTCTATACCTAAATATGTTTAGTTCAGTATATAAACTCAATTTCTAAATAGTTTCTAGTTGTTTTTTTTTTTAAGAAATGACAATATACTTGTTTCAGACTTTGATGGTGCATGGTTTACACTTCTTTCATTTTCTTTTCTAGTGATACAGAGCAGATTGATAATGAAATGAGGAAACACACACAGCGCTATCCCTTTAGGCAAGCACAGTCAGTCATTCTACCCAGTGAGATGGAGAGGAGATTGTCTTTGGCGCACGTCAAAGAAAAGGGATATGCAAGACTTGAAGAGGAGTTAATGAAAGCTCAAAAGGTTTGTTGTTGGCCCTAACAGCTTGTGCCTGTACTGATGATTTCCATAATCTGTTTGATGTGAGGCTTAGAAGCCAATACTAGTTTGTAAGTTGTTTCAGGTATAAACATTTGGTTTGTGGTGATCTCTGTGGTTTTTCTTTTTATCATGTCATTCAAAAGGACATTTTTACCATAACTATTAAACAACTTTTCCAGGCTTTAGAAATGAAAGATGAAGAAGTGGATGAGCTGAGAGGAATCAGAGAAAGGCTAATGAAAGAAGTCAGTGACTTCACTGCTTCACTATTTGAGGTGAGCTTTTAAGTTAGTAAAATATGTAATGACTACTCACCAGTCTCCATTTAATTTACCTATCTTTAAAGCAAATTTTTATGTTATTTCTAAAGTAGGATTTTAAGCTGCATGTTCTAAACAGGTGAAGAGAGTTATGCTATATTTGTAATCCCATTATACCTATTATACATAATTGTTTAAAGGGCATAAGTTATTGAAATCTATTATAGGCTATGCTCTTTTTAATTAACTTGTCAATACTTTTTTAAACACTAGGAAGTGAATTCTCAACTTAATACTGCTGCCCTTAGTGAACAACAAGCAAGAAGACAACTACAAGAAGCAAACACCCAGGTAACCTTTTCATTATATGCTTTTTATTTTATATTGCTATGCCAGTATTGTTATATTTATCTGAAAGTTACTCCATTTCCGAGTGCAGTTGTCTTTGTAATATTGAATGATTAATGATTAGATAGTAAGAAATTTTTTTTTAGATAATGCATGTTATAAAAAACGAAGTAGCTTCCCTTTGTTTAGAAATGTGTTTGTAAAGTAAACTGAAAGTGGGGGCTTAGGAGGGAATGAGTTAAGTCATCTCACTATGAATATCTTCATGTCAACAAGAATCTGTGCTGATTTTGAAGCGGCAAAAAAATTTACTATTAGCCAGTGATGCTCTGTTTTCCTATCTGTATTTTATTGTATTTCAACTGCTGTGATCATGCACATTTTTTATTTCTCACAAATAATTTGGTCATTTTCAGTAACTGCGTAGATTTGAAATTAAATTTATTTTTGGGATGGTGTGGTTGAGTGCTTGACTGTCAATCCAAAAATAACTATTAGTTCAGTTCCTACAATTTAAATATCTCTGTTTTGTTTATGTAATGTTTAATTTATACACCAGACTAAACAATAATTTGTTTTCTAGATTGAGGTGTTATCCGCTGAAGTGGCAGCTCTGAAGGACTTGGTGCTTACGTCAACTCCAAGCAGTCCAAATAAGCATCTACATCCTCAAATTGATACACCAAAGAAAGAAAAGGGGGGTAAACCATTTTGGAAAACACATAGGAGATCTACAAGCCACCACCAGTTTACCAAGGAGTCCAGGGAAAAGGCTGAAGCCACCCAGCATCATTCACAATTAAAAGAGGTAAGAAAAAAACCACTCTTTTTTTATATCTACATTTCCCCCTGATTAGAACTGTATTAAAATCTCAAAACTTTTGTCTCAAGATGGACACTGTAGTATTTGATGAGTTTTCAAGATGGAGATTACAGCCAACTATGGAGTTTGTTGGCCAGTTTTTTACAAGGGTACAGCAGGAGGATATCCAGCCATGTCTCAATTTTAAAAACACTAAGGTCAGTTAAAGATTTTTTTATTCTACGTTATCCAATGTGCTGTTGTTGTTTAGAGAAATATTCATACACTAAAGAACTATGTGTTCTTTCATTTGTTGCCTAAAATTATTTTTTTTACAGATTTGAAAATATATACAATCAACAAATTTAATAAAGGTTTTTTTTTTTAATTTTGTTTCTTTGATATAGCTTGCAGATAAAATTTTAGAAAGTGTTAAAGGCAACACATTATCTATAGAACCTATTCCTGGTGATCATTCTTATCCAAGGTATGTTACACAATTAAAGCTGATTTGGCACTGCACTTTGTTTTCCAGCTGAGTTTTTATGTATGTTCACCTTGTTCCCACTTGGCATTACCAAAAGCACCTTTTGAGATTTCTGTCTAATATACCTGGTCACATCTTAATACTTTAAGTTGCATGTACTTTTACTAGTCACATTTATATTTCTGAATGTTCTTATCTATTTTCTTAAACAGCTGGTTTTGTTTTAAATTGTAACTAACCTATAGGTGATAAAAACAATTTATTTAAAATATTTGATGAAATTCCAATGCAAATCTGAGTATCTAGCATATGTTAAGGAAACTTTATAAAGATGGAAGGAAAGGCTCAGAATGGGTAGGGGGATGATTAGTATTGTATTTTTTTGCTTCCTGATTTTTTTATAATTGATTTTATATTTTCATTTTATAATGCTATTGAACAATTGTATTTCAAATATTTTTAACTTCTCTGAACAACTTAACTATTTATCTTCACTAGAAAGTGTTGCCTTTCTGAAACCCATAAGCTGTGCAACTATAAAATAAAGTTTGAGGGAGATGATGAATGGTATTCAATATCCCAGATGTCACGAAACAGGGTATGTTGTCATTTTACTTGGTATTTCTTTTAGTGCTTAACTGGTGAGTAATATTTAGCTCTTTGTTTCACATTGACATAGGCAGGTGATAAGTGCACCTGGATCCTGAGCTAGTCTTTCTATTTGTCCCTTTTTACCTATAGATGTATAATGCTGTTTAAAAAAATCTAAAAGCTTGTTTGTTTCTACACACAGATAGCAGCAGTTTGTGATTTTTTCTCATATCTCCGTTACATTGTGCAAGGTTTGGTCAAGTGTTCAGGTAAGTTTGTTTTAACATGCATCATATGCATTTATTTAGAAAAAGCAATTGAAGCACTGACCTTTTTTTTTTACTACATCTTAGTTTTAGGTCATTTTTATGTTAATAAAAACACTATTCGTTACTTTCATCAGTACTTTTTTCTTTGTTTATAATTATATTTAGTTTTATTTGAATTAAAAAAGCATTTTTAATATTTTTTTTCTAATGTTGTTAAATTTCTCAGCAACCCTACCATAATTCCCTTGATCTTCTGGTACACTTTCAGATAAAGACATGTATGCTGAACTTGTAAGGCTCAGAGAACAAATGGCCATGGCCAGGCTTGGTCTAATCTAATCTCATCAAATCTCTCATGCGCCCCCTCTTGTTGAATCTACTGTGCCAGTTGAGACATTACTAATGATATTAACTCAAGATTTTTTCATGCTTGTAACATCATGTACTGTCATTGGAAGTTCATATTTAGTTTGTATAGTCATACAAATCTGCATTGTATGCTAGCAAACAACTAACATTACAGCAAGAAGTCATTTTTCTATGCTATTACTTTTAACTATTTATTTTAATACTTTAACAACCTTTCAGTGAATGATTAGCAAAGTTCTAATATTAGCTTATATATATATATATATATATATTGTATGTTTTCCACAAGGTGTTGGAATTACATTTTTTATATTTAGCTCAACCTTTCTAATTGAAATGGAATAGGGTGTTTGTTAAAACTATTTTTTTTAAATATAAACTTGTCATTTTAATAAAAAAAATAAAATGTATTTTGATACATACACAGCTGATAAAAGCCATGTGAATAATTTTTAAGAGAATAGAACTCTACCTTTCTCATTGTCTTTTATTAATGCATTGACAATGTTGGACCTTTTGTACTTAATTTGTTTTATTTAACTTGCCCTGCCAGTACAGTAGTTCTTATTGTTTTTTCTTACTTTTATACAAGCAATAATACTTTTCTTACAAAAGGCTTTATTATTATAATTAGTACAAAAGAAAGCATCAAAGCTATGCAATAATTGCCTTTGGTAATATGTATGTACCCAGAAATGGACAAATTCTTAATATTTTGTTTAAAAAATCAAGTGTGAAATGAGTTTTTTAGGTTTTACTTGACTATTGTAATATAGTGTAAAGCAGTATTTAAAAATTGTATGTTATAATTTATATATGCAAAATAACCCAATCTTTGCAACTGACAAACTATTTTTGTTAGCTATTTACAGTGTGATGGCTTGCGTGAACTTAATTTATTTTAATGTTCTGTAAAACCAACTTAGATATGATTTCTGCTTGTACACAAAATAGAGGAAAAACAGGTGATTAGCTAGAAGTTATTTTTTAATTTAAAATCTCATTTGTATTTTTTGTTAGTCAATAAAAATACATTTTTGGGACCAGTCGATATTTTAAGTCTTTGGTGCTTTTTAAATATTGTTGGTAAAAATTCATATTAAACATCACATTTTAAAAATTTTGATATTATTGTGTCTTGGTACTGAACTGCTCAAACTCAATTATGCTTATTCAGATAGTACTAAGCTTTATCCATTGAAAGGCTTTTTAAAGTCAAAATTCATTTCCTATAATTCAAAAAGTGTTGTTTAACCATCAAATGATTGTGTGAAAAATATGGGCTGTACTATGTACACTGCATGCAAAGTGTTAGGAAAACCCATCTCTCTTAAACTGTTTTGCTTTCATCTTATCTTAATGTTACAATCACATATGGCATTAACAAGTTTGTGATCTAATAAAATTGTTTTTAAAAAGTCTATCGCTGTTTATATTTGTTAGCTTAACATTTGTTCTTTTGGCACTTTTAAAAAATAATTAGTATTTATAATCGGATGCAAACATTCATATATGCATGTATGGTCAAGGTGTTGATGTTGTTTCTATATATGTATATATTTATAATTCACTAGACGTGGTTATTGTTATAGTATTCTCAATATTAAATATATATTAATGCATGCTCAAAACTGGATGTATCATTTCTTTTTTCTAAATATGTATAAAGTATTTTTAACGAGTTGTGATTAGATCTCAACAGTTGAGTTGGATAATTATATTACTCCATGTTAACAATGTTGGTTGAGAATTTTCTGATTTTCAATTCAGTTTTTTAGAGCAAAGGCTTCCAGAGTTGTTGGTTTTTTTTTTTTTCATTTTCTGTTTATTAAAATTTTATTATTGTATATATAATTGGTTCGTGAGGCAGATTAATCTTAATCCAGTTTAATTAAGGGGAGGTGTCGCTAATGTTGTGGCGTTAATTAAAAAAATTTTAAATGATAAATATTTGCGTTAGTGGTACAACTAAGACTTGAATGTAACCTTATTTTTTTCTGTTCAAGTAGCAGGTGTTGCTGAAGAATGTGACCCTTAGATTACAATAAAGTAATAAATGTGTTGTGAATGATGCAGTGTGCACTATGACAATGCAAACTTTAAATATGTATGTAAGCACAACTACAGTGTATTTTATTGTGATACCGTAAAAGTCATTGCTTTTTATTTTGTAATATTAAGAGGCAAAGTCCTAATAGACAACAAAAAGAAAAAAATACACTTAAATGTACAATAATTGACACCGTTTAATTTCTTTCAGTATCCTAGTATAAAGAATAATCAGGATTATTACTCATAAATTTAAAAAATAGACAATTAACCTCCATGTTTATTGATAACGTGCTCGTCTGTTGTTTTGTTTGACTGGTTTTAGATGAGAGTTGCAAAACATAAATGGGACCAAAATGAAATAAAATGTGTTGTCGTTTGTTTAGATTCATTAATTAATCAAATACTCATTTCATTTAAGACCTATGTTCTTCTCATGTCATGTATATAGTCTTTCAAGTAAAACCAAAAACTTTTAGGTGTAGGTGAAATGCAACTAAAAGTTTATGAGTTCAGTGTTTGAGTCTTAAAATCCACCCAACTCTGGTGGGTAGTTATTCATATCTGATGCTTATTGTAGGGGATAATTACCTCATATTAAAAGCCACATTAACAGATTATCTCTACTTCGTCTGCCCTAAGAACCATAGCCCAAAGATTGTCCTTTTTCTTCTTTTTTCCATTCAGTTGTAGATATAAATCAATTCACAATTTGTTTATCATATTTGTAATTTTGTTTGCTGGTGATTTCTTCAATATTCTTTTAGTTGTTTTGGCTTGATTACATCCCACCTTTGTTGATATTTTTGTTGACTACAGCTGTTACTTTTTCATTTTTGTAGCTAAAGGAATATTTAGTTTTTAGATAGAGCCCTTCTGACCTGAAGAGTTCAGGACTTGAGTTTTTATTAACCTGAAATTGGACCCTAACCACTTCTAAATTTCTTTGGATTTTTTGTCTGTCATGTAGAAACACTAAATTTTCTTTACAATACTGGTTGGTTTTTTTTTTAAATAGAAAATTTTATTTTACTTTATTTTGGTTTCAAAACATAGGTTTTTTTTTTCAATGAAGAGAATTCCAGTGTATTAGTCACTGAATTAATTTCACCCAACCTAATATGCAGAATAGTATTTGTATACAGTATTTTAGACTTATTTTTAAGGAAGCTTATATAATATTTATAAGTGTTTTTTTCTCTCTGGCTGTACTTAATTAATTGGTAATGTGTCTGTGTGTGACTTTTGATACTTCAAGGTTTATCAAATCAAAAAATTATTTTTGTATATATTCTTTATTCTTCTTAGCTTTTTTTTTGGATTTTTTGTATGCAATCTAAATCTTTAAAAATAAACTATATTGAAATAACTACCAGAGACTTCACAGTTTTAAAAAAATGAGTAATACTTTTGGAATGTTTTTGCTGGGTAATAGGCTACTAGAAAAAAAAAATTGACTTAACAATATTGTAGCCAAACTATCACTATTGATTTTAACAAGTGCATTATCTAATTAATGCAATTTTATACACATGCTGGTATGAGTGTAGTGTGTGTAGCCAATTTAATCAATAAAAAATTTGCAACAGCCATGCATATTTATGCTATAAGGCAGGGACTATCTTAAAAATAACCAATTTTGAAAACTATTCAAGTCAAAGAATACTAAAACTGCTGTTAAAAAGGTTTTTATCACACTCCCAACTTCAGAACTTAACCTCTGTTGAACCTTGTCAAGTTATAACTGTTGTTTGTTCTCTTCAGATGTTAATTTTGGGTTTGTTTTTGAAATCAGTAGGCCTACAGTTAACTTGCAGCACATAAATATGTTACCTTTGTGAGACTTATTTAACAGACAGAGTGCAGATCATTTCTAATTATCCAGTAATTTTATCATTTATTTAAAATAGGATTTGCTAATTTAGTGGTATCATACTGTACTGCGACAGCATTGTTGAATGGTTTATGTTCAAATACTAAAGTAATAAAGTTCCCTTTCAAACCTGATGGTTTATGGGACAAGTGAAGTAGAGTTCACCTGTTTCTGTGACCTCTGCTTATGAAGGTATAGTGTGGTCAGCACTATGTCCAGCTGCTTTTATTTTCCCTAACGTGAGTTAGGTACCCATCAGAGCTGGGTGGACTCAGGGACGGTCTACTGACTTGAACCCGGATTTGAACCTGGAGACTTAAGGGTTAGCAGTCCAGCTCTCTACCTTACATTCAAATGCTAACCCATGCTAACCCTATAGTCTCGAGTTTGGATCCCTGGCTAGAGTCGTAGTCCTCCCAACTCTCATAGGTACCTGGCTTATGTTAGGGTCCAGAGGTGTAGCGACCCTGGCACCAACTATCAATTTTGTGCCCCGCCCCTCACCCCCATTTATAAATAACTATTTGGATTGTTGAAAAAAACACCCCCCCCCCAACTTGCAAAGGGGTGCTTTTTACCAGTCAATTTTTATTACAGTGTCACACATTCAAATAATAAGTCCATAAAGCTTATTAGCAGTCTATTTTCTTAACCTCGACTTAACCGGTTTGCCACCCCCTTAGGGTCGCGCCCGGGGCGGACACCCCACCCGCCCTCTGCCTCACTACGCCTCTGTTTGGGTCGCAGAATTAAGTGAACTCTATTCACCTACACTATGGGCTGATATGTTCGAAAGGGAACTTAACTTACCATTCAGTACTGCAGTATTTTACCCTACACTCAACACTTAAATGCACTATCACTATATTAAAATACACCTTGCCATTTTCCTCTGACTAAGCACTTCTTAAATTATATCAAATTCTAATTGATGTCAATAAACACTATGTATACTCTAGTAGCCTAAATAAAATACATAGTAGGCCACTATCTAGATCAATACAGAATACATTTCCAAAAAGGAACCTTATCTTTATGGATATTATACAAAAAAAAACTCATTATGTTTTTTTTTTCATTATCTTGCAATAAATAGTTAATATAGGCCTAGACCCTATATATATATATATATATATATATATATATATATATATATATATATATATATATATATATATATATATATATATATATATATATATATAGGCATACATGGGGACTATATATATAAAGTTTTATTTATTAATATTGTTTATACATTTAGTCTTTTTAATTCACACTTTAAATTTTTCATTGTATGTTTTTTGGAAGAATTCGGTTCATTTCGGCATTTGCTATCAGTTATGTGGTTTGTGTTGTCAATGTAAACTGAAAATACTAAATAGTAAATAGTGTAAATAAATACTAGTGAATGGAGAGATCTAAAATCTAGAATAATCTAATTAAAATAAAAAGGCAGCGGCCACTCAATCACAAGTCACGTTAAAAAGTTAGGCTATCTTCTTCAGAATGGTATTTAAAATTAAAATACTAGATAGATATAGAATATAGAGTCTAAATAATAAAAAATATTAAATTTATTAAATAATAGTAAAAAATTATCTAAATAGTAAATAATTATAAATAATTAAATAATAAATAACAAAACAAATCAATTAATTTTAATTTAAACAATAAACATCGATCTAGATTTTTTTATAGATCTAGATTATACAATATAAATTATTATATAATATATATAAATTATATATTATATAGACTAAGATAATACATAAACAAAATTACACCTAACTAACTCAACACTCAACACTTAAGATGAGTGATCATATAATTTTAGTTATAGCATTTGGCTGCTAGCCAGAATGCAGAAGGTCTTGCGTTTAATTTCGGACTTCTGACTGTAGGATGTTGCTGAGTCCACTCAGCTCTGATGGGTACCTGACTTACTTTGTAAAAAGTAAAGATGGCTGGGCATACGCATAGTGCTGACCACACTATCCCTTCATATGCTGACGTCAATAAACATGAAATCTACTTCATCTGCCCAATGGATTGCTAGGTCTAAAGAGGAAACTTTATAAAAATGTATATAATTATTTGGTCTACCTAGATCTTACTTTAATTAGAACATTTTAGTGAGACAGTTAAAGTTAATGCCAAATGTATATAATATAAGTTTCATTTAATTAGGTATACATGATGATGTTATCACTATATATATGTGCATTGTTTACATATTTCCTATTTATAAATTACTAGAGCATTGCCTTTATTGCTGCAGCAGGTTGACGCAATATGTTAAGAAGATTTCATAAATGCTTTACCAGTGATATATTTTTTAAACACGTGACCTTGTATTCTAAAACTGAGTTATTTAAATGTTAACAATGTCAGCGCTATATTTCTTGGATCTTAGTTGTTATGGCACAAGTTTGTCCACACTACCACCCAGATGCCCCAGGGTGTGATGTATGAAAGACTCTGTAATGGTGATTTAGAACACACCTATCCGACCCTTTAGGTTTCAAGGGCGTTGCGGGGTGCTCTTGGGAACTATTGGATACACTAACACAGGGGGCAGGGTACTGTCCCTAATTCGGTTTAATCATAGAATTATTGTGCCACAATTCTTTATTGTAGCAAGCTGTTTAAAAGGAATGTAGACACCATAGTAGGACGTGCAGAGTTTCTTCCAGGCATCTCTTCGAACGAAACGAAATTTATATAGAAAATATATACTTTTAACAGTGTCCGCCCCCCCCCCCCCCCCCAAAATTTCAAGTGCCGCCCCCCCCCCCCCCCCCCCCCTCAGAGAAAAAAGTCTGGAAGAAACACTGAGGACGTGCCTGATTTGATTTATTCCATTGTGTTTAGCACTCTTTAAAACAAACGTAGGGGCTAAAATGTTCACGGGAGAGCCCAGACGTTAAATCTCACCCTGCCACAGGGCACAGCCCATATGGAATCTTTTTTAAATTTTCCGCAGAAACCTCTCCTTGAGCATTCTCAACAACTTCCCATGGCAATCGGATGAACTGTGTAGAAAAGCTTTAACAAATAAACATACTTTCATTTTGATATTTATTGATATTTCATCATCTCTTCCTGCTCATCTGTTTCAATGACCTCAGCCTACAGGGATAGTGTAGTCAGCACTATGCCCAGCAGCCTTTGTTTTTCTAATGTGAGTCAGGTGCCCAAAAATTATATTAATTACACATTTTTAATGGGAATAGCCAGTATTGTTTTTTACATATAATTATTAGAGTGTTAGGCAAATTCTGGAACTATACTAATATAGATCTGTTTATAGTAGTTAGCACAAGACCAGGGAAATTTTCATCTACCAATATAAGAAATTATGCCAGCATGTAAGCAATATAAAGGCCAATGACTAACCCTTAGGGACAGACAATGAACAGAGAAGGAATAACAGCCAACACTAGCCAGGACTGCAGATTCAATGCATGGTGCAGGCAGCAAATATACAATTGAAGATCATTGCACCAGTAGATGTAAGAATCAGTGAGGAAGGTCCTGCTAGATTCAGCACTCATGTAGGAATTACAGTTTTTCTGAGACACCCCCTACATTGTTACCTATAAAGAGAGGGCTTAGGTCAGTGAGGAAAAGTCTTGCTGCTGTAATAGTGTGTTAAAGCATGCCATGCATGAGATTACAGAGGAAGATCAAAGTACAAGTAAACAAGGAAAGACTGGGCTTCAGTACATTTTTCATTTCACATGGTGGCTTTTTATTTTTTAGTTACACGCTAAATTTACAACACATAATTGTCAGAATGCAAATAATTAGTGTACTTTTATGTTTCATTTATCTTTCCCCTTGTTTCTTTTAGGGCAATTCAAGTCCTGCAACTCAGTCTGCAGTTCGATCTAGTGCAATACAAAATAATTCTCCAAACATTAGAAGACCAAAAACTTTTTCAGCTTGTAAGATATTTTTTCTTGGAATATTGTTAAAAATAATTATTCAAGGAAATCAATCTTTATGTATTTTGTATGATTTAAGTAGGCTGCTGATTGGGTTATTTTGAGATTCTTATTCTTAACACAGAGCCAACAGTTAGATAAATTAAACATGTATTTTAAATCTTCTCTTTTCTTTTTGTAAAAATCTAGTTTCTGCCAAGCAAAAGGATGTTTTATTAAAAAGGTATCAGTTCTATGATTCATCAGCTGGTGGATCAGTAGGCATTCCATTGGACATTTGTTTGGCCATGCCAGAGTTTGTGGGAAATAAACTGATTGGTGTTCTCATTCATGACTTTGCTAATCCAAAAACAGGATGTTTACACCAAGAGGAATTTCTAAATTTCTGTTCATTCCTCAGCCCTCTTACAAAAGTTGAGGAAAAAAAACTAGGTAAATAACAGTTTCACATCTAATCAACTAAGTTGTCTTTTTTATTGTGTTATTTTTATTTTTATCAGGTTGAGAGATTTTTAAAAATATGAATACTGAACAATTTCCTTTCAACTTGACAGCTTGTTAAATCTTTACTATGTGTTTTGTTTTATTTCAGTTCTTTTTGACTGCTTTAATGTCTACAAAACAAAAACTTTGACACATGATGAAATATTTAGACTCTACAAAGTGCTTCTAGGGCATACAATCAGTGATGATCATATTTTATCTTTGACATTTGAAGCTCTTCAACATCCTAAACTTAGAAATAAGGGTGAAATTCAGCGCGATGAATTTATTGAGGTAATAATTATTAAAAGTTGTAGAAAAAGAAATTTCCTTTAGTTATGACTAGACAGCTTGGAGTGCATTTGGCTGAAATAAAAAAACTACTGTGACATTTATTGATCTTTTGAAGTTCAATATCCTGATTTCTAATAAAAGGGAGAGAAGTATGTTCTAAAGAAAATTTATAAAGATGAAAGAAAGTGCCAAGTTAAAATTTCTGAAACAGGAAACAATAGTTTTTTTAGAGTACATTTTTTATTTTCTTTGTCAACTTTTATCAAGTATTGACTTATTATTTTTTTCAGTTTAAGTTAAATGTTTTTTAAAATTATGATATGAACAAGCAAAGCTTTTTCTCTTAATAAAATATATTCAGTGGATCATGTTATGAATGAATAATTTTTCTTTAATTTTACATTCCAGATGGCTCCTGATTCTGAAGTTGAAGAGAAATTAAGTGTACACTTTAATGTTCCTGCAGGCTAAAATTGTACCGATAAAAATAAAAATGAAAGATATGAAACCCGACATTTGACAAGAAATGTGGACTTATGACTATGATTTAAGCATTTATACATTTATTTTGACCTATTACCATTACACACATTATTTGTAAAAACAATACAGGATTGTACAAAAAAAATTGTGCTTTTTATAAGCGTAATAAAGATGTAAAAATGCATCTAGCTGATTTTTTTTTTACATTTGCTTTTATTTTATATTGCACTATTGCTTAGTATATATGAAAAGTTGCAATTTAATATTTCACAGCCTTATTTGTAAAAAGTACACACAAATTACAATAAATAATTAATTTAGTGAAAAGATGCTTGGTAAAATATTCTTTTTATTTTTTAGATATGATAAAAATATCATTAGTAAACAGCAAAAATATAATACAAATTTTATTCTAATGTTCAAAATATTTTTACCACAGAATAATATACAAAACCATTAAACTATGTTCTTAAAATATGTACCAGTATGCTTCTTTTTATTTGATAAAAATAACTGAAAATATACATTACTTCTCATTCAAAATTTGACAAATTAATTAAATTCTTGTTTAATGCAACACCTCACACCATTTGCCTTATCACTTTCTTTTTGTAAGTCAGAAAAAAATATAAAAAATTGTGTCAGCAAAAAACATGTCAAGCAAATTTAAACAAGGTAATATCTTTTCAGTGAAATGTTATAATAATATTTTTTAAAGGCAGTGGAATAGGCAATAACTGCACATTATTTATATGCATGCCACAAGCCCTCCATATGGAATGAGCACAACAGCGTTGCAAGAGCCAGGCTGTATGAGTAGATTTTTCAAACACTTTACAAATTTTCACATACATTGGGCTTTCATCCAAGTGAATTTTTTGCAGCGTGTCCAAAGTATTGTTTTGTTTTGCTAGATTTTTCAGTTTTGCAATATTTATTTGAAATTCTTTATAAGCTTTGATAAGACTGCTTTCAGACATACATTGTGAAATGTATTTGAATAATTTAAAGTCATTGTCATTTAAAATATTGTTTTTTAACTCAGATGGGGTATTAGGAAGAGGCAGTGACCATAGGGAAAATGGAAGAATATTTAATGCATAAGTCAAAGGTGTGGATACTCCTGGCATATGCCATGTGCCTAGTAAATCTGCATCAGTCCCATAATGTAAGAGCTGTTGAACAATGGAAAAACTTATAGCACCCATTGGCCTTGTAGATACTAACAGATGTAAAGCAGAGCCACAATGGTATAACTTAGATGCAGTAAAGCAATCATTGGGATTACTTTGAAACTGGTTAGAGTTTCCACAACTTGATCCATGTTTTAAAAGTAATTCTATACAAGACAACCCATATTTTTCAACTGGGCTGTTTAAGGAAAAGGTTTTGGATTCGTTTGATTTTAATACTGGCAAATTACTTAAAATGCAATTAAGGGCAGATGAGTAAGGTTGTCTCCCAAAAGCTGCATTGCGCTCAACATCTTCAACTGTATCCTCAAAAAAGATTTCATCCATATTTGGATTAGCCCCTGCCTGAAGAAGTTGAAACAAGCAGTCAATTAAATATGGAGAACATTCTTCTAATGCAATACCTGTAATAGGGTGACAGAGAAGGCTGTATAGGGGGAAAGTTCTAGACGGGCTTTTCGCATTAACATTATAGCCATTTTTTATAAGAGTAGAAGTAATTTTAACCATGGATTCATATTGCTTCAAAGAGAGGCAACAACTGTATGAGTAAAGCACATGAAATAAATTCATTCCTTGAAAAACATTTTTTATTTCTGAGCCTGTAATGTTCTTTAAAACCTCATCAACACACTCTGAAGCAAGCATACGTATGGCACATTCAAGAGCTTCTTTTTTTGAAGAACTTTCTTTCATTAGGAGTCTCAGAGCTTGAGGTGAATTAACTCTACACGCTAGCAACAAATAAGTTGATGATGCATTATTCTTCAGTTTATGGGAGCTAGTGTTTGATCTTTGAAGTTGCCAAAAGTCTAGAAACAATTCTACACAGTCTTTATGTCCAAACTTTGCTGCTAAGTCAACTGGTGTCCACATACTTATTTTATCTGCATCTTCTAAACACACAGTTTCATTTTTTATTTTTTTAGAAATGATTTTCTCAAATGCTTCCCAGTCTAAAGATAACAAACTGTTATGGTACCCTGTTTCCTGAACAATTGTGGATATTAGTGATGAGTGGCCTAACACAGCAACTAAATGTAGATATGGCCATGATTCTGGTTCATGTGGAGGTTTAAAGCAACCACGATTAAACAGAAGTGTTACTGCAATCAAGTTGTTTTTTAGAATGCTATGGTGCAGTAAGTTAAAGGAATAAGAATCTTTCCATGAGTTTAACACATCAACTGAACATTTATTAAGAGCAGATTTGATTTCTGTTGATTCTAAATGAAATTCGACAGCCTCCAGTACTTTTAATATGTCGACAGTGCTCATTGTTGTTTATTTCATCTGTTATTCAGGCAGCTTATGCTGATTACATATTACATACTCAATTCAATTACTGCATTGTTACTTAATATCTGTAATAAATTAATAATAATTATTAGCCTATTATTGCTATTAGCCTATAAACGCTATAATTAAAATATCTTAAATATATTAGTCTATTCGAGTAAATGAACAATGAATAATAATAATATTAATAATATATATAATATACTAACATTACTAATATAATCTAGCTAGGCGTATGACTATGGCCCATATGGCCTATAATACTACTAACTATAATAAATAATTAGTATAATATAAAATAAACAATAAAATAACTTTAATAACTGGATCATCTAGATTCTAGATTCTAGATTCTAATCTTAGATCGAGTGTGTACGGGCCTAGCCTAGGCCCTCAAAAAACTATAAAATAAAATTGTTTATTTGATTATGTCACCTAGGAACTTATACCTTTACGATTTCAGAACCTTTTTAAATATCTTAAATAATAAATATTATAAAATAAATACAGCTGAACGTTCACCGTCTTAGACTAAACGGCAAAATCGCGAAAGGGTTGTTAAGAGACGCTTTTTTTTTGTGGTGTTTACTATTTTTTTTAGTAAGGATGACCTTTAACTTTTGACCCACTTAAAGCAGTAATGTAGTGTAATAGTTTCTAGAATTGAGATGCTTTTGTTTTTAAATTTCATTACAGACTCAGATAAACTGATTGAAAGTGCATGATTTTTTCGTATGTTTGATATTTTTTTTAATTAACGTTTGACTTTTTTTTTTCCATTAAAAACGCATTTGTGTTAAATACTAACTTATTTCCACACTGACACTGGCCCGGTTAGCTCAGTCGGTAGAGCATCAGACTTTTAATCTGAGGGTCAAGGGTTCAAGTCCCTTATCGGGCGTTACTTTTGTTTTAACTTTCACTTATTTTTCAAGTGAGAAAAACGATTTTAAACTGATTACGGAGATAGTGAACGCAACTGAGTCTGTAAAAGAACCATTCCTAAATATATTTTAATTGCTGTTCCCTTTTTAAAACAACCTAAACTTTTAGGCTTATTACTTAATTTGATTCTTGTGATTCTTTAAGTTATAAAGTAACCCGGTGGTCAGAGCTTTAAGTTTTAACGAATAAATTTAGATCTTTTTGTATCCTGAACGGTGAACGGAGTACAGCTCCGATAGGAATACAACATGACATTCAACAATTATTTTAAAGTAAAATAAGGATAGGCCTTAATTATGTGAATGTTCACGACCTAGAAGAAGTCTGGATGAAGCGGGAGAACGCGCCGTGTTAAAAATCCATATAACTGGCTTAGGGGTCATCCATAAATGACGTCACGCTCGTAGGGGGGAGGGGGGTCCGTAATTTTGTGACGATGTGTGATGAGGGGGAGGGGGGGGGGGGGTTCTGATGTTGCGACGTCACACTTTTACATTATAAAAAAGCAATGTTAGAAAACGAATTTTAGACATTATTTCGCGTTTTAGATAACTGTTTTAATAAATTGCAATAGTTTTAAACAAGATTTTTGAAAAATATCGATGTTTAAAAAAAAATTCAACTGCAATTTTGAGGGGGGGGGGTTGTAGGTTGAGGTGTGACGTCATTTTAGGGGGTCTGGCTTTTTGTGACGACGTGTGACGGAGGGGAGGGAGGGGAGGTAAAAATCGTCAAAAAAGCGTGACGTCATTTATGGATGACCCCTTAACACATTTTTTTCAGTTCTGGTGGCCTGGAAATGAGCAGTAAACTTCCTGCCAAAAAGTAAGCAACAGAGGTCGAGTTCTGAATATGGGTACATTACACTCTCGGTGGCGTCGATATATACATACACACACACACACACACACATATATATATATATATATATATATATATATATATATATATATATATATATATATATATATATATATATATATATATATAATATCGGCCTACATAAGCCTATAATTTAAATATATGCCACATACGCGTAATATATGTGTATAAGTTTTCACTGCACTTTAAGATTAACGATGCTTATCTATAGTCTGTTAATAATACAGTTGGATGTAGAATTGTTTTTTCTATAGTTAGCGCGTTTACGTCATGGTGTCACCCCCAACCCTTGTAATAGCGATTTGCACTTAAAAGACTATTTGACTTTAGTTAATCATTAATGTCACCACCATAAATGGTGTCACCCGGTGTGTTCCGCACCCCCCGCCTCACCCTCGCTACGCCTCTGAGCACACTATACGGAACATGGGCAAAAACGGCAGATCTAAATCTACGTCACTGTAGACTGGCGTTGGACGAGAAACCCTAAAACAAATTAAAAGACCATTGACCGAACAATAGCACGTGGCACGAGTCAGGCGGTCCCGTCAAAACGGCCACGTCAAAACGACCCCGACAGATCGGCCCCCGACAAAAATACTCCATCAAAAGGCCTCGACATATCAAAAGAGTCCTCTTTAGATAGATTGAGCGCTCCATGGGCAGACGAAGTAGTTCATATGTTTCTTGACCTCAGCCTATGAAGGGAAGGTGTGGTCAGCACTTTGCCAAGCCGCCTTCATTTTCCCTAACATGAGTTAGGTGCCCATTAGAGCTGGGTGGACTCAGGGACATTCTACTGATTTGGACCCGCGGATTCGCACTCGAGACTTTCGGGTTCGCTGCCTAGTGCTCTATCGCTTAGGCCACGCCGTCCCATCCCCTGGCAAATTGGCTCCCGTCAAATGGGCTCCCGACAAATCGGCTCTCGACATATTGGCTCCCGACAAAATGACCCCGACATATTGGCTCCACACAAATAAATCGTATGACCAGGACTTTCGGCATAGACGTAACCATTTTGTCCAACCCACCAACCACACGCAGTTCCTACCTCCACTGCCACTAAACTACTATACTAGATAAATAATATAAAAATAAAGCCTGCCAAATGCATACCTTATATTATTTAAGGGTGCTGGCTAAGCTAACTCTAAAGAGTATTGATGAAGAGGCTCCACTGGCAGGTGTCATATTCAATGAGGCCGTTTCACCTATAGATAGTCGCTACGGAAACCGCATTGACAGGGGCCCTTTTGTCGAGAGCCAAAATGACGGGAGTCTATTTGTCGGTAGCTAAAATGAGGAGAGCCTATTTGTCGGGAGCCTATAGGACGGGGTTCATTAGTCGCTAGCCCTTTTGGCGAAGTCGATTTGACGGGGCTCTTATGTCGGGACCGTTTTGACGGGGCCGTTTTGTCACTGACCGTTTTGATGCCGCACTGAGTCATCCACATTAAATCATGTAGATCTAGATGATGCTGATGTCCATATGCCATATATGCTAAACTAAAATGAAATTTTGAATTTAAAAAGCACTTTACTTAATTGAAAATGATGTCAAAGATATCGTATAAAGTGGTAGACCTAATTATTTAATTATATGTGATCTGCTGAAGTTTAAGATTTGTAGGCTGTCGGCATGAGCCCGTTTTTTTTTTTTTTAAATTTGAATTAATATCCTTAAATTAATATCCTTAAAATGTTTGCGAGACACCTTTTAATAAAAAGGCGTCTCGCAAACATTTTCTCAGGTGAGCTACCCTTCTTCTGCTCCCCTCTGGCAACACCGAAGACTTCTGAATGGCATAATTTTTTTTAAAGTTCCTCAATTACAGTATTTACAGGCCTACTCGTCTTTACAACCAAATGAAACTAATGTTCGCATTATAACTATACTAGATTCTATATAAAGTAATTTACCCTAAAATATAGTTGATCTACAAAGGATTACAGTCAATTTTTAAAAAAAGATATTGTTAGAAAATTATGAACTTTTGTAGTTTGTGGGCTACATTTTAACTGAAGCTAAATCCCCCCCCCCCCCCCCCCCCCCCCAAAAAAAAAAGAAGAAATATTTTTAAATAAAAGCCTTTATAATTTTATCATTCTTTAGAACAAAAAGAAAATATTAGGCCAAGACTTAAACTGTACAAATGGATAATTTCCACGCGTTAGATTTTTAATTATGTTGTAGTTAGACCACTTAAAGGATACGTTTATGTTAAATGATAACGTTTCGCATGTCTTCGTGTGGAAATTTGACAGATGGTACCTCGTATCTTTGTTAGTACAAGATAAGTCGAATGGAAGCACTGCCTGTGTGATATTACAGCCTGGTATAACTCGTGCAGCTCTTGATTTCTTATCATCTTTTAAATATAGGACACTGAATTATCTTTTTCTTTTTTTTTCTTTTTAAATGATTATATGGTTTCAGCAACGTCGCCGCGTACGGTGTCAAGCGCGATTCTCTTTTTCTCCCCATGTCAGTTCAGTTTTAGCTGGCGAGTTGTATAACCTCATCAACAAAGGTGGCGCTATTGTTTACAATGGCTGTGTGAGGATGAATCTCATTCTTGTTTACCGTTTCAAGATGCTACAATGATTTCGATTATTTCGCTCATTTGATCTGATATGGTTTTTGTAAAGGAAAAACATGGATCCGATAAACGTGAAAACTTCACGCATAGATGAAAATCAAGATTTGGTGGCAAATATTTCGGAGAGAAAAAGTGTCAATATTGATGCTTGTGATGCTGATGATGCCATTGCGGAAGACAAGAAAAATGACAACGATGAATGCGACACCGATGACAGTAAACATAAAGACATTTCTTCATCAGACTTAGCTGTGACACCTCAAGAATCTAATGACGGTAGTTCAAGCGAAATATCGGATTCTGAAGCCGCTAACGGTTCTGATGAAGCTAATGATTCAAAATATAGTTTGAGTGCAGATCAGGAGCATTTGTTTTTCTCTAACAACAATGGGCCCGTTTTTCCTGCTCGTCACAACAGGGATTTACAGATGTCACTTTCTCATACAAGTGTAGAGCAAAACTCTCTATCCAATCATGATGATGAGCATAATTTCCATTCTAGTAACATTTTATCAAAAAAGCCTATTGGATTATTTAATGATGAAGAAAAAACATCTGTTTTAAAATCTCTTAAAAGATCAGCTTCATTTTTGTCTTCAAACCAAGAGCCAAATTTTCTTTCGAGCAGCAATATATCTAGCTCCATTAATCAGGAGAGTATAGGTTTTAATAAAAATGGTGCTCACTCAAGTGCAGATGGCGAAGCAGAATCCTTGCCACCACTAAATGCATCATTTTTCAACTGCCAGTTTCAAACACCTAGCTGGATTGATGACCCATTAATAGGAGTTCCTCCTAGTGCCATGGAAAACAAAAATACTCACAGGAAAACTGGTGCAGACATGAGAATTTTAACTGCATATATGAGATCTTTAAACGAAATGAGATTGCCTGAAGCTATACCACCAACTGAACTGGATAAGTACTTGTCATCATTCTTTCTGGTAGTAAGAAAAGCTGATGGCAGTGAGTATGAACCTTGTAGTTTACGAGCCATGCTGGCAAGTATAGAAAGGTATTTGCGATTCAAAAATTATCCCTTATCACTGACAAGAGATTCTGCATTTTCTAATATGAGAAATGTTTTGAAATTAAAACAACAAACATTACGCTCTATAGGTAAAGGTCAGAAAGCACCAAGTGAGGTATCACCATCATCTTTAGCTAGAGAAGGCAAAATTTCACAACTTTTCAAATCTCAGGAAATGGGACCTTACACACCAAGCTCAGTTGTATTTACTCTATGCTTTTACTTCTGCATGTACTTAAGGCTTCGTAAATCAACAGAAAACAAGAAGCTAATGTGGGGAGATATTGTCCTCTGTAAAGATGATAGCGGAAGAGAGTTTCTTACTTTTTCTAGTCAGATGCTGAGACGTACTCAAAGTTCTTCAAAATTAAACTTGAAGCAGCGAATTTTTAGAGTGTGGGCAGATCCTACTTGTCCTGAAAAAGACCCAGTGACAATCTACAAGTTTTATGCCCAAAAGCGACCCACATCTATGAATACAAATTTTGCCCCATTTTACTTAGGAATTAATGTTTTGTATCCTACTCAGGGCCAATTGTGGTACAGGCCAGCTGCAATGGGAATCAATAAGCTGAACGAAATGGTTAGGCAAATAAGAGATATCACTGGGGTCCGTAGCACTTCTGATTTTCACGGAGAACTTAATTTTGGAGAAAAGCGCACATCAGATTTAGATTTGGGTAGTCGAGATGATCAAAGTCCATCTCATGATTTGGCTGATAAACAAGATTCTGAATGTGAAGTGAAAATGGAAGTCGGAGAGGATGGCGAAGAAGATGATCTGAATTCAAATTTGGCCATTGATTTTAGTCATGAACAGTCTGACCCACCGTTGGATTGTTCTCAACACAATGGATCAGCAGCTTCATTCTCACACATAGGATTGACAGCAGTAAACAGCGGAACACATCCTGTTTTTTCAGATGGAGAAAATAGCAATAGCTCCTCACAGCAATCAATTTCTGCTAATATAAATGGAGACCTGAACACTGAATTACGGAATGGTAAGGCAGATAAAGAAATTGATCTAACTAAAGACAGCAACACTGATTACCCTTTAAACTGTTCGACTAAAGGAAGAGCCAACTATACCATTTCAGAAAATTTCAACCAATTTCTCAATCCAGGTAATATTTAATTTTTTAATAGTATAGGCCTAAATAATTAATTTTATGTTTATCATAAACTTCCTGTATACTAGTTTTAAATGACTAAGTGAGATTGTTTTTTTAAAACACAGTTGCTTCATTAACAGCAGAAGTTGTAAGTGTGAGTGAAGCAAAGCAACACTTAATGGAAATGGTGAGAAGAATGGACTTGTCTGACCTCCAAGAATTTGATCAGTGGCTGAAAAAAGTAAAGTTCAGTTCTGATCCCCTATCAGGTAAGTTCTTTAAATTTTATATATCTCCCTTTTTAAAATCAAATATAAGCAGTTGAGTGTTTGGATTTTGAAATGATCATTACTTAAATATCTGAGTCTTTCACCAATCACATGGTAAAATTTGCTTAGATTTCTTGTAAAGTCATTTTTATTAACTTTTTCTTTACTTAATTATTAATTTGAGAATGATTATACATTGTTTTACTTATTTATCTAAAAAAAAAGAAATATTAAAAAAAGATCAGCTGATTTTCACTTAGATTATCTACTATTGTAAACTTCATAGCTTAGCAATAAAAAGTGAAGATAAAATAGTTATTCATTTTGATCTTACAGGTGAAGTTGTTTGTAAAGTTGAAGAGTCAATGAATGTAAAAGCAACTAGCAGTACCAGTGCACAGGGTGCAAATATCATTTTGAATATATCACTAACCCCCCAGGCCTTGCAGGGGGAGGGTCCCATAACTGTTACAGCACAAACTTCCATTCCTTCAGAGCAGCAGCATAGTTCTTCCAGCAGCAAAATCAATTCTCACCTTAGCAAGAACATTTCAGCCTCTAAACACTCTTCTACTTTTTCTTTGGGTGGCTTGCCACATTCGACTACCACCTCATTGCCAAGTCAATCATCAGCCGATAAACCGTTGGACTTAGTGACGAGTCCGGTAAGTAGAAATACAAAATCTTCACTTTTAACGTCTCATGCAAAATCAAGTCGATCACATGGAAGCAATGGCATTTTTCCATCATTGACCACTGCAAGTGGATCTTCTGGTTTTGATTCCTCGTTAGCCAAAAGGTTAAGGCTATCAGCAGAGCAGGCAGAAGCTTACACTAGTGCCTCCATCATGGCTGGGTTAAGCTCTAACTTTGTTAACGAGAGGTTGCGTCTTCAGTTGATGCAGGCAGGCCTTCGAATGGGAGAGTATGGCTTGGATGCGCACACTGCCAGCTTCATGGATGTAGCCAATTCAGAAGCACTGCGTGCTCAACTCCTGCAGCACTATGGAATCAAATCTGAACCAAAATAAGCTAGTTAAATTACCTTGTATCTGCTACCTCTATTTTTAATCACAATGCCTTTAAATTATTTAAACTCAAAAAAAAATTTGCTTACGTGATTTTAATAACTTTTTAAAAATGTTAGTTTTATGCATGGTTAAGGGCAGTTAAAATTTTAGCACATTCTTAGTCAGATTATTTTAAAATGCAAATGTTGTTTAGCATGGCTTAATTTTTACTTAATTTTAATGATAAAAACGGCTGAAATGTTACACCCAGCAATTTTGTTGTTTAAACGGTCACATCTTTCAAGGAAATTTATTGAAAATATTTAACCTCAACTGATCTCTTAATTTGTGATAACTATTTTATTATCTTTTATAACTGATGTTTTTTTTTAAACTGTTAACATCTTTATATACTGTCACAATATTAGTAAAATCAAAACTGACAGGCATGATGCCTACAATTCATATTTCACTTCTTTATGCAATTTATAAAATGGTAATATACACTTTCACTTTTCCATTGTAATTTTTAATAGTGAAATTTAGATTAAATTTGTATGGGTTATTTATCTCATATATAGTATACCTTATGGGCATGTTAATAAATTGCTTTTAAAATGTAGCATTTAATTATTGAATACATTATTTTTGTCATACAATGGTGGAGTTTAAATGCATTTATTTTTTGTCACTAAAGTAAGGACAATCAACAAAATCTTTCTTTGCTAAAGGTTCCCAAATCTTTTTTCAATCTGCAAATTTATAAAAAACAATATGCTTCCTGGATCACTAGAAATGCATTACTAATCTTATTTTCGATGTACAGAAGAAAAAAAATTGATCCCCTTAAAGGATAGGCAATTATGAATCATTAAAAGTGTCTTTGTCTTAAGTATCTGTATCAAAGGTTTACAATGTAAAGAAAGTGCTATCTCAAATAGGAAGTAGCCTATACATTTCTAGTGTCCCAGTCATCTCTATATCTTGCTCATTCACATTGACATGACGTATTTTTTTTTAATGGCCAATTTAATAAATATTAAATGTTGCACTAATAATGTACAATCTCATGTACACTTGGTGGTGGGAATTTCACATTGCCTACAACGAAATTTTTTTTTTATCTCATCCTTCACATGAACACAATTGTTACTTATAAATAGATGATATAGATAGTCTTTTATCACCAGGTCACCTTTGGCTCTGTGACTCATTTTTAGCATTTTCTGTTTTAGCAAGTCATGAGATTTTTTTTACAAGATGCTATCTTGATTTTTTTCTTGTCTGGTAGTTTTAAATAGATCATATAAATAGCATCAAATGGCTGAAATGAAACGACGATTTATACATTCTATTCTTCTAGTCACTATTATGTCACTGAATTTATCAAGCTGAAACACAAGTGCAATTTGTTAGCCTCTTTACAGACATGCTGAGATTACTATAAACCTTTCTGTACTTTGTAGCGAGTAGAGATAATATCTGTTATGTTTATCAATGTACATATCACCTTCTATTATTTTTAACTCTTTGCTAATTTTCACTATTTTAATGCGAGACAAAAGAGTTTCTGTTTTATTCTTTCAATTTAAAAAAGATTTTGTGCTGAAAGGCAGCTAAATAATTGTCAGAAGAGAAGAAAAAATTCCAAGAAAAAATAATTGAAAATTCTTTTTAGATATATTTATTAAGATGGATCTCTATAATCATTTGTTAACACATTTGATTTAATTGTAATGGTTGTTATCATGAATAAGCTTTTCCAATAAGTCAACTTCAGGAATCTTATAAAAAATATCCTGCTGTCATCTCTATTTATCTTCTATGATTGTCCATAAATCAAAACTGTTTGTAATATATATTATACAAGTTGTAAATACTGTAAAAGACTGATGCAGTTGATGTCATTACACCATGTTAAAACATCATCTGATTGAAAGATAGTGCAAGTTTTATGCACATAGATCTATTTTTTTTTTTCACATGTTGATGTTGTCTTGTTTTTTTTATTTTTGAAGCAAAAATTAACACCTTGTTTTTTGTCTTACTTGTTTCTTACTCAATGGTCATTATTCCTATCAAACATTCACAAATCTGTTTTTGTTGCTACTAATCTAAGAATCAATGAAAAATCTCTACTGTATTTATATTTTATTATTATTATATAATGTTCACATATCTGATAATAATTCTTCCAAGTTAATCTCTCTTTACACATGTTAAATATGTAATTAACATTAGTTTATCATTGCTAATATGTATGCATTGTCTACATATACAAAATGAAGCAAGCAAGCTTAAGAAATTATAACCCCCACATGCAATCAAAATGTTATAATATCTGTGTATCTAATGATATGAGACTTTGCATCCTTCACTTATAGGTTAGAATTAGAGGTTTTGAATAATTATTCTTACAGAATATTTTGGGTTCTCAGGTACTAGAATAATTGTATAAGAATAACTAGCAGTTATGAAGGGACTGTTATTTTTTAAACTGGGGAGTTTATCAGTGTTAATTTACAGCTCCTTATTGTATTTATGTACATTTGTTAAATTGTTGGCTAGGATGACAGCTTGTCCATCTTATACAATAGAAATCTCTTTTTGAAATAACTAGTAAGAAATTATTTTTATCATCACTTTATGGGAACTTAAATTAGTTACTTATTTAAACTTTTAATAAATAGCCCCAACTACTATTTATTATTATAAAACAAATCAGTTTTGTGATAGTAGAATGCATATTATTTCTTTTTTACATGTGCTTAATTTTCTAACCCAGGATTGAAGATGGGTGTGTCCATAAACTCAGTAGTTAGATAAACAATTTCTCTTTGTAATTAAAATATTGTATTTTTTTACTTGCACTGCTTGGCTGCGCCATAATTGTGATGTACAGTGCTGTTGTTTTAATATTGTACCATGTAAACTTTGTTGAAATTTACCTCACTCAATCTTGTATATGTTTACACATTTATATATGTTTACAAAAAAAAAATCTACCAACGATTGTTGAGCCAGTGATCTCTCCTTCACATATCTCTAACCCTATTCTTCCCTGCTTAGCTCTCTGCATATTCAGATCTATGACACCAAGCATGATGTTAATGAACACAACTTTAGTCCTCAAACAACGAAATGCTCCCTTTAAAAAGTTGTCTGCTTTCTTTAGATTTGAGATTATTTCTGATACAATTACAAGTCAAAGTCTATATTTTTGTACAAACAAAGTTTTGTTTTGTAATGTCATTCTAGATTTGTATCTTCAAATATTCAACCTCTGAAAACGCAAGCAACCAAGTTAATAATTTGAATTTTCATCCCAGGTGGAGTTGTATTTTTTAGTACTAGTAAAGTGTATTTTCCTTTGTAGTTTTCATGAGATCACCATGTAGTTTTATGCTGGATCAACCTGTTGTATACACCTTGTATACAGATTGTGGCTCATTTGTTGATGTGAAGATAGAAGTCAGCTGTTCTCAACAGGGTTTTAAAAATGTGTTTGTCATTTTGTGGCCTTCTATACAGTTTAGGTAAATTTAATCTTTTTAAACTTTTTTTTTACTGGAAAAATGTTAATCAAAATTTTAATAGTTATAATTCTTTTAAGCATGCTGTGGCATATTGAAAAAAAGGCTTTATTTGAAAGTAAGTATAGAATAAGTACATTAACCATTTTTAATACAAATGCACTGAGTTTTTTCTGATGTACATAAAATAGTATTTTTTGCTTTTCTAACGAAAAAAAAAAATCAAACACTTGATAACAGCTGATGGCATTCAATGTTGGCCAAGGTTTTACATCCCAAACAAATAATTAAGAAGAGTAAATGCACTATCTTTTATTAGTAAGTTGTATAGGTTTAGTTATAGAAGAAAATATATGCTTATTTATTATTAAAATCAGGGTTTGTACTGCAATTTTAGTCTTTATATCTCAGGTCTAAATGTTTCTTTGTATATTTATATACATATATAAATATATACATATATATTTATATTAAATTGAGGACAAACCATTTATGAAAACATTGTATCACTTTTTGAATGTATCACCTTTTCACAAACAGTGCCGTCTTTTTCTCTCTTTGTATGTATCTTCTTGTCTTTATTTATACTTGTATAGAATTATTTATTTCATATGGTGGAGGACACTAGTCACGATTCTCAAATTTTATTTATCCTTTTATTTTTGTATGGCTACTATTTTACAAAAGCAAATATGACAGAATTGTATTGACATAAATGGGGTATGCTGTTTTAAAATCCACATCTGCAACTTGTACTTGGATCATAGACTGAAGTCACAGCATAGTTCTGTTAGTCTTATGCATAATAAGTAATGATGTTGGTCTGTTACTTATGGAATCAGTTGGATCAGGAGTGGATGAATAATGCAGCTATAAATATATATTCCACTATTATGGTTTCTCATGTTTCTTCATTTTTTTTATGTTATGATTGAGAGCAACTATCATGACCATTTATACTGTCTCTGCTATGTTTGTTTTTTTGGGTTTCTTTAATTGATTGTACCTTCTTGATCTGTGTGTGTGTGTTTGTGCACAACATAAATATGTTGACAAATATTTCTGTAGCATGCCGCTATTTGATGTTGGAAGGTGTTTACTGCCTGTTTTGCACTTAAATTTTGTAAGAACTTCTTTGGTGCACTTTTGTCTTGTTTTATATTGTGGTATAGTGACGAGAGTGAAACTAAATTTATCATTATACAACCAGCCAATACTTGGATGTTTTTAGACCTTTCACTGTTTGGTTGTTTTGCTATCAATTAAAAGTCTTTTCTAAGGTGCCATCTCTGTTTTTTTTAAAATGCCAACAAGAAAGTTCACTAAACTGAGTTATAATTTGGTTAAATAAAATATCACTCTCAGGAAAAACTTCCAAAGAAATAAATTCCCTACCTCTCCAACTTTGAATGGTTAATTCATATTTATTTCTTTGTTGGGTTTATCTTTTTATTTGCCCTATGTACATGCTTCTTAGCAGCTGATATTATATTTGTTATAAATAATATTCTCATCATTTAATAACTGCTGCCAATGATTCAGGTGTTAGCCCACATTCGACTCATTCAGTCAACATTCTTTTTATTTTGTTATGTTGATGAAAGTAGCAATGAATTTTGAATACTGGATATTCTTTTTATTAGCATTTAATCTAAGTTTGTAACATTTTTTTAATAGCATACTTTAAAAAAAAATTGAATCAGTTTGATACATTTTGAAAAGATTCTAATCTGCTTTTGGAAGAGATTATTTTAAATGCTTGTTAAAAGTACATTGGAGTTTCTATATATAATCTTACTTTTTGGATGTGTTATTTTGAAGGGAAAAAAATTCACCCACTGAAATTAATCAATGTACATTTTTATTTATTATAACATATCATCATCATATTATTTTGTGTATGTGGTGATGGGAAAAAACATAATCAAAATAATTATTCATATTGAATTTATTTTAGAACTGCCTGCTGTAACATTAGATAAATCATTTAAAATTAATATGTACTTTTTGTTGATTTTTTTAAGAAAAAGTTTTTACTTTTTGAGAATAGTCTTTTTGACTTATAATCATTTTTTAAAAGTAGAACTGATTTATTGATCTCTTATTTTATGAATTAATTAAACCCTTTTCTTCAACTTTTATCTGACATGTTAGTAAACCTTTGATCCCAACAAAGAGAAAGGCAGCAGTTTAGACATGATTACCTAAATTTATCTTTGGGTAAGCCTGTTGTTTCTTTTCCCTGAAAACTTAAGACTAAAAAATTAAGAAAGATTAGTTTTTTTTAACATTTTTTTTTATAAGAGGATGTTAATAATCCCCTTTTTTTTCTATTTGTACAAGGTAAGAGTTTATTTCCCCTACACTAAAAAAAATCTAAAATCTTGAGGAAATCTTAAATAGTGCTGTTAGATTAATTTTGTGTGTACTTGACCTTTTACTCTATGATGTAGTCCTGATGAACTATGTTATGGTGTAACATCATGTTATAGGTGAACTGCTGCTGTATTTTGTTTCAATAAACCCATTTCTTTTGGTACTGGTTTGTACACAACACACAAAGCTTTGGCTTGCAGAGAATATCAGATAATAATAAAGGTGTACTTACAAATTCCTGTGTTTTGTTGCTGTTTATGAAAGTTGCAGGCTTTTGCTCTGGTGAATTAAATAGCTGAGCAGTTTTGGGAAAAAGGGGGGTATGAGAGTTGGTAAAAACTCTTTAAATTTAGAGGGAATTTTGCAATCAATTTTTCCACTCATTACAAGAAAAATTAAGAACATTTAATGAACTCTAAAGTACATATGAGTTGAAATTGGCTTTCAATGATGGCTTACTTTAATATTAAAGAAGTTTTTGATTTCTTAACCTCACTCCATCTTATAGTAACACAGAACTACCATAATAAAGTGCTTGATTACCCAGCTAATTACTGACTAAAAAAGTTGTGCAAGTCTGTTTAACCAGTAATTTTAAAATGGTCTCTGGTTTGATAAAGAAAGTACCTGGAGTTATAAAAGGGGTCCTAGGTGCTTTGACCACAGATGGGCTTTGATCATAGGGGCTTTGTCCACAGCGGGGCTTTGATCACAGATGGGCTTTGCCCATGGAGGGGGGGTTTACTATAATATATAGATTTTAAAATAGAAATTATAAACTGTTGTTTAATTTATGATACACTTCATATGATTTTATACATGTTTCCTGAGAGTCCATTAATAGAAATTAACATGTACTAAAAAGTCAAGAATGATATTTTAGTCTCCACATAAAGGCAGGTGCTAGATCTCATAGATTTATTTTGAATATAAATAAAACACAAATAATGCGACATAATGTAGATGTACTTGATACATTACATATATAAAGGATAAAAAATGATTATAAAAACATGCCAACAGTATAGTCAAAAAAGTAATACTTGTATGGTTAACTAAATGACATGTGCTATAGCACGCAATTATGTCAGTACATCTGTTTGACCACATGTCAGTACATGTTTGACCATATGTCTGAACAGCGCTTGTGATCAAACACCCGTTGACAAACCACCTGTGATCAAAGACCCTCTGCTGGGAAAACACCTGTGGTCAAACCCCCTATGGTCAAAGCCCCGTTATGGTAAAAAACCCTATGGTCAAAGGTCCGTGCACCTAAAAGGCTACCTACAACATCTGCATAAATAAATGGCTCCAGTCTGATAGACGAAAGGATAATTTCACCCAATTCTAGGCAGCACATTGAGAAGAGCCACATGTTGCCCATGTCTCTCCACTTATGGGCCTAGCATTACTAGTCCCTGGTTTATTTTGTCTGAACTGAAGATAACCAAAGTACAAACCAACAATGACAAGATTTGAATTAGTGTAGTAGTCATTCTTTAAAGAAACTGGGAATTCAGTGTAGGTGCTAAATAAGTGGAAGATAGACCTACATGTTAAGACCTATTTTCAAACCAGATGAATAGGGTAGATGATGTAAAGTAATTTCGCTTTGTTCATCAATATATTGTCAATCTTTTCAAGCGGGTGTTAACTTGTCCCTTTTTGTGCTTCTTAGCATTTCTAGTCATTTTATTTTATCTTTAAAACAACATACTACCATCATGAAGGATTTTTAATTATAATACCCATTTGTACAAATAACAACCATTTATCACATTAAAAAAAAAATATAACAAAACCTATTTTTTCAAATATTTTTATTAAGTGATTATTACGACAATAGAATATCTTAATGATACATATAATAGAAGGGAGATTTTAAAAGAAATTTTGATATGAATTACAGTACTAGTTAGTTTTTAAATTTGTGTTCAATACAAGCTCTAGAATTGTAAGAGATATTTAAAATTACTATTCTACAACCATAAACTCCAAACAGTTCTACAAATTTTGAGTAAACAATTACAGTAAAGAGTAATGCAATCACTTTTAGAGTAAGTTTTCTTCAAGAAGTTCGAAAATGAAAAAAGCTATTTAAAAAATGAACCAATGCTAATAATTAAATTGAAGAAGAAACTTTAATTTGTAAATGAAGTCCTTTACTTCAAATTTCAGAAAATTGTGTATCAGTTCTACTTCCATATTGGTTCCAGTCCACAAATATCAGGGAGATAACTCAAAAATTGCTAAAATGAAAAAAAAAAAGAGCCTTTAAAATGGCTCCACAAAACAAAAGTACTAACATTAAAGATATGTGCTTACAAAAAGTACATGAAATGTAGATTGACTGTAAAACTGTTAGTAAATTAGTCAACTATAACAACCAAGATGGTCACAAAATGTTATTTAAAAAATTATTTTAAAACGCATATAGACTTTTGTTATTGTTCTTATACTTTGCAAGTAATATTTTCTACTACAATTAATAAAAAGAATCCAACTTTAAAATTAACTAAAAGAACGTTGTAAATAAAAAGAGTGTTGTGATAGTTTTAAAAATACGTTTCCTGTAGTTTGTTTTATAAGTACTCCAATAATGAATAAACAAGATTACTTCAAATATGTATCAAATTTGGCATAAAAATCACAATTTGTAAACTGAAGAAAAAAAATGGGATTGAACACTTCCAACCATTTTATTCTGGTGACCAAACCTGAAGCATTTTTTTTTTTTTAAATATAAAAAAAACTAACCCAAATAAGCCTTTAAAATGTACAAATATATTTTTTTAACCAAAGTAATAGAACTTGTATAACCTTATAAATTATATATCCTAACCTTGTTTACAAATATAAGGTTACAATTAACAAAATAAAATGTAATATAAATGGTTGAAGCTAACCAATATACAAAAAAAAGTGGGGAAACAGAATCAATGATGATTGACCACAGAACTGAGGTGATAATTGTTTTTTCCCCTTAAAAACAAACTTGATTATCCACAAGCATAAAAACAAAAAAATATTAAAGCATCACAGACAATATTGCACTTTGTACAATTGAACAAAAATTAAATCAAGATATAAAGAGAAAAAAAACAACCATGGAGTTCTTTGAAAACATACAGATTTGAACTTGTGCAGTTAATACCTTGTGCTATTATTTTAAATTTATATTAAACAGTGACCTCAATTCTCAACTACAAAATATATATATTCAGAAAGTTAAAGCCAAACTTTTGAACAATACCTAAATGTTATTTAATGTTTAAGTTTAAATTAAAAGCCTACAACGCAAAGATTTTGTCTAATAAGTACACATTTTTTACAGTAACAATTTGTTTTTTAAACCCAATTTTAGTTAGACATAATGTAATTACCTCCCTTTATACAATAATTTTTTTAAAGCATCTAAAAATGGGTATACAGAACATGTATATATATATAAAATACAACTGAACAGCAAAATGTAAGAAACTTGGTTTACTAAAATTTAAAAAAATCATAACCTAATCATGGCTGACCATGTCAGCTTTCACCGGGTAATCAATTTAATCATGAGTATACAAATTGTATGAAATACTGTAATATATACAATAGTGTTGAAACCCCACATTTTTCAACATTTTTAACATTTTGGGATAAAGCATACATATGTTGTGAAACATAATATAAACATTTGAGAGCAAAATCAGAACACTGGTATATCCTCTTCAGGTCTGATTTACAAAGGACTTGTACAATTTAAGCCAAGATCAATCTGTATTAGCCATATTTTCCAACATTAAAAAAAATATTCACTAAATAATTTTTACAATTACAACTTAAAAGAAAAAAAAAGCAACCACACTTATTTTTTTCTAGGTTACAGATTATTACCAACTGGGTGGATTTCAAATAGAAATTAACAAATAAACTACTCTAGTCTAGATATATAATGTGAGTTACATATTCTTTAAAACATTTAATCTAAAGCTAATGGAATGTAGTTCAATAAACACCTGATAACCACAAAGCACAGTAAAACAAAATCAGAAAACATTTTCTTACCCTAAACAAAGTATAAAGAAAGGATTTCAATAAGTAGTAATTGTTTACTATGCAATTTGTTATATTCTTGTATAGATATATATATTTTGTTTTTCTCTGTAAATTTGTTTACATTTGAATGGTACAACTAATTTTTTTAACAAAAAGCCTAGTTTCAATATATATATATATAAAGCCTTGTTTTTAATTTGTATACAGCAAAAAATAAAATGTGTTGGTAACAAAATTATTATTTTTATAAACAAAAGGATTACATTCAAAATGTACAAGCTATCAACTTGATGTTAGCTTCAAGTCTTTGTAGCAACTATCACAAATGGAGTACTTCAACAAAAGATATTTACATGCTTGAAATAATACAAATACCTATATTTGTAATAATTTTTTTTTTTTTAAAAAAGCCTCTGCTACAGTATTTAACATCAACAAGCATATATGGTAGTATTCACAAAGTTAGTCTGTTTGTGCTCAACAAACCAGTGTACAACTCATGAGTGAGAAAGTTCATTAACTGCCATGTCAGTGATATCACAAAACAAAACCTTCTCTTTAAAAAGTCCACATCCCAGGTAATGACAAACATCATATGGTGTTTTATTATTTTAAAAAGTGTATTATGGTAAAAAATAAACATCCAAAACAGCTTAACCATTAACCTTACTCTTTAAAAAGTTGGTCATTGCCAATCTTGCTTTAAAAAACAAATCACCAAAATGACCAACATCAACAGGGAGTTCAAAGACAATGGCGTAATGAAAACAAAATGCCTCAGACAGAACAGCTGCCAGGGCCAAAAGTAGGCCCCATGCTTGGAACCAAAGCAGCAAGGGTACTGCTTAAAAATTTTCTTTACCCACATCAATGTAGGTTCACTGGCATCAACTATAGGATGTATCTAGAGGCTCCGCTTTCACCGCATTACTGACCGTGTTGGCATAGCAGTGCCGAAAGCCTGAAAAATTTCTCTCTCCTGGCCGTTTAATCAGGGGTGAATTTTGAAGAATTTCTTGGTGATAGCGCAGGGAATCTGCTAGGCGGTCTGCTCTTGCGCGCTTGGCTTCGGGTGATTCTACTTTCTTCAGTGGCTTCATCGAAAGGTTGGTGGCTTGGTTATCATCATGCATCCGCTTGAGCGTGAGATTTTCTGGGTACATCCCTGTGTCGAGGACATGGGCTTGCCTCTTCAGCACTGGTGTTCCGGTACTGGACACTCTTTTGAGCATCACACCTTCAGATATGGCGGGTGGTGTATCCAGGCAACCTAAGGACTTGTTCCTGTGGTCTTTAAAGTGCTCCCTAGCATTCAGGGTGGAGACCACAGGGGTGTGAGCTGCTGGGATCGTCACCATGACAGGGTGGGGCTGGTGCTGCAGCACAGTCAGCTGGTGCTTACTCTGAGACTCGGATGAGTTGTGGTAGCTGTTGTGGCAGTTGGTGTTCACGGAGCTGCTGCAGTTGATGTTACTCTGCTGCTTTGGTTTCTTGTTGTTGGCATCCAAGGTGGCGACAACCTCTGCCACATCCATCTCATTCTCAGAGCAAAACACCCTTTCAGGCAGCGGCTCCCTGTTGCTGATGGGCCCCCTCTTTTTGTGCAGCATGAACTGCAGGTTTTCTGGGATCCCAGTCACCAGCATGGTGTCATGAGCGGGGATGCTGATCTTCATGGGACCAAATTCTTCAGAAGAGCAGTAAACTCCAGCAACATGGCTGAACTCTACCTGCTTGATAGTAGTGCCAGTCATCCCAAGCAGATCATTCTTGTTTCTGCTGCCACCCATCTCTGATATGTCATGCTTATTCCATCCATCTAGCTGTTCATTCTTAACATGATTTTCTCCCTTCAGTGATGCTTCTTTTTTAAGCCGTTGTCTCTTTTCTGATATGTCAACACTACTTGATTTCTTGAAAACAGGATCTGGTGTACTGGTGCGAGATGCAACTCCATTTCTGTCAATCATGATATCATCAGGAATTGGTTCCACATTACTTTTATCAACAGGACTGCAAAGGACAATCAGTTCTGGAAAAATAAAGTGACATTTTTATAAATTTAAATTTGTATTTGATACAGGTTACTTTCACAACCACATATTTTTAAAAATAAAAATGGTAAGAGATTACTTTCATACTCACATTATTTTTAAAAAAATGTATTGATACAGGTTACTTTCAAAATCAAATTGTTTTAAAATCAGAATGCTTGATACAAATTACATTTACAGCTAGAAAGTTAAATATCAAAGTCTTTGCTATTTGAAGAAAAAATATTCACCTCCAGCACTATACTGGACTCGTACAGTCTTAAGCCAGTCAACAAACTTCTGAATATCTTTGACCATTAAACTACGAATCAGATCCAACACTTGGGTTTTAGCTTGCATCAGACCTGTTGGAAGATTTAAGATTTTATTAGAGACAAAAACACACATTTTTTCTTCAGTACTTTGAAGCCAAACCATTATACAAAATTAAAATGCAGTAGCAAAACTTGTTAAGTTTACAAATTATAAAGCCTAGCAGAAGAAAATACAAAAAAATATAAAAGAAAAGTGTAAGATTAATATATCTGAAGCCCTTGAACAAAATAAAACTAAAACAAGAAAATAACATTGAAACAAAATATGTCTTTTTTTAAATTTGTATAGAGTATTTAGCAACTAACACTAAAGTTGTGCAATTTTAAAATGCCCATTTATAAAGAAAGAACTATTAGTATTATATTTCCAATTTAGAAAAATCCTCACTCTAGGCTAAAATCTATAACACTGAAGCTCATGCAAGTAATTATAGTGTTCCAAAAAAGCAATATTAATTGCATATTTTTTTTAAATATAGAAAAAACTATAAATACATGTATGTTTTGCGTCAGTATATACTTTTTCTTTTACTATTGGCATGGAAGATACTTAGAATTGTCATTAAAAATGTGTAAGGAATGTGGCTTGAGGAAATAATGGAAAAATCAATATCAACTTTTTCTGGCTGTGACGCAAATGCACAGAGACATTCCACCAACCCATGTAGTTGTCAATTGCTGATGACATTTCCAGCTAGCTACTGGAGAGGGTGCTTAATAATTTCTAGATCAATTTTTTCTACCTCACTGCTTAATGTCAGCAAAAAATGAGAGAGGGTGAAACTAAAATATTCTGAACAAAAACTAAATACATGCTGAGGATAATGACACAAAAGATAATAGGATACATGAGGTAAAAATGTCAGACATTTCCTTAACCCTACAGTGTGTTGTCAAACAATAAAAATCAAACAGATATTAACTCAACAAAAAGCTACTGTCAACAATACCTTTCTTTATACCTTTTAAGCTTAGGTCATTTTTAAAGAGTAATCTATGGTCATCATCAAAAGCATATTTGAGGAATTAATTTTAGCAAGGGATAGCTATTCAAGAGAATGGATACTATAATGTAGCTAAGACAATCAATAAATATCTGATAAGTAACAAAAATAAAACCATTAGTTTTTCTTGGATTAACTTTATAAGTGTCAAAATTACACTTTATTCATTATGCTTTTTGACTAAAAATCTACTTAATTTAAATAAAATCAATAGAAGACTAGAGATAATATTGTTTAAATGATAATTAAAATAATGTATAGAATCAGGTTTTTTAAAGAAGAAAAAATGCTGACTACCAAAATCACTTACCTAACAGATCACCATCCTCTGTATCAACACTCCCAGAGCCCCCTGAACTGGACAGTCCTGGAGGTCTATCTCTGACCTCATGTTCCTTATGGTTCAACTGGACATCTGAGGTTTGAGACAATCCATCATCACTAGAGAGGTCCTCTGAGTTAGAGTGCGACATGGTAGGACCTGAAAGGTAGAAAAATATTTTGGCATAAATGATTTAACAAGTAACTTGACACACAAAACACCTAAAAGGCAATTTATAGAACATGAGAACTTGTTCAAAGACAGACTTTATAACTACTCATAAAATGTAGCAAGATCCATTCAAATATACAATGTTAAATATGCTACTTTCTAACATTTTAATGTTTTCTGAAATGTTATATAAAATTATAAATACCTATAGGTTTGATTATGTCCAAAGATGGAGCCACCTTCTGTGGTAAAACTCCTCCACTCTCTGCCTGCAACGCTTCTTCGCAAATAGATTCCACTAGTGGAATACAGGCGGAACGAATCGAGTAGTTTGTATAGTTGTCACTAAGACCTAAAAGAAGAAATTTCCAAGCAATTGTTAATTTTAAAATGTACTAAAAAAACATGTTCATAATTGCAAATCATTTTGGCATTTTTATGTCTAGTTGTACATGAAAATGTTTGTTTACAAACCAGTTCTGTTTTCTATAGATCTTAATTAAGATATTATTGATTTGTAAAAGTTCTAGATATAAGCTCTGATAGGTACTTGACATAAGTCAATGCAAAGTTTACTGAGCATTGAACTAGCCACATTAGCACTTGAACTATGTTTTCTCTGTTGCTTAGACTAACAGATCTCAAAAAAAAAAAAAAGCTTTGAATGTTATATCTCATTTATTTTTTGAAAAAAAAAAAAAGAACAATTCCTTGAAATTCTTATTTTATTTTCTGTACTAAGATTTTATCATTTTAAACCTTTAAAATAAAAGAGCTCACCAGCTTGAAGAGATATCCTCTGCATTAGCTTTGTTAGTGTACTACTGCCAAGAGGAGCATGGTCATACCAGACATAATCCGACTGAGATACATTTCTCTTAGGTCTCTGCCAGAAGGCATCAGTCATTGGGTGGAGATGTGTTACATATTTTAAGAAAGAAGACAAAGGACATCGAGGATCTCCTAAATGAACAAAAAATAGTAAATATTGATTAGCAAAGACGATAAGTAAATTATTATAGATATTAAAAAATCTGGAAGATGCAGTACCCTTTAACATTCCAGTATCCTCTGACATAATCTCATAACGACTGTTTCCTTATCTTTAAAACCATTAAGTTGAAAATAATTTGGAGAACCCTAATCACAGAAAAAGGCAAGATAAATTTACCCATTTTACCCAATTTACCAAGATTTTATTATTGAGCATAGCAAAACCATCTACTGTTTTAAAAATTAATATGTAGTACTCAGAATGTCAGTGAATCAATTATTTCAAACTTTTTATTTCAAAAAATACTTTGACAATAATGATTAACCACATTTATTAAATTTTGATAATGTTTTGTGATGCGTAGGTAATTTTCACACTGAACAAACCAACAGATCAAAATTTTAATTCAATTAAAAACAAGAAGTGGACAATCATGAAAATCAATCAGGCTACTCTTTTTTGTTTAATAAAAAAATGTTTTTGGACATGAACATATGCACAATAACACAAGCATACATGTTTGCAAATACCTAACACTGACATGGATCTAACAACCTAGCTCATGAACATACTATCAAAATAATGTGAAGTAGTGCCTATATGAGCTAATTTTGATTTAGGGGTGGAATAGCAATAATAATAAGATAATACTAATACACTGGTCAGAGCCTTTCTTTGAGGCATCTTTCCACCCCCCCCCCCCCTACCCAGGCTTTGCAACTACTGTTAGTATAAAGTACTACTGAATAGGGGAGACTGCTCTAACTTCGACCGGGTTCTAACTTCGACCGAATTCGGTATTGGGTCAGAAAAATATTTGATAAAAAAATAAATAAATATTACTGGCTTTAAAAAAATATATCTTTATTTACACAATTGAATTGCGTTGTGTTTTCCTTTTGAAATGACAGGTCTATCTTTAGCCGTTTTCGAGCACTTTATCCACGAAGTTAGGCTACCCAGTCAGCACACATATATTGGCCCAATATTGGCTAAACATTGGTTACCAATATTGGCTACATCTTGGTGCAACATTGGCTTAACCTTGGCCAAACATTGGTAGTGAAACTCGGCATGATGTTGGCGCAATGTTGGCACAATATTGGCTATATCCCGGCTACATATTGGCCCAACATTGGCTAGATCTTGGCCAAATATTGGCTATATCTTGGCCCAATATTGGCTATATCCCGGCTACATATTGGCCCAACATTGGCTATATCTTGGCCAAATATTGGCTATATCTTGGCCCAATATTGGCTATATCTTGGCCCAAAATTGGCAATATCTTGGCCAAATATTGGCTATATCTTGGCCCAATATTGGCAATATCTTGGCCAAATATTGGCTATATCTTGGCCCAATATTGGCTATATCTTGGCCCAATATTGGCTACATCTTGGCAGAATAATGGCAATATCTTGGCCCAATAATGGCTATATCTTGGCCCAATAATGGCTATATCTTGGCTATACCTTGGCTCATTGTGTATTTTATCCTGGCTACATCTTGGCCCAATATTTGCTATATCTTGGCCCAATAATGGCTATATTTTGGCTATACCTTGGCTCATCCTGTATTATATCCTGGCCTAAAATAGGCTCAAATTTAATTTTTTACATACAAAAAGCTCCATTCTCATATCAGTCATAATATTTACAAAGTTAATTTCAAAATGTGAAAGAAACTTTAATCAAAATGTAATAAAGCAGCAATACATTCACAAAAAACTGTTCATCTATTAAAATATGTATTATACAATTCATTCAAATGTAAGAAAACTATAACTATATTATAAAGTACTGATAGAAAATGAATATGTAAATAGTAGTGTAGTAGCTTTCATGTTGACTTTTAATTTTATACAAACAAATTAAAAACAAATATACAAAAATGTTCATATAATGTAACAGCTGTTAAGTACAGTTTAAATTAAACTAATGTAAAAACTTAATTTACTGTACAAGAATACAGAAGCTGTCATGTACTATGGTAAGTAAAAATAACATTCAAACAAAATACTTAATTTATACATTTAAATAACAGGGGTAATAGTATTTGTTAAAAAAATTCAGCATTTTCACAGATTTACAATGTAGTAAACACTATCACTAAGTCATTTATGTTATTTTGAATAAACTTGTACTTCTATTAAAAAAAATGATTTTTTAAAAATACCATTAATGAAGGTAAGCAATTTTGTTTTACTTGGGATTGGGGGGGGGGGGGGGGGGGGCTGATGCTTAAAATAATCACTCAGCCTCTTTATGATTATGTAGCTGTTTGTTGGGGCCCTCTCTTCTTTTTCTCCCCCCTGCACGGTCACCAGACATGGCAAGCCATTCACTTGTCCCCTTTTCCAGTTCTTTTATAGTAGAATTTTTAAAAGATCTTAGTATAGAATCTGAAAAAAAAAAGTAAAACTTATCAGCATCTTGCCTTGTCAATTCTTCTGTCCATATATCTGTCATTTACCTCATCTTTGTCTTTCTGTATAAGCAGACAGCTTTAGATATATACAAATAGGCCTACATAATTTTAAGTTATTGGAAGCAAAGAAGCCATTTTCATTTTACCAAAAATTGTCATCTTGAGGTTCCGGAGGTCATTGAATTTCAGTTTTCCTTTTTTGCCTTCAAATGAATAAAGAGTCGACAACTGAGGACTTATTAATTCTTTTAAAACCCTGAACAGACCATGCCGAGCATTTTTACCTCCATAGTTGCTGAGGTAAAGACTCTGTTGAACAAAAAGTATTCAGTTAATACAAAGTATTGAAAGAAATATAATACACTCTAGTTTCTAATTTAACAGTAATTTTGTTATAACATTGCTTACCATCCTCTTCTGTACTGCAGTGTCATTCAGACAACTATCCAGGCTGACCATTTGCTCCACTGTCTCTAAAGGAAAGGTGTACCCTTCTGGCAAGCTCTGGATAGTTTCTGGCATATCCTCTCCCATACCATTTAATTTTGCCTCAAGCCTATCCACTTTTCTATGCAGGCGCCGGATTTCTTCAAGCAGCTCTGCATTGTTTTCCATAATCTTTTTAAAAAATGGCATCAGCTGATCTGTACTTTGCTGGGTGACTAGAAAATAAATAGTTTATGTCAAATCTTTAATAAAAATTTTTACAAACAAAAGCAAGAATGCTAACAAAGTAATGATTTATTTTTAAAAAATACAATACACTTACAGCCAGAAAAACTAGGGGACGCTGAAAACTGTGCATATGATGCAGGTGGTTTTGGAACAGCTTTGGAAGCTTCAGGTGGTTGAGGCAAATATTTTATAGAAGGTATAGGTGACCTTGACCTCCGCCTCACCCCGACTCTGCACTGCTTCTTCCTGGCAGGTGATGATTCTGATGATTCAGAATCATCATTGGGACTCCTAATGCAACATTTTTATTTTCATTATTTATACAAACATAACAAACTTAAATGAGGCTATATATTTAGATCAAGATCTAAATTAGAGATTGTAATATATACCATCTAATTGTTGGCCGTGACTGCCGATGTGGCTCTGATCCTGAGCTCTCAACATCACTCTTATCTAGAGCCTTTCTCTCGAGTGATTTTATTTTTTCATAGGAAACTGTAATGTGATAAAAATGTCTAAATGTTATAATAAAACATTAAAAAACAATAATATAATTGTATTATAATAAGTATATGTTACTTTTAATATTTAAAATTTTTAATGTAAGTAATTGTTGTTAATTTAAAAATATATTAATTCTTACCATTGCTGTGCAGAATTTTCTCATATGTAAAAATCTGCCAGCTCTCACATGGCTCCTTTGCATTGCGCACCCATGCATCTCCAGCAGTTGGTGTGCTTGGCCAGTAACATTGATTTTTGCCAGCCAGCAGCCACACATCTGGCACCACCATCACCATCCTTACATTATCCTCAACAGTTTCCAGAAGGTGGTACATTCTTTAACTTTAATACAGACTTAAATACATAAACTATACTAATTGCAACAAATATGAATACACAGTATTTACATAAAAATTAAAGACTTAAATGGATTAGATAAAACAAATTCTAATATTTTTGTTCTTTGTGATTCAGAGGAAGCAGCACATATCTCTTTTTGTATGGTAAGAGAACACATTTCTGTTCAATTTTTGATACATTGAATGTCTCTAATTTACCTGAAAGATTTGACACCTCAAAAATGCTCAATTTTGAGGACAATAATGGATATTGAAAAAAATCATAACATGTTAGAAATCGCTCAACAACAAGTACTGGTTCAGAAGACAAATCCATAATGAGAATGTTTCTAAGCAAAAAGAAAGTGTCTTCAATTTTAACACAGTTGTCTCCATTATCTATGGAAAAAAATATACCTTTAAAATTAATTTGAGCAAATTGATCACATCTAACTCCATTTGGCAATGGCCCAAGACAATGTTTTTTTTTTGGAAAAGGATAAGGCTTGTCAGTTACAAAATCTTGAGATGAAAATAATCCTTTATCTGAGACTGCTCTTTCTGATAACCTCTTGACAACTTGTTCTAATGGTGTCTGTGGTTTGCGAACAAGTTTCTTCAACATACCCAAAAAATTTTCGAATGGAAAAGCACTGAAAGAATCTAGTGGTCCAAAATTCTTAACATCTGCTGCCAAATGTGTGAGCCCATGCACATTATAAACCAGAAATTCTTTACCATAAAGTTCTTTAGCTTCTTCTACAAACATACACAACAGTTCATGTGCATAATCAACATGACTGTAACATAAAGTAGGACTAGCAAGGCAATAAATACCAACAAAGAATAAAAGGTAGTGACTATAATGTACTTTGTCTATATTTCCTTTCAATGCAACTATACCACTGTATAACAAAAACTGCCTAAACTCTGTAGCTTTCCACCTTTCTATATCATGCAGAGAACGGCATTTTCTAGAGAATTCACGTGGAATATATTCTTTGAAGAGTAGTAGACGG